GAACGCCTTCTCCCATCCTGGCCCACTTATCCTTCCTTGGCGGGAGAACGGCNCTTGGCGGGAGAACGCATCACGTGACCCCAAGCCCCGCGATGATCATTACCTTCTGACGTGGACGTGGTTGGCCTTCAACCTCGTCGTTCCCCGTCAAGGAGAGAATCCTTCTTGTTACTTGTAACAATAGATAATTGTATTTTATCTCTACCTAGGCGTTGGCAAGCTGCAGTAGAAGCTAAGGGCTGGTACACTAAATATTAGCTTCTATTCTTAGCGAGAAATAAATATACTCTAAAAAATCAGACTCTTCTATATATCACGTGATCTAACTAGTAAAGGTATACTATAACAGTCAGAGCTTAGAGATTAAAGATAGATCTATAATATATATTAGACTTAGACCTTTTTATATAAAAACAATAGAGTAATCTAGATATTTAGTTTAGATTTATTCAAGCTTCTAGTTTGGGGATTTTTGTTCGCTCAGGGCTGCTGACTAAGCAGATAGTGGGTCCACTATGCCAAACTAGGAGATCTTGGCTTTCTAGATCTGCAATCCGTTTATTTTTAGCTATTTTTTCCAGCTATATATTAAAGTTTTAAAATAACAACTTTTTGAGTGACGTTTTTTTCGTGTCACCCCTCTGTACTTAGGCAGCAAGCCAAGAGTAGGCGGCCAGCCATTAAGGAGCTGTTGTTCCCCAACGGGCAGGTGGCTGCTGGGAATATCTTGATCCTGTAGGAGCCGCCGCGGAACGATCGAAGGAAGCTTGGTTAGCGCACCCGCATGCCTGTACCCGCCCATGGGAAAGAATAGCTGCATAAGTTTTTAGGTCGAACGCCACAGTGTAAGAATGAAATAAATAAGCTAACTTGATTGAGTCATGCGGAATGTAGCCTAGACAGTTGGTTGGGCGTCCCTCTTTTGCATGCCCTTTGCTAGGCTGCTGCGATGCAACACTTCGCTTGTCTGCAAATACGATCACAGGGCCAATTTTCGCCACTTAGGGTGCCTAATGACGTAGTCTTCCTATAGTAGATAAGACTTGAGCGAACTTGGAATCCTAACTCACAACAGCCAACCTCCAGACTCCTGTTCCACAGCTTCTAGTACAGCACAACGACAAAGATTACCCGAGTCACTCCAGCATGTCTAACCAAGCGCAGCCAACCCCACAAGAGCCTTCGGAGATGCCTCCGCCTTCAGCCGGTGACGAACTGCCAGGTCCTATTGTGGGTTCAGGAGAGCCAGACCGCATGGTGTACAAGGATGATGAAGGAGTCGAACACAGCATCCGCATACCTATCGGGCAGTTTCAAACAGCTTGTCAATATTATATTGACAAGGATTGGGAGGCTCTCGGGCGATTTCCTCCATGGAGTAGGTAGCATTACCATATGTGCTGACTGTGCTAATATGCTCTGTACCAGCCGAGACGTCGGAACAGCCTCAAGGGGAAAGCGGCATGGGGGGAGGGCAACAGTGAAGCAAGAGCAGACTCGTCTCATGGGCCTCAGGAGGGTTAAATGCCAAGTCTTGGAATGCAGACTCGAGGAGAGGGGTCGGAGTGAAGGACTTCACCGCAGGCTAGCGGGATACTTGTGAAGTTATAAAGGCATCGTCTGTCGCTCTCACAGAATCATCACTCTTCACCATCTTTACATCCTCGCACTTTTCCGCACCATCATTGAACCAATATGCAGTTTATCAGCACTCTTGTTGCCATAGCATGCATGGCTACAGCCTGCAGCGCCATCGACCTCAACCTCTGGAATTCCGGTGGATGCAGGGGAGCGAAAGTGATGTGCTCTAACCCTGGCTACGCCTTCTGCTGTACTGGCGGTGCGCCTTTCTGTGTAAGCGGCAACTGCGACAACTGCGTCGTAGGAAACGACATCTACACCTTCAACAGAGCTGGCTGCACCGGGAATTCCTTTGGCTCCTGCAGAGCTGCCGTTGGTAATGGTTGCTGTCTTTCCGCCGGAGGCGGCAACACTTGTGCCATTGTTGCGTACGTAGGCAACGCCCGCGTGGCAGAGGTAGCCCCAGAGGAATGCGAGGTTTCCGTACGCCCAAACAAGATGGTTTACACCAGTACCAACGGCACAGAGCGTACCATTCATCTTCCAACCGGAACCTTTGAAACCGCTGCCCAGCTTGTTGTCGATGAGGATTGGGCCGCATTGGACGAATTCCCGGAGTGGGGTAAGTTTGTATACATCATGTTTGGGTTACAGCCTGCTGACAAGTGCAAAAGCTGGCCAGCAATACACTGAGAGCGATATGACCCGCAAGACCAAGAAGGCAAAATAAGCTGATGGGCCTGGGTATGAAAATTTAAAGTATGGAGGGAGCGAGAGTAGAGGAGCAGCGTGAGTGGGGAGATCAGACGTTGAAATCGATTGGATACAGTTACTCGCTCTAGTCGCTCACTTACGGTGTTTGTTTTGGTCTACACACTGTATTATTCAGTCGTTACACGGGCTATGAGAAAACTTGGTAGAGAGATTAGATTGTCTGATAATAAATTTTATCTACCATGCATGTCAATATGTAGTTGAATCAATTATGAGGCTCTGTGCAAGGCTTGCTTGAATTTCCATAGTCGTACTTGACTTGCTTTTTTACCTTATCTATTCTTATTCAACGTACGTGGTACTTAAAGTGCTTGGAGTTCATTACAAAGTGAAAGCTTTCTCTTCTTTCCATCTCTTAGGAGTAAACCTCTAATAAATACCCTTAAATGTTTCAACAAAAAAAGAAATAGTCCTTTTCATTTTTCTACTAGTAAAAATAGAGGAAGAGTCCACAGATTCTTGTCCCCTGCCAGGTGTACACCCACTATAGCACGCCAGCAAAAAGAATTTTTTTTAAACCGTCGTTGACAAGATTCGAACTTGCGCGCCCGAAGGCATATGATTACTGAATAAATGAGTTATTCGAGTCATACCCATTAACCACTCTGGCACAACGACTATTGGTTGTTGTTCGATTGATCAGGCAATTTTTGAGAATTTCTTGAAGTCGGATATTTCAATCATCTGCGAGCTATGGAAGGAGAGGCGTAATAGGCATTTCCTATAACACTAATAATGCAAGTATATGTCATTGAAGGTTAGGGAAACCAGCGATACTCATACAAAGAAAAACCAGCTATGTCATCATCATGGTACGCTCCGTGCGGATTATGACTTGAAGACTAGGATACGGGTTATAGATATTGTGTAACAGATCATTACGAACCTACCATGCCCTATTCTATACGCTGCCCATATCCCTTTATCTGCGAAGTAATAGTATTGCAAGCTTCGTAGCAGCATCTATAGTGCCAGTGCCAGTGCCAGCTCTAAAAAAGTAGCCACCTCGCGATCATTATTCTATGTCTTCCTCGAAAGAGTTCCGATAGTTTTGCTATGCAGAAAAACCACTAGACACATAGTATCACTACCAGAATACACCTTGAGAAGAGACTGCATGTGTCTGAAATCAATATCTCAATCTCGCTTCCAGCATATCCTAAGCGAACTGCTAACTCTTTACGCTCGTCTTCAAAGTTTTCAACATACCCACCCCCCCCAAGAAAATTGAGCTCGAACTCGCATACTAGGCTCGCACATGTAATTTTGACATGTGTACTTGGAGAAAAATGCTTTGGGGCTCTCACCCAGGCTTGAGAACGCAACTATACGTAGCTATCGTTCTGATTTCCTCGCTACACAACCCCGCGAGCAGCGCATCAAACGTGTTATATTTTCGTGCATTACATGCGTAAAAAATATACTTAAAACGCAGGATAAAATACGCATGGACAGCAGTATAATGAATCATTTATTTCGCAATAAAGTGAGGAACATACTACGGCTACGGTACTGACTAATTCACCCGTACTAGCACCGTCATGTGCTGCGGCCCCACACTAGCGCAATTACGGCCCGTAGTGCGCGCTAGCAAAAACGACGCGTTCCTGATTCAAGCAACACAGGAAACCCCTCTCTTCCCCAAAACCACTGAGACATTTTTTTGGGCGAAATTTCCTCAGCGTTGTCCCGAGGGCCGAGTGAAGAGATGGGGAAGCGGGATTTGCCACTGATGGGCTGGGCTGGGGGGAAGACGGAATGGAAAATGCACAGCCGTGACAGTGGCAGAGAGCACGAGATATATGGGTTTTCACGGTGGTTGGCGTAGGGGAAGATGTAGAGAGGCAAAACTCAAGTCAAGCCGGGAGAAGACTTTCTAGACCAGTGCAATCATGATATCGAGTGTAGAAAAGCTCGTACAACACCCAGGTACCGCACTGTTCATGCAAAACAACAGATCCATACATTACACCCACCGGCTATGAGCAATATCCAAACTCTCAATCGCCATGCCAACACGGGGGCTAGTACCAAAGACCGCAGTAACGGTTGTACTACCTCCACGAGCATTTTTACTTCTCACCTTCCCAATCCCGCCCAAGTCCAGTGTCACATGCCAGGCTTCGAAGCCGAATCAAAGGGCGAACCCCCAACTTGTTCTGGCAATACAGGCTATGCCTCTCGGGCCTTTTTTTGCATGTACAATCTAATAGAGGCCCTTTCGGGAACGCCGGTGGTGGGTCTGTGAAACATTCACTTGCCAATTTAGGCAGTGCAATGCATCATGGCAATTGTCACGTTAGGTAGCGTTGTGACCGGAAGAAGGCAAATTGAAAGTCCTCAAAGGACAAGCAAGACTAATGGAAAAGAGAGAAAAAGCATGTGATATTTAAAGTCTAATGTAGAAAGTAAGATGGTCTCATGTCGATAATTTACAAGCCCAGTTCCACCATGGTCATCTCAGCATACTTGGCCACGGCGGCCTCCGATCCGACGCTCGTTCCCACTCCGACATCTACCGGTGGTTGACCAAAATAAGCCGCAATCGCTTCGTGCCACGGCGTTGATAGCGAAGATAACGGAGCCCTCTCGGTCTCATCTCTGCATGAAACCACATAGTTTGTTCCTTATTATTTTTTTTCTCTAAACAGCCGCACGCTAGCAATAGGCTGATGGTAGTCAGTGAGATTTTGCTAGCGCATAGTATCTTACCGGTTAGTCTCTTGCAATTTTTTCTCGTGTGTGTGCTTATGCCTGCGGTTGAATGCACGGGTCTGAGGTAAGCCCTGCGGGCGTTCGAATTAGCCGTCCGAGTATAAGTATCAATCATGGGCCCCGGCGCGCTGACATATGACCTCTGGATAACTTCGAAACCTGCTGTGCCGACTGAAATACGCTGCTTGGGAGGAATACCGCATCGATACTGTCACCCGCTACTGGACCCGCCATCCGGACTTCTCGCCAGCCATGTTCGTCGAATACCGTATACGTACTTCTCTCAACCCGACCTGGACTCCGTTGCAACATCGATTACTTTCCGTGATTCCTGATACACATTCACCATGATCGAGACCCGTTTTAACGTACTACCATGAATCTGATCGCGATCTGGACGTCGACACCGAAACATTGATCAAACGCCGAAGGACATCTCAATTCCAGCAATGTGATGCCGACTCTTGGACTAACGTATACGAACAACCGTACGCTCCGCCACTATATTTTCTCCATAGATCAAGCAGGAGGTGGTTTGTTGGTTGCTGGTGGTTGCTGGGGCTGTGGGAGAAAGAGCAGGTTTTCGGGAAAGAGGTGGAGACTGCGATCAGCATAGGCGTGACTTGGGGACACTGGGCGTTCACTGGAGGACAGCAAGAGAGGGGGCTTGAAGGATTGCTAGGAATGGCAGGCAGGTACTTCAGGATATCCATACGCTATACGCTATTCGCCTAATCCTGGTCGTTTGGTCCTACTCCAGCCCGGCTCCGGGTACTCTTACTGGCTCTGCGCAATCCACCGTTCACGTCAACCCGGGTATACGATTGAAGGAACGGCATTGGATGAAAAATTACCTATTGTACTCACTACCGGATGGATCTCGGACCCGATTGGAGCGAAAAAAAAGAGGTCATGTGAGTGCGGCTGGGACAAGCCCCGTGGATCACGATGCAAGAGAAGGGGTCATGGACAGGGACTTACCCACCCCCACCGAACCTGCAAGCATCAGGGATATCCATCATGCACGGGCGGAACCCCCTGTATAACCCCCATACGCCTTTTACGCAAACCAAATATGACTCCCGAGACTGAGCGAAGGGCTTCCAGGACGTTGGAATAAAGTTCACAACGACAACGGAAACCGGCTCGGTTATCTCCAACGAGGATGGGCAGCTCTCGGCCTGTGCTAAAATAACGGAAACGCCATGTCTGGGAGGCGTGCCACAGATCACATTAGCCTAACCGTTCTGTCGGTGTGTTCTTGCCCGAACTTGTGGCGGCAACTGACCAAAGACGCCCGAACAGACGTCGTTCTGCAGGCGCCACATGGTGGAGATACCCTGAACCTTGACACTGGCTAACTCGTCTTGTCATCCAACAGCCCGGGGTGCGTAGAGTTCAGCTACTACGAGTCAGTAGCCAAGGCGGACGCCACAGGAAGCCTAGAACTGTGAGCAAGCAGAAATTGCACGAATCGTAGCTAGCATCAAGCAGAGAACATGAAACTCATTGAACAGGCGATATGATTGTACTAAATACCACCAGTGACTATTTTAGGGACCAGACTCCGTTTTCTTGGATAATATCAATGGGACGGTTCTCGTCTAGCGATCTCCGGCCGGCTTCTAGAATGGCTGTTGTCGCAATGGTGTTCTTCAGCGTTGGTAGTGGTCGCGCATCTAACTGGTCGAGTGTGACTTCACCCGCATTGAGCTTGTTGACGGCATCAATGAACTTTTCAAAGGAAATGTAGCCGTAGCCAATCTGGCCCGCAAAGTTGCCCTCCTCGTCAGGGGCATACTTCATGTAGAAACTGCGCTTGGTCAGCACGCGAATCGATTGGTTACCGTACGCGCTTCAACTTACGGGTTGTACCATAGCAGGCCAGTCTCGTCGTCAGTAACGTCGTAGCCTCGCTTGGCCTGGTTGACGCGAATCTCTCCGGTCGAGGCCATATAATGGAAATATTGATTCGAGTGTACACCAGCCTTTTGTGGTGCTGCCCAGCCAGCTGTGTAGACACCGGTTGCGACTTTGCTCGGGTCATCCTTCTTCACCCAATTGGTGAGCAGTGTGATGGTGTCCTCGGTTGCGGGATCGCAGCCCAGGCCAGTAGCTATTCCTTTGGCCGCGCTGGCCATGACACGCACTGGCTTCCAGTCAGGAACCATGGACTCGTTGATATCGATGTGGTGGGAGTTGAGGTAGTAGGAGATGTCGGAATCAACACCAGCCCATGCTTTGAAGGTCTCTAGCTGGCTCCTAGTGGCTTGGTCAGTTTTGACTCGTAGTCGACATCCGAAAACGCTTACTTTGGCTGGCTCATGTACGAATAAAAGTAGTTAAAGTCGCCCAGTTTCTGTGCCCTGAAGCGCGCATCCGCGTAGGCAGGATCATATCGCTTGTGGTGCTCAATGTAGACAAAGACGTTGTGCTTCTTTGCCTCCTCGAGCAGTTTCTGATGATGTTCCAGCAGCTTTACGGCGGGCTTTGTGATTAGAACGTGTATTCCACGCTCAATGGCGTACAGGGCAATGGGGTAGTGGGTAGTGTCGGGCGTGAAAATGGTGACTATGCCGCGTCAGTGGAGGTTGTCAAGCAAAATGGGCCCAGACTCACTGGCACTGCCTTTGGGGAGCGCGTCAATTGCCGTCTTGTAGGCATTGGGGTCCGTCTTCCCTTCCTTTGGGAACTCTTCAAATGAAACATCCAAATTGTTGTAGGCCTCGGAAACGTTCTTCTGGAGATGGTCGCCTGGGCACAATCAGCACCCTGGCTAGTGTGAGGTAATATGCAACTCACGGATGGCGGGGAATTTGCCACCGGATGTGCCCACCATGGACAGTTTGCCTACTTTGCCGCGTCGTCGGAGGTCGAATAGGGTCAAGCCCACCACGCCGACCTTTTTGTCAGACTTTGAGGCGCCGCCTCCGACGAATCCCGTCGTGTACTCTCCCGTACCGACCTAGACGATGCATTCAGCCACGGCGGTGGTTTAATTTGGCGCAGAGACAATGTGCTCGCCAGGGAGGGGTAAGCATACCATGAGAACTTCTACCGGCGCCATTGTGAATGTCCGAGGGGGTCAGCAAATGGGGGCAGACGGGGCAATTAGGGGGGAATGCGTCAGCAGCAGAGCCAGAGGTTTCCAGGATGCGACGAGGACGAGAGACACTCCGAGGGCTTAATTTGAAGGCAGTGCCCCAGGTCAATACCCGAGCTGGCGTCGTCGGCGTCTGAATGCTTGTCGATAACGACGGAGAATATATGACCCGGCGACGCGACGAGGGGCAGGGCACGAGGGGCATACGCGTTTCTACCGGCAACCGCGGCCGGATGACGTTAGCATTTAGGGTACATGAAGGCGGGGGTGGGCGTGGGCGTGGGGGATCGATGCACACCCTCCGCCTGCATGCAGACGCATTTCTTTGCCGTCCGCTGTCTTTCTTTTCTTCTCCGGCGTCGAGGAGAGCTGGGGGCGGCTGCGTGTCCGTTTGCAGGCGGGCAGTCTGGCAGTCTGGCAGCGGCATGTGTGTACAAGTACTGTCGACTGTGCATGTCGGCGGAGGGGCGTGGTGAACATGCCCCAGGCCCAAGCGTGTGTGGTTGCCATTGGCCCGCGGCTGATTGGTGGAAGAACCCCGCCAGTCGGCCCAAGCAGCACAACAGTCGTGGGCAGCGTCACAGACTTGGACATGCCACCTTGCAACCCCCCAGCTGCAGCGTCGTCCATCTGACAAGCCGCCGACTTTAGTCACGACTATACAAATGGCCGCACTCTATTCCGCCCTTCGCGCATGTGTAGCCCGAAGTCGTCAGATGGCCCACCTTGCTGGCCCCGAGAGTTTGCTCTAGCCCTCGATGCTACCCTCCTTGGCGAATCACAGATGGGCAGGCGATACAACATCGACAACGATGCCGTGGCTAGCCTCTCTCCGACTTGGCTCCTCTGGCCTACATTGCGCCGACTGCCTCCCTGTCGCTCTTCTATTAAAGCTGACCAGACCCGGACTTGGGCTGGTGCTGCTGCTGCTGGCTAACCCTTTCTCTCATCCAAGACCTGCATTCCTACCCGACAGTCTTCTCTCCATACACATCTCCATCTTGACCCCTTGGTCCCTTCAATCATGGCATCCAACGGCAACGGCGCCAATGGCCACAGCAAGGAGCGTACGCCCCTCCGGCCAGGCATCTACTCGCCCACCATGACTTTCTTCGACCCAGAGACCGAAGAGCTAGATATCCCCACTATCAAGAAGCATGCAGTACGGCTTGCTGAGGCTGGCCTGGTCGGTCTAGTCACAATGGGATCAAACGGAGAGGCTGTCCACCTATCACGAGCCGAGAAGACTGCAGTCACACGAGCAACGCGTGAGGCTCTTGACGAGGCTGGCTACCAAAATGTTCCCGTCATTGTCGGAGCATCCGAGCATGGCATCAAGCTCACCATTGAGCTGTGCAAGGAGGCCGAGGCCGCGGGCGGCGAGTACGTCCTCATTGTGCCGCCCAGCTACTACCGCTACGCCATCGACGAGGACGCCATCTACGAGTACTTTACCAAGGTTGCAGACGGCTCGCCACTCCCGATTCTCCTGTACAACTACCCCGGCGCTGTCGCTGGCATCGACATGGACAGCGACCTCATCATCAAGCTTGCCAAGCATCCCAACATTGTCGGAACCAAATTCACCTGCGGCAACACGGGCAAGCTCACTCGCGTTGCTCTTGCTACCAATGCCTGCAGCACTACGAGCAACGGTAGTGGCTACATGGCGTTTGGTGGTATGGCGGACTTTACCGCCCAGACAGCTGCTAGCGGTGGCTCGGGTATCATTGCTGGCGGCGCCAACGTCCTCCCCAAGACATGCGTCAAGGTCTGGAATCTCTGGGCAGAGGGCAAGTACAATGAAGCCCTTGAGCTACAGAAAGTACTAAGCAAAGGCGACTGGGTCCTGACCAAGTCGGCCATTCCCGGTACAAAGTCAGCCATTCAGTCATATTATGGCTACGGGGGTTACCCTCGCAAGCCGCTCAAGAGGCTGCCGCAAGAAAAGGTCGATGCGGTGGCACAGGGTATCAAGGAGGTCATGGAAGTGGAGAAGAGTCTGTAAACCGATGGCATAACCCGTTTGCAATTCATGCTCTTTGTTTGAACTACACTCTTCTCTTGGCGTGGCATTTGCAGGAGAGAGAGAGAGTGTGTGTGTGTGTGTGAGAAAGCGAGAGAGAAAGCAAGAGAAAAAGTACTAGTTTATTCGACATTTAACAATACCGGTGGCTGGTGTGTATGTACATAGTTGGCTGGTAATAGATATCCTCTTCTCCTTTGTCTCACCCGTCTGCATTCAAACACTTTTCTCTCTCTCTCTCTCTCTCTCTCTCTGAACCTAGCAGTAATGTACACGACCAACCCTGTTGCCATGTCATGTCACTGTCTCAATCGGAGTTTCTTCTGCCCACCCCCCTGTGATGCTTACCGCCTCAACCCGTTTTGAAACCAGCTAAGCCGTAGCCTCACGTCTCCCCCCTCCCTTCAGCTGGGGACCTTAGCGTGGGAAACGCCCAGACCTCTTTTTTTTTAAAAAAACCCCCCTTTACCGCAACTTGCATGTACGTGTACGTGCGTAGCTCTTTGTATTCCAGAGTGCCGGTGCAGCTGGGGCCCTGCACACATACATACTATACTAACTACGTACTGTAGCATTTCCACCATCCATGTCTGTGCCCGCGTCCGCGCTGCCCCCGCTTCCCTTCCCTTCCCCTCCCCTCGCCCTTCCCCTCCCCTCGCCCTTGCCCTTGTGCCACCGCCGCCGCCGCCGTCGCCACGTCCACAACAAGTCCACAGCAGTCCAGCCCCCCCCCCATTCCCACGCCCACGCCTCGCTGTTGTATATCCAAACGCACCCCACCACCCACCTAGCGTATCTCACATGATGCCTGGAAAAACCTGCACAACACAGCTATATTTTTTCCCCCTTCCCTTCTTACTCTACTTACCGCATGTCCTGTCGATCCGGCAAATTCCCTCTTTTTTTTTCTTCTTCTTCTTTGGTTGCCCATACGGACACTGCAGGCACGTCCTCTTGACAATAGGATTACCTGCATGGCCTACATACATACATACACACATACCAAACATACAAAGCGTAGCCTTTTCCAAAAAAAAAAGATAGTAGTAGTAGCCAGCTGATTCAGCCAGGTTATTTCGTTAGTCCGCTAGTCAGTTGGTTGGTTGGTTAGTTGGTTAGATCTGTATTTGTTTAGTTTGTTAGTCATCTTGTTCATGTGGTGTGTTGAGTTGTGAAAAGGCCGGATACTTACTTACCTCCCTGTCCAATAGGGAGAACCAAAAAAAGGGGTGGGTCCTTTGCTAGAATAAAAGATCAATAGGTGTGTGTGTGTGTGTGTGTACAAGTATCGTGTCAAAGAGGAAAGAGAAGGAAAAAAAACACCCCCAGAAAAACTTACACATACGGATGGATGGATGGATGGACGGATGGATGGGGTTTAGACCAAGAGTTTACGGATCAGGGCCAAACAACGCTAGGAAAAAACCCCCACCCCCAACCTGTCTGTTCTGTTCTTGCATGCGGCAATAACCGTTGCCATTTCTTATTCTAACTCTTTTTTGGGGGCGTTGGTATGGAGTTTAAGGAAAGTGTAGCGAAAGGAAAAAAAAAAAAAGAGACCGGAGTTGCTCCCTTTTTTTTCCTTCCAAGTAGGTACAACTCACTACTTAGCACTACGTACTGGCACATGTAGTAGTGCTGGTGCTTGCTAAGTACTAGTAGTGCTTGTGCTGCCAAGTGTTGGTGCTGCCAAGTGCTGGTACTGGTGCTGGTACTGATCCGATGCCGATGCCGATGCCGATGCTGATGCTGATGCTGATGCTGATGCTGATGCTCCATGCTGATGCTGCGTGTGTGTGTGCGTGCGTGCGCGCAAAGGCGGGCGGGCGGACTAAGACGTCGGTTTCCCTTAATCAAAGAGAAGGAGAGCTTTTCTTCGCCCTGCCCTGCCCTGTCCTGTCATCATGACCCCCACTTGTCGTCGTCGTAGTCGTCGTCGTCTTTCGGCCCCCCGGCTGCATTTCCGCGCTTGGACTTTCCGCATGGCGTGTTGTCTGTGTCGGAGAGTCAGATGATGAGAATGCAGGTCATGATGAGATGACAGGACGGGTCGGCTTGCTTATTGTCTGTGTGATGATGTGTCTGTGGGTATCTGTGTCTGTGTCTGTTCGCAATGCCCTGCTCCCCCCTCTTCGATTCCCATCCTTCATTCCTGGCACCTTAGACCCTGGCTCGGACATTTGAGACCACACAGACTGGTGAGACAGCTTTGACGGTATTACAAGGCGCCTCATCTCTCTCCATCTCACTTTCGCTCTCTAGTCTAATTCGCGCAAACAACTGTTTAGGTAGTACAGCATATGATGATGATGAAGAGACCAATATTCTTGGTCACGTTTGATTTGCATTACCCCAATGTTTCGGCCGCAGGCCCATTTTATTCTGAAAATAAGTGCTATCAACATAAGAGTTTTGTAGTATGTAAGTATGAATAAAAATCTTGTGTGTATAGTTGAGTCGTCGCGAAGAGCAGCGCCGCTACCCCTTTTTTTACGTTGCCAAATCGTTAATCCAGAGCGGCTTTCCCATTCCTTTCCCTCTCCTTCCTAAAAAAGGTCATAATCGTACAGTTCCCGAAATTTGTGTGTGTGGGGTGGCCGTGTTTATCAGCCGCTTCGCCGAACCCGTCAATTCCACCAATTGACTCCTGACGCCGTGATTTCCAGTTACGCCTACCCAGATCGTGCATGAAAAACTGCTCAACAAATTTATATCGCTAGACCATTTCCAAGACTTGTCCACCGGTATAGAGATAGAACCTCTCTTCGTTTGGCGGGCGTCATTTCCCTTGCGTGGCCGTGGCCTTTGATTTGCGCTAATGTCGAAATCATGACTTTGCGGAAGTTTCGCTGCAAACAGTTAGTGCCATGCACATAAACCGGCCATGAAACATTACATACCTGATATTCCGTGTTGAGAGTCACAACAGCAGCTTCGTGTGCGCGTACAATAGTCTCGCAGGCTCGGATTACGTTGTCGTTTGTTTCAGTCGATAGCTTGTCGGCCAAAAGTAATAGGATGAGGCTGCCTTGGAGCAGATACTGTGGCTTTGTTAGTCTATCTGCTCGGGGCTCCTTCAAGGGCCGGTTCTAGGGCCCTTCAGACCCGCAAACACAGAATCCACTTACCATGCCAAACAAGTAGGGCATAAAGGACAGGTCTGGGTCCACGTCCAGAATCACGTCGACTGCATGCGCGGCTGTGATGGCATTCGAAGTTGCTGCGAGGAACGACTGCGAGCATACCCACATGTTGTCGTCCTCCAGAAGCGCTACTGGGTCCCATTTGCCGTGGAGCAGGATGTGAAGGACATGCATGATGTGCGTGGCGTATGCGGCAACCTTCCTCGTTTGGTGAATCCACTCGCCTCGAACCGGGTCTGGTGTTGTGTTCGGCTGCGATTCCTCGTTTGGACCACAGCCGTATTGCGCCTTGAATTCCTCGATGCTGTACGCGTACCGCTCCAGTTGGCGCGTGATTTCCGCTTCGTGAAGTTCCCAAGAGGCCCGCTGGCCAAATCTGGGGTGGTTTTTCTGTGCGTTCAAATCTACAATATCGCCGAGAATTGTCATCAGAGGGAGGAAGAAGCCAAACACGTCATGCCTGCATTCTAGTTAGCATTTTCCGCCAGTCTTGCATGAGCCCGTGTACGTACGATGTGCACTGGAAGTTGAGTCCCCGTTTCCGCGGTCCTGGGTGTCCCGTGTAGAACTCGCCTTGCTGCCAAAGAGTGTCGGGAACCGGTTGAAGAAGGTCTTCGCACTCATTGTCGAGCATGGCCAGTGGGCGGTTGTAGCAGAGGCCAAGATGGCGATCCACCATGTACAGCAACCACCACAATCGGCGTCTCTCCTCCTTCATTTCTTCAATCATGGCTGCAGCTGGTGTACCCGCAGGCGGTTGAGCGCCGGAGCCATCAGACATGCCCACATCTACATCTCCGTCGGCTCCATTTGTGTCGTGCTCTTTGCTAGGTTTTGAATATAGCTCTCTACCGAGTTTGAGCTCCCTGGCCAGTGACCACGCCGCATTCCACCATCTTAAAGAAGCTGCTTTGTACTCGCTTGCTGAGGTGACCACTCCAAGGTTGATATATGTCGCAACATCGTCCAGCGTGCTGGTGGGAGCCATGGCGCCGTCTGGCCTTCCGTCATAGCGTCCTAGTGCCCGATCAACGCCAAAAGCGTCGTGAGCAGCAGAAGTGACTCCCGATCCAGGTGCGAAGCCGTGCGAAGACGGAGAGTGGACAAGGGGCTTCAATAGCTCCACAGTCAATTTCCAGAGCTTCTGGCAAATGATGGCTCTCGCCGAGGGCGAGGAGGTCAGGTAGCTCGCTTCGCTCGTTTGCGCAGCTACCCAAAGCATACTGGCCAGGAGGGCTGGGCTGCACCGCCTTGGGTTGTGTTGCCGCAAAAAGCTTCGTTTCCTGAAAACAGATCCGAGAATGTATGGCGAGACGGGCTCCATGAAAACGGACGAAGAGCTCTGGAAGTAGAATTCGAGAAGATCGCATGCGGTCGGAATGTTGATGATGCTACTAAGGTGCGGTATTAGAGGCTTCAGAACGGGGTATCTGCAAGCAATCATGGGGCCACTGTTTTGTGACGAGTTTACGCTGACTCCTGATTGCGGGGATCCAGTGTCGGCAGAGCCATAGCTGTGAGGAGAGGACTGCCTTCCAGCTTGCTGGTAGTGCATCTGGTAGGACATGTTGGCGTACTCGGAGGGGATCGATACAGGCGTGCCATTGGGACCGGGGATGATGTGCATGCCTGCTGCCTGTCAGCCAAACTTTCCAAACAAACACAAACACTCGCAGCACGCAGAAACAGCTGCGCATCATGGTGGCCATGTGCCGAGTGCTCGAGGCTGGTTGGTGCGACATACCATTCATTGCATACATGAGCTCTTCGCGGGGCATTTCTGCATGCATTGGCGGATAGGCAGCGCCCGATCCAAGCAGCAAGGGATCAATCATCATGTGGTTGACAGGCGGATCAAAAGTGGCGCTGGGGTTCAGTGCTTGCCAGTTAGCCGTGGGCAGGGTGTTCTTGCTGTCTGGGAAATGCTGGACCACGGGCGTGGCTTCTGACTGCGACCAGACATCCTCGTCCATTTCGTTCAAGACTGCGGGCCGCTCAAAGTAGTTGTTCATGCCATTGGGCGTCTGTGGGCTGCCGCCAGCAGCAGCTTCCTCTCTCTGCTTCTGGATGTGGCGCGGAACCTGCGAGTCGTCAGCTGCTGGGTGCACAGAGCAGCCTGTTGCTTGCTTGCTTGATTGACTGGTGGGCAAGAGGACTAGGAGCGGGCTGCACTTACTTTTCCGCGTCGTTTCTTTTCACGGTTGTACTGGCAGACATATTCGAGTTCTATGCAACGCGAGCACGGGGCCTGGCCATTACACCGTGTGCGCATGCGGTGGCAATGATCGCAGGCGCGGCTTACCCTGCGCTTGACGGGCGCCGAGCCTCGGCGCTCGACCTTGGGCGTCTCTGCCGCCGACGGTGCTGGTGGCGCGGGCGCCTGTGGTGGTGGTGGTGGTGCAGTTACTGTTGCGGTTGTTGTTGCCGACTCCATGGCTACGACGGTGCGTGCTGATGACGAAGTGGGCAATGGGAGAGAGACGCAGCGGGCGCCGTGGTTTCTACACGGCGAATCAAATCAGCATGGGGGCGAGGCGGCCACGGCAGGCAGGTGACGTACTGGAGAGGTCCACGGTGGCGACACAGGCACAGGTGGTGAAGGGCAGTGGGCAGGAAACAGGCAGCGGTTTGCACGGGCGGGTAATGGCGCAGGAGCAGCACAGTACTTGTGGGCGAAGGAAGCGGCAGCCGGGAATCTGGGGATGATGACCACGGGTCATGGGATACTTGGGGAGCATATGTGGACCTCCGACAATGCTCTGGGTGTCTAGGTGCCGAGGGCGCACACACACGCGCGCCGACACGACAAGGACCTAGGCTTTGGAGGCGATTTGCAGGGTCGGTGTCAGTGGGACGATCTGTGGCTTGACGATTCCATGCGTCGGCGCAGGCTTCGAGAAGCGAGATCAAGACGAGGGCAAGATCAGAGGACGGGAGTGTTTAATTCTGGCACACACCATGGCACGTCGCAGCGCATCGACCCATTGGCCACGGCAACCAGGCTCTGGGGCAGCGCGTGGCAAGGGTCAGGATCAAGCTGCCAGGGGACCGCTGTCCGCGCTGGAAACGACTCATTGGAGGGGGCCGTCGTGGGCGTCGTGGTGGTGGTGGTGGTGGTGGTTGGCCGTCGTGGGCGTCGTGGGCGTCGTGTGGGCGGAGAGCGGCTAAAGCCACATTAGCCGGTGGGAGAAGGCGCGCCCGGCCGCCCTTGCTGTATTCGTGAGCCCTCGCCAGCTGCCATGCCAGCACTGGCTGCGCCTGCCCTCGACGGCGAGAAGCGGGGCTGGCCTGCAGTTCGCGCCTAGCGCCTGCGCCCGCCCTGTCGCAGCCTGTGCGCGCCCGTCCTAGTCCTCTTGCTCGCACCCTACCTCTCACCGTACTGGCACCGCACTGCACCGCACCGCACCGCACTCAGTCAGTCACCCAGTCCGTCGCCCAGTCCGCCATCAATCCGCCAGTCACTCCATCTGCATCCGCCGCTCACGCAGTCCCGTCCATCCCTCGCCCACCCACCAATCGCCCATCCAGGCGGCTGCCAGGGCCCCGTCTCCACGCTGTGGCGGGCGCCGCCTGACCCCCCCCCTCACTCACTGGCCGTGCATGGCCAAAACGCTCCCGCGGCCCTCTTGCGCAACACGAGTCTCGGAGCCCACTGCGTGCACCCCCAGCGCAGGCGCTCTCGAGTCGACTGCTACTATTATAGCGCTTTCGGCCATTAACGCGCACGAGCAATGCCGTCATTTGCTGAAACGCAAACAGTGCCGTTTCATGGCTCTGCTCCTGCGCGCACGTCGGGCCACGGGCGCTGCATCCATCCATCCATCCATATACGTCAGGACGTCAAAATATGCACGCCCGCCGTGGCGCGTGAAACCCAGTGCCGACGGCAGCGAACGCTCCCTCTCGCGCCCACGCGCGGCCAAGGTGCTCCCGGGCAACGAGGGCCTCGGCCAGGCGGGCAGAGGGCAGATGCCTGTCCCCATGGCCTCCCTGTCCCTACGGCATAGTACACCCACTACCACTACCACACACCAATACGGTGCTGGTGCTCGCGTACCCACATGGCCCTCATTAGCCTGCGACGTGGACCTCATGGCACTGCTCCAGTCGGCCGCGCTGCGGGTCGTCGATGTCGACTAACACGACGCACTAAGCGTGTTGGGCGCCTGGCCAACTGCTGTCCGGTGCCAAAGCGGCTCCCGCCCTGCAGGAGGGCCGGCAATTTCTGGCTCTCTAAGCGAGCCCGCCATGCCTGCCCACCCGACTCCGACATGTGTCGCCCGCCCAACGTCACCGTTTCTCCTCCCCCAACAGACGCTCCTCCGCAGCCTGGCCGCACCCCCGAAGGCGTGGGAGCTCCAGCTGCTAGCCTATGTCGACTCCAGTCGCCATGTCGACGCCTGCGCCGAGAGCCAGAAACCCGCTATTCTCGTGCGCTGGCGCCAGGTACATATTGCATGGTACCTTGGCCTGCGAGCACAAAACAAAAAGCACGCCCGCCTCGCACTTGTCATTTCTCGACCCGGGTGCATCATAAAACTCTTCATACCTGCCGTTTCAGCCGCATGTTTAGCGCCCTCGATTTGAGCACGTCTCGCTCTGCCTGGGATGAGACCGCCCGCCCAAGCAGAGGGCATGCCCTTCTCTCGACGTGGCTCCGTGCTGGGATCGCCGTAATTTCTGTCTAATCTCGCCGTCACACGCAACCAGTCTCGTGCATGGAGAGGAGGGTGCCAGTCGCCCGGCCCATTAAACTAGCTCGTGCTCTGCTGTGCTGGCTGGCTGGCGGGCTGGCGGGCTGGCTGTCTGCCTGCTACAACCAAAGCGACAGGAATGCCCGACCGGAACTGGTTTGGCCGATAGACGTTGAAATTGCTGTTTTTTGCAAAAGGCGCCGGAGTGCGGGCATGTCATGACAGAGTGCACACAGCGTGTCGGCCAGCCGCCCTCGCACGCCGCCATGCACCGTGAGTATGCACAACGGCGCGGCCTCCACACTTGGGTTGCAACAGTGTGACCCAGGTCAGCCTCCTGCATGTAAGCGATTCCTTCCTCCGCACATTAGACGTGGACTGCATTGTCCTTCACTCCACCGCCGCCGCCGTCGCCCGCCGCCGTCGCCCCATCTCTCTCTGATTGCAGTCGGGGCGACGCTGAATTCTCTGTCTAAAAAGAGGCCATGTGCCCTGGATAACTCCGCAATCATGGCATGGTGCTGCTGGAGCCTTCGCCACAAGCGCTGTGCCTTCTCCACACATGCCAATACTTGGCTTACAGCTTGCTAATCTCCACCTGCTGTATTCGTTGAAGGCGACGAGTGACATGCCCTACTCCCTGTAGATTGTCTGACCGCTCATCACCTAGACCCGCACACAAGCCGCTACACGTCAAGCTGGGCCGAAAATGGTGGGGAGAGGCTACATTTCACCGCGAAGCTGCTCGTGGCCTCTTCGAAATGGACAGACCCTGGGTTCACGCTACATGCACTAAACTGCTGTTATGTATATTAAGGGTCCAGCCCATTCATACGCCACTGGCCAAAGGGATTCGAGCTATCAAGCAGCCAAAACGGTCAGAATGCCATGAATCCACCGGCACACATGTGCGTACACACGACATGCCGCCTGTGCATATCCTGTCTTGCTTTTGGTCATGTACCCCGGATTCTCCCACCAGTAAAACCCGGGAACGCAGCCTGCACCGAGATCTGGGGAGGCGGGGGCCGCCAGTGCTGAGTGTGTGTCAGCTTCGGGTCAGTGGATGGCACCCGTGCTAAAGAACCATGATGGGATGCTCCTCATCCGCCCTGTCAACCATAGGATCGGCCTTGACTGGACTACCAATACAGTGCATGCCGTCGCTACTGGGGTATTAACCGTTGCCATCAAGGCTGATCAAGCTCGACCAACCACTGGTGGGGGCACCACGTACCGCAGCGGCTGTGCGATTGCAAAATAGCCGTAGTTCAACTGTTACGGCTCGACACCCTCACAGCTGGGAACCAAAGATCCCCCAGACCCGCCGCCGAGGATTAGACGGGAGCGCCTTCAGCGAATCCCAAATTGTTATTGCCGCCATTGCATGGGCAGTTCGCGATCATGCATCATCGACAATTAATGCGGGGAGAAGTATTGATCTGGGGTACGCCAGAAGGTGTGGGTGATTGCGACAGACGCAAGTTGACGCCAGCTTGACGAGCGACAAGTCGTTTGATTCATCCATGGGCGAAGGAGTCACCTATTTGTGGCTCGATACTGGCTGCCCTCCTGACGAGGTGCATAGCCCCCCCCCCTCAATATGGATGATACTGCAGGTGCTTAGAGCGTTGTCTCTGGGTTGGGGTGGTGGGGAGAAGAAAAAAGAGCCCACCGTCATTCTCGTCTGTTGTCGACCCGGATGCCCACTGGCTACGACGCGGCACTTTACATCCATCCACTTGCGCAATGCAAGCTACCTTGGGGCGGGGTTTCCCATACATGGAGTATTACCGTCTTCTCCGGACTTCGGCTTCAGGCAGTCGCACGGCTGCCCACGTGGACGACGCGGGCGCTTGGCGATCCTGTTGCTTTAAGTCGAGTAAAACACTTGCCGCTGCCTTGAATCGTTCAAATGAAGCGTGACAAGTGTGGTAATCGGCGCGTCTGCGGTGGCACAAGGCAGCGTTCACGGCCTTACATGGCCGCAGCAGACACCACCTGGAAGCTAGCATCGTGCCGACATAGCGTGATATCTTTGGCTGGCAACCCTTGCACTTACCGAATGAACTGGCAGCCCAGGCCATGCAGCAAGGGTGGAAGTGTCTTCAGTTGCCCCTGACAGGCAATGAATTACGCAACGCTATGGTAGCATACCGAGCTTCCATGCAGTGTCGAGTTGTCTTCCATTCGCACAGCATTGCTCACCCCTGGAAATCACGCACCTCATGTCCAGCTAGTCTCAGACCGGTCCACTTTTCTCGTCCCGCTCAGCCCTTTTGGCGTTGCGACAAGTTGAAACATGGTCTGTCAAGCTCGGCCGCCCTCGCCCGCCAGATTAAGTACAGAGCATTTGTTCGCTCGAGGTTTCATGATCATCACACAGACAGGATCGGATCGCCCTTCCTGTTCAGAGTACCCTTGCTTTCCAGTCGATCAGAGAGCGGTGTACCTGAGTGCATGTGTCTGTTTCTATGAGTGTGAGCACGTTTGCGGCGACCCCCCCCCCAGTTTTTGGACGGACCGAGAAAGTCCCTAGATTCTGGAACATGGTTCGCACTGGCTATTGTCCGTCAGAGGGACGCGACACAACGCCTGATATTTTTTTTCCTGTCTCCAGATTTGGCATGTCGGTCGATTTTACGAAAAAGGGAAACTCGCCAGGATCGCAATTTTGCACATGTGAGAGGGAGAGAGAGAGTATATGTGTGTGCGCATTATCAGCACACACAGACACATGTTATGATTCAGAGGCTACTAGGAACAGGAAGTTTTGTGTAACAGACCTTGCCGGAAACACACATCCGAAACACCTTTTTTTTCAGCTAGCAACCAAATTTCAAAAGTACAACACTAGAATGTTCGCCGTTTGCACCAAGCCAATGTCGGAAAGTCCTTGGAACGAAGATCCCGTGTGTACATGAGCGCGTATCTACTGTCTATTTCTGCTTCTCGGCATCATCCTTCATGCCGGCCTGCACCCACTCCCGACTTTGGGCAGCCTTCTCCTCCAACTTGGCCTTGTTCTTGAGCGTTTCCTTGATGGTGTGAGGGTCAGGCACGTGACGGCCTTTCTCTACACCAGGCCTTGACGTCATGCGCTCTTCCCAGGCCTTGAGTGCTGGGAAGCGGTCAATATCGATACCGGCCCATCCGGCTGCGGCAACCCAACCGTAGTGGGCAATATCTCAGGGTTTGTTAGTCAACGGGACCTTTTCTCTGGAACGACATGGCTGAGGAAACTTTGTGGCTGGGTCAAGGCGAAGGGGACAGGGGACCGGGGTGAGTGACAAGGGGATAAAGTGCAGTAATATGTAAAAAGGGGAACTATGGCATTTGCAGACTCGAATGCCTTTTCAGCACCACAGACGGGCGACGCTCTCGCCAGAGGTTTCGCACTGCTGCTGGCAAGTTTTGGTCGAGCGAGTGAACGGATCAACGAACGAATGTCGGGCTGGGATGGGCATGGATGAGAGGGGCAAGTTGTGTGTTGAGACAACACAGGGAAACTCCATGTTCGTGATGGAGGGTGCGTGGCAAAAACAAGGCCAGTCATGTATGGACGGTGGGTAGTGGTGGTGGCAGCGATGAAGATGGTGGCGTGCTTTTTTAACTCACCGGCAATGGTGCACTTGGTTCCGCACAGGTAGGGCCTGTTGTCGGAAGCAAGATGCTTGTCCAGCACAGAGTAGAGACGGCGCGTCTCAGTCTGGTACCTGTTTACACCGTACTGCAAAGCGTGTCAGTTTGTAGGATGTCGTTCAGACAACCAGCCAAAACGAAGCCTGGGCTTGCCAAGCAAAGGCTTCTTTCTGGTCATCATTTGTCTCGGACGCCTGCCTGCTTACCTCGATATGCTCCGGAGCGTATCGCGTGAAATGATCTGTTTTCAACCTGGTTAGCAAGGGTCCTGTCTCTCGCTTTCTCTTTTGCTCTCAATCTAGATTCCCCCTCCGTTCCATCCGTCCGGCCGCCCGCCAGCCGGCCACCATGCCTGTCCGTTCTGTCGCAGAAGCCTGGTTCTGGAAAAAACGACGACCACCAAACAAATGCTAGTAGCAACAAATTACCCCGTCCCCTCGCCGTGTCCGTCCCTGATCTCTCGACTTTTTTTTTGAAATCATTTCAACCCCCGGTGCGCGATCTCTGGCGCTGAAGTAGGGCGATTAGTCTTGTCTCGTCATGGAAGTTCCCCCGCAGCCAGCTCGCCATACAGACACGCCACTGCCATCGTCTGACGCCGCGCCCGCGTTCACGGCCCTCCTCCCCACATACCGAGCCAGGTGTGACTGTGTTGCCCTTTTTCCTCAGCAACCCCTCATCCCCCCCTCCTCCGGCGTAACCCAAGGCTGAGCTAAATCTACCTTGCAGCCTACTCCAACAACCAGTCGCCCCGTGAAGGCTGCATGATTGTTTTTGTTTTTTTGTCTTCCATATGACCAATATTTTCCATGATCCTGATGCTCCAGAAGACTCATAGACTCATAGACTAACGGAAGGCAGTCCTCCTGTCCCAAAAAGAAGAAGAGGAAAAAAAACAATAGAGACAGACAAAGCCAAAAGCCAAACCAATCATGTGAGCAAACGCGAAATATTGAGATGAAAAAAAAGGAAAAAGTCACTTGTTCACGTACTGGCTTGCCCTTGCATGGGGCCGACGCCGGCGTTTTGGAAAAACAGCCAGTTGTTCATTTCGTACCATTCGCGGGTACCCTTAGCAAAGCTGATTTTGTAATCCGTGTCGTAGCGCTCGACCAGGTACTGCATTATGCTGCCTGATTCGAAGAGGTGGATCGGCTGCCCGTCGGTGAAGGTGTCGGTCAAGGCGGGGATGCGGCCGTTGGGGTTGATGGCGAGGAACTGTTTTTTGGAGTGCGGGGTGTTAGATGGAGATGTTGTCTGACGAGAGAGGGAGGGGCAGGGGGGGGGGGAATGAGCGGGGTTGCATTGTGTTGGGTTGCATTGGGTCGGATTAGATTTACCCAGTCTTCTTTTTGTGTGTTTTTGGATATCTCGATTTTTTCGACTTTGTAGGGGATGCTGGTGGGGTTAGTGAGGTGAGCTGGTATCTTGGGATTTGTTGTGCTTGATGATGGTAGAATGGAAGAACGAATAAAGGCAGGTAAGAAGAGAGGAGGATTCCAGCTGGGCTCATCCCCATCTCTTGAGTAAATTGATGCCAATGAAGCATCTGTACAGTGATGGCATGATACACATCTGACATTTGGTTGTGTAAATGCAAAAGCGAGAGCTTGAAATGGAGTGGGAATTGAATAGTGTTTGGAAGGAAAAGTTCGACGCTCGGTGATGAACAGTGTGACGAATGAAGGGCTTTTTCAAAGTCCAAAGAGTAAGGAGATGAATGCTTCAAGTTCTTCATCATACATCCACTGCCCTCTTACTTCTTGATCAAGTAAAAGAATACATGACACGTGAAATAGAGCTGGTGGGGTTGATGAAGCGAACGTGATTGAAGTACATGGTCGTACCGGGAGACCTCGAAAAAGGCGCATAAACAAACAAACAATGCATACTGTAAGAAAATGTAGACTTGAAATGAAATGGCAACAAGACGAGAATTGTACATACCCTATCTCCTCCAAGGTAATGGAGATCTTGATGCCATTAGGCGTCTGAGTCGTGTAAAGCGTGATGCCGGATTCCTGAGACATGGTGGCAGTAGCAGTAAAGTATACTCGAATACAAGCAAGTATGAGCCTCTGAGAAGTGTTATTTGCTGGCTGTAAAGTACAAAAGGCGTAGCTAATGTAATGAAAGGTTTATTCTCGAGCTCTTCGTGATGCTGGAAGTGGGGCTCAGTGAGGGGCAATTATGACGAGCTTTGCTATTTGCTTAGAAATAGCGTACTAAAGACACTAACAAGATGTGTTCCGAGGTACGTACTAGAGCTAGAAACTAATGGAACAGGGAAAACCGTGTGGATTTTGCACGAGTACGAGTATGTTTGCATGTCAGTGTTGCGGTACTGTGCGATCTGCTGTCAGACTGGATAATGTGAGAATATATCAATGGCTTCATGTGCTTCCCATGCGCCCATGCTCATGGATACGTATGAATTTTAGAAGTTTCTGATCGTAATGCGTATGGCTAAGTTCTAACTGACTATATTTTCTCGTACCGTCGGACAATGCCTCATAAAAATAGAAAATGGTACCTCCATGTACAGTTCCCTGCATGTCTGGTCTGTGGAAAACCTCTAATGCGGTATCATCCCGTAGTTGCCCCTGAGATGATTGAAAAAGCAAAAATACTCGGGCCAATCGACTACAATCTACCCGCATTAGGTGCAAGATTGCCCAAAGCGGCAATGCCCTGACAGTACGAAGTGTGGCTCCAAGTCGGTTGGTGACCAGAACACATGCACACCGTCATTAGGCGGTGAGCTATTGATCACAAGATTTCCGAGTACTGGTAACAATAAAACGCGTCGATATTGTCTTACTATCCTAGGCACAATACTCGGTAGGCATCCACGGTACGTGATCTGAAAGGCGCAACCCAAAGCGGTCTAGTGCGATCTCTGTTAGCCTAAAGCTCTGTCGCGAGCCTTGTTAACTTTCTCAACCCGCCTCAAACCTCTTTCCGTTACCTTTCACCAGACCGCCTCGCCACCGCAACCATGTCGTGGCGCAACCAGGGCATTACTGGATCTAACAATATCCCTCTAGGAACTCGTCGGCGCTTCGGCGGCGGCGATGATGACGCTGGATACAATCCCTCAGCACCCGCTGAGGGTTTATCTGAGCTGAAGCGCGGTCGCAGCCCAGAGCGCGGTACGTTGAGTTTTGCACACCCTACGACGCCTGCTAATTCTTTGGTCGCAGCTGCTGATGCTCCGCGACAGCGGAAGAAGCGCAACCGATGGGGCGACGCGAGCGAGAACAAGGCTGCTGGCTTGATGGGCTTGCCCACTGCCATCTACTCTGCCATGACTACGGAGCAGCTTGACGCGTATACTCTGCACCTGCGCATTGAGGAAATTACCCAGAAGCTGAAGATCAACGACGTTGTTCCAGCCGATGGTGACAGGTATGTGTCCTCTGCCTGGTGCATGCGCCTCACGGCTAACACGGATAGGTCTCCTTCACCTCCGCCGCAGTACGATAACTTTGGTCGCCGTGTCAACACTCGCGAGTTCCGCTACCGCAAGCGCCTCGAAGACGAACGCCACAAGCTTGTTGAGAAGGCGATGAAAACACTTCCTAACTATCACCCACCTGCCGATTACAGGCGCCCTACTAAGACACAGGAGAAGGTCTACGTTCCGGTCAATGATTACCCGGAGATTAACTTCAGTACGGAACTAACCCCTCTAACCCCCCCTCCCCCGTTCTGTTTCACCCCAGCCTTTGTCTTGACCAGCCTGCTCAGACTGCTGGATGTTCATTCGCATCTAGTGGCACCTGCAGTACAGCTATGTCACTAACCCTAACCCTTTTGCTCATACATTAATATTTTTGATCATAGACTAACCGCAGCTTTTTGCACTAACAGTTGGTCTGCTTATTGGCCCCCGTGGAAACACACTCAAGAAGATGGAGACAGAATCTCAGGCAAAGATTGCGATCCGTGGCAAGGGTTCCGTGAAGGAGGGTAAAGGACGCTCTGACGCAGCCCATACCAGCAACCAGGAGGAAGACTTGCATTGCTTGATCATGGCCGACACCGAGGAGAAGGTCAACAAGGCCAAGAAGCTGATCCACAATGTCATTGAGACGGTGAGTTGTTCCCAAACTATCATGTCAAGTAATACTAATAATAACTTTAGGCTGCATCCATCCCCGAAGGTCAGAACGAACTCAAGCGCAACCAGCTCCGAGAGCTCGCCGCCCTCAACGGTACCCTTCGCGACGACGAGAACCAAGCCTGTCAGAACTGTGGAGAGATTGGTCATCGCAAGTACGATTGCCCGCAGAAGCAGAACTTCACGGCCAGCATCATCTGTCGCGTCTGTGGCCAAGCTGGTCACATGGCTCGCGACTGTCCCGAACGCAAGGTCGGCCAGCCCTGGCGCAACGACAACCGATTCGGCGACCGCGGTCAGCAAGGGCGCATCGGCGGTGCCCCCGAGAACGAGCTCGATGCTTTCATGGCCGAAATGGGTGGCGCTGGCGGTCAGTCTCGTGGTGCGATCGAATACAACGGCAATGGTGGCGGTGCTGGCGACAGCTATGGAGGAGAGCGTCCTCTCAAGCCTTGGGAGCGTGGTCCCTCGGGCGGTGCTGCACCCTGGGCGCGTAACGACGACGACCGTGGCCGCGGCGACAATCATTCTTCTGCTCCGCCGCCCTGGGCTAGTGGAGGCGGTCGTGGCGGCCAGTCGTACGACCAAGGCTACGGCGCAGGAAGCGGCGCAGCTCCTTGGGCCGCTGGTGCCCCTGCCGGTCCTGCCGGTGCTGGCTATGGATATGGCGGCTACGGCTATGACCAGAGTGCTGCCATGGGTGCTCCTGGCGCTTACGGTGGTGCTCCCGGCTACGGTGCTCCTCCACCTCCCTCTGGGCCCCCACCTGGTCTTGGCCCTCTCTTCCAGAGCTATGGCTCTGCCGGAAGCCCTCCGCCACCGCCACCGCCGTCTGGCTCTGCGCCTCCACCGCCTCCTCCGGGTGATGTGCCGCCTCCTCCTCCACCGAGCGATGTCCCGCCTCCACCGCCGCCCCCGGCCTAAGCTCCTCAGGGTAGCAGTAGCAGCAACAGTCGTAGTGTAGATCTGGATCGACATGTAGTCGGCTTTTGTGTTTAAACTCACAGGCTCTAGGGTTCTTGATGTGGTTACACGGATTTCGCTGCGTACAAAACAGTATATGCGGTCTGTTGGGTTTTCTATACATGTAATACAACCAGTGGCTAACATCTGTCCTTTTCCGGTGAAATAGGTAAGGTGATTGGCGAAGCCGAGCAGATATGGCGGGTCCTTCCGAGGTTGACCACCGCCGTTTCTGGTCTGCTCCATGCTTTCAGGAAACGAATCTGGGCCTATTCTTTACCAGTAAAATGTATCTTACGTGTAATACCCAAGTCTATGAATGCAATGTTGTTGGTTAGTCTCGATCAATTCGAGCGTATTGGATGGAAAGCGCCCTAGCATTTCCCCCCAGATGACCAGGTGCGAGAACCTCACGTGCGTGACAGAAGATTGCAAGCGCGAGACGAGTGTTGTTGTGAGCACCTGCGCGCTGCTCAACCACGGCCCGAGAAGCAACACGGGCACGGGTGCGGTAGTCTGATGACGTTGAAGGCCAAGATGATACTAGCACACGCGGCGGGACGAGGCATGAGCATGAGCATGACATGACGGGGCGGGCACATGCCGGCACGCTCGTGTCTACCATGCAAACACATCACTACCCTATCGCGGTAGGCTTCACTGCTTGACGCTCTCGTTTGCGCGTGCGTTTCCTTTTCGATGTCTGTGTTATACAGCCCCTCACTTTGGTAGCAACCGACACCCCCGCCCGCCTCCAGGTTGCCTGCAACTCACCTCACCACCCACACCATCGTGAACCAGCACCCGAGTCACGTCCACCGACGACCACGCGCCCAAGACTGTGGCCATGGAGCGGATACGCGTCAGCAAGGTATGCGTCTCCGCATGCCCAGACTGCGCAACCTGACTGTGTCTGCAGGTAGAAAATGTATACCTTCTCCGCAGAGGTACGCGGTTCGATGGCACGCTGCACCTCATGCCGCATCACCTCGTCTTCAGCTATCTTCCCAGCCTTCCCGCAGACGCCCCGCCAGACGCGAAGCCGCCGCGGCTAAAAGAAGTCTGGATCACGTACCCCATGATAAATTACTGCTCTCTCAGACCGTGCCCCCCCGTCCTTCGCCAGGAACCCTCGATCCGAATCCGATGCCGAGACTTCACCTTTTTCGCCTTCTTCTTTCCCGACGAGAAGAAGGCACGTGACGTGTACGAGAGCATCCGAGCCTTGTCTTGTAAGATTGGGAGACTGGACAAGCTCCTGGCTTTCAGCTACCAGCCAAAGCCTCCAGAGGACAAGCAAGACGGCTGGAGCATTTACGATGCGCGCCGCGAGTGGAAGCGCTTGGGAATCAGCCCCAAGGATACAGAAAAGGGTTGGCGCATATCCGAGGTCAACAAGGAATACAAGGTACATGGCATGCGACACCTACCGCTGGGAGATTTCTTGACGAGTGGCACAGTATTCTGCAACGTATCCCGCTCTGCTCGTCGTACCTACCAATGTCTCTGACAGCGTTCTCCGATACGCGGGCGAATACCGCTCCCGACAGCGCATACCCGCCCTCGTCTATCGTCACCCCATCAACAACTGTTCTATAACGCGAAGTTCACAGCCAACGCCTGGGCTCCGCGGAAACCGGAATCCCCAGGACGAGCGACTCGTTGCGGCTATCTGGGCAACTAATCGTGGGTGGAAGCCTACAACCACCCCTTCAGGCTCTGTCGAGTTTACTCCAGACTCGAGCGTTGTGAACCTTAATGAATCCAGTGCTAACAGTTCTTTTGTCGGTGCAGAAGGGGCAGCGAATAGCGCGAGAACGACCGTGGATGACCTGACGGCATCCTCGGAGTCTGATGCCGATCTACCCAAAGTGTACGGGGCTCAACAGCGAAACCTGATCGTTGACGCCAGGCCGACAGTGAATGCGTATGCGATGCAGGCTGTCGGGCTTGGCTCAGAAAAGATGGACTACTATCCTGGTGCGGAGAAGGCCTACCTCGGAATCGACAATATCCATGTCATGCGCAAATCATTGGACACGGTGATAGAGGCTTTGAAAGAGTCGGATTTAGTGTCTTTCCCCCCAAACAGGCAGTTGCTGGCCAAGAGCAACTGGATCAAGCATATAGCCAATATTCTGGATGGTACTGCATTGATCGCTCGTACTGTCGGAATCATGCATTCACACGTCCTGATTCACTGCTCCGATGGGTGGGACCGTACAAGCCAGCTGAGTGCGCTCAGTCAGATACTACTGGATCCATACTACAGGACAATGGAAGGTTTTATGGTTCTCGTAGAGAAGGACTGGCTATCTTTCGGGCACATGTTTCGACACCGATCAGGATTCTTGAGTCACGAGAAGTGGTTCACCATTGAAAACGAAAAGATTGAACGAAAGTACGACGGTCAGGGTGGTGGCAATGCTTTTGAGAATGCCATTCGGGGTGCGCGAGGTCTCTTCAATCGTCACAACGAGTCCAACGAATCCCTCAACCAGCTTCCAGAGACCAATATTCCAGAGAACGTCACTGATATCGTCGATGCTGGTACATCGAAGCCGGTGCAGCCCGGCGCGGCAGAAGAGCACCGGGTTACCAAGGTCAACGAGCTATCGCCTGTCTTCCACCAATTCCTTGACTGTGTTTACCAGCTACATTATCAGCACCCGACCCGATTCGAGTTCAATGAACGCTTCCTGAGACGTTTACTGTACCATCTGTACTCCTGCCAATACGGTACATTCCTTTTCGATAATGAGAAAGAACGCGTCGAGACGAGGGCCAAGGAGCGAACAAGAAGCGTTTGGGACTATTTCTTGTGTCGGAAACAGGAGTTTATGAACCCCAAGTACGATCCGGAAGTGGATGATGCTGTTCGCGGCAAAGAGCGGATGATATTTCCTCGAAAAGGAGAGGCAAGGTGGTGGGCTGAGTGCTTTGGTCGCACTGACGAAGAGATGAACGTTTTTGGACCCCAGGCACCTCTTAACCTAACTCCTCAAACAAGCAGTGCGGGTAACGGAAAGAGCGGCTATAACACACCAATTGTCCATGAACCTGTTGTCACGGGTGTCGAGACCGCAGAAGGAGCGTTAGGCGCTGGCACGACGGTTCATCCTCCACCTACGCACGCTGTCGGTGATCGCTCTCCCAGAGCCTCTAGCCCGGCCAAACCACTTGATTCTGCAGCTTCGTTTGGGCAGGACCTGAAACAAGGCATGATGGCGAGCTTTGAGAGACTGGGCATCACTGGAAACGCAAGCACGAGTAAAGGAACAAGTCCAACTGGAGGTAGCAACAGACCAAGCGAGGACATTGCACGAGAAGCAGTCAAACCAAGCTCAGACTTGAATGCAGATCTGAGGGCTGGAGAGAAGATTGATGAAACTACGGAAGAGGCCAACGTCGTACCTGCTGAGCAGTCGGAGGACAAGAGCGCAACCACTGATGCAGAAAAGATTGCGGAGCCGACTGTAGAACAAGATCCAACCCCAGATCCCAGTCTTGGCCTTGGAGCAAATATTGTCGAGAAGCAAGCCGAGAACCGGAGCCGGAGCCGTAAACCCAGTCATAATCCCGGGGCCAAAGAGGAGGTGAAGATTGAGATGCAATGAAGAGTATGAAGATTGGCTTTTTGATGAACGGAATTATTATGATGAATGCATTAGATGATACCCCACGGGTTCATGGTTAGGAATAAGTAAAGGAATGTACCATTGATATGCCTATGCTGTTTGTGTTTCAGTGTTACGGTTCTGGCAGTTGGCTGTTATGTGCTGAGACTGAGTAATGGAACCCACACAATGTGCAGTGGTGGAGACTTTGCTCATGGTTTAGTGTCTGACTGGCATAAAGAGACAGTGGTAGTGTGGATGAGGGTAGATAATGTCGGCGTGTAAATATCTTATTCCCATGGGGAGACTACGATTGCAGTTCGCACGCCAGATTTTACATTTTCGTCTTTGTTTTTTGGACTTGACAAGTTGATGTTGAAGCTTCAGTCAAGGTCTTACAAAACGTCTACTTTTGCCCTCTGCATCTGAATTGGGAGAACATGATAATTATTCAGTGTCCGATACTAGGACCCCAATGACAAGTGCTGTTAGCAAGACGCTATGCCGAAGTCTACGTCCGAAAAACTCGAGATGCGATTGGACGATACATAAGGGTATTAGACTCTGCGAACCGATCAGCAGGGTTGATTTTCGCGTTAGTAATACGAGCTTGGACCCGGTGACGTTCTCCATTATTCTCGCCGCGGCAACCCACCTTTCACCTCTCCAAAGTGCAATTGACGCCTCAAGGTACTCTTTTGACACAATTCGCAATGGCATCTTCAAGGCTTGTCGCCCGCTCGTCGCGAGCTTTGGTTTCGCTCCAGCGCACTCAATGCCGCACTTTCACCATCTCTTCGCTCCGCAATGGCGAGTTCGATGCGCTCAACAAGCGCACAAATGACACCTCGGAAACCTACCGCCAATACCAGATTGAGAAGCCTCTGAACCCTCATTTGCCCAACACGACTTCGACTATTACCAACAAGATGCCGTCGGCGGGGGAAGCCGCCGCCCCACCAGAGTTGATGACCAACAGCGAACTGGGCGTTGGCGAGATGGAGGGCGCCAAGTTTAAGGTCGAGCCGCTCAAGCGGACGGGCGAGGACGCCAATACGATGCGCGCGAGGTTATTATGTCCGTTCATACAATCCCCCGTCTCATGCTTCACATGGCTATGATCATCATGTTGATTGCGTCGTCTTGGACAAGAGGCAAGTTGGCTGACAGTAAGCAGATCAGAGTCGGAAGAGGGGAACCCTAGAAAGTGATCTCCTGCTGAGCACCTTCGCCGACGCCCACCTCGCCACCATGTCGCCTTCCCTAATGCAGCAATATGATTCTTTCCTCGATGAAAACGACTGGGACATTTACTACTGGGCAACACAAGAACCCACGCCTACATCACACGAAACAGCCGAGGGCAGTGGCTCCACCTTGTCCACGCCTAATGTACAGGGCAAGGATGCGACGGCGCAGACGAAGTTGCCAGAAAAGGATGAGCGCAAGAGAGACCCTGGAGAGGGCGAATGGGCGCAAACAGTGGGCACTTTCAAGCCTGCGTACAGGCCTGTTCCCAACAGGTGGAAGGGCAGCGAGATTCTTAGCCTGCTCAGAAAACACGTCAACGAGAGGAAGGCAGGCGGTGTCATCGAGGGTCACGGCCAAAAGCAGCAGGAAGGCAAGGGTCTGGGCATGATGCCTGAAGTCAAGAATTTCGATCAGTAAAGAGCCGAGACCCTCTGGCTGCTGGCGGTATGTACGTCGACTGTAGTAAAATATGTACACAGAATGTTTCCTCTCTGCTGTTTCATCGCTTTCGTCATGCTCGTACTTGCTAGATCGATGCAAACACAGGCAGACTGCTCATGGCCTTGCCGTCATCACCAAACATGACATTCCAGCCACAGCTGCTGCCGAGCGACGCATTATCAATCCACGCAGGCTCCCAGTAGAAGAGACCAGTACCCTTTCCGCCAGGCACTGCAGCGACCCTCTTGGCCACCTCCTTCATCCACGTCACCTGTCCATCAACGGAAATGGGAATCGACTTTGTGTCTGCCGGGAAGGGGTACTTTGGATTGGGGCACCAACTCGGCCAATTCGTCTCGACAACCATGACCTCCTTGCCGTACTTGGACGCCATGGCATTAATCGACGACTGCAGCGCCGCCAGCGTGGCGCTCGCAGAGTAAAACGGGTAGTACGACACGCCCTGGACATCAAAGTCGGCGAGCGACAAGCCGCCGCCAGAACCAAGCACGAGATCGTACCACCACTGCTGGCGAGACCCATCCCAGCCGTTATCCAGATGAATCATGATTTTCGGCTTGGGACTCATACTCGACTCTTTGATGGCTTTGCTCGCGGATTTCAGCAGCGCCGCCACGTTGGCCGCCGCCGCCTGGCTGTTACCGGAGAGCTGGCCGACGGGGAATAGCAGGCCCGGCGTGATTTCATTGCCAATCGACACGATACTCAGCGGCACGCCGTTGCTCTGGAACGTGTTGATGACGTTCTTGGTGTAGTCGTACACTTTAGCTACCAGCGCATCTTTGCTCAGACTGCGCCACGCCGCAGGCGTAACCTGTTTGCCTGGATCGGCCCAGCTGTCGCTGTAATGCAGCGTCAATGCCACCACGAGGCCTGCGGCTTTGGCGCGCCGCCCCAGCTTGATGTTGTAGTCGAGATTGTAATTGCCGTCGGAGGGATTGACCCACACGCGCTGGCGCACCGTGTTGACGCCCGAGGCTTTCAGAATGCTTTCTAGCGGCTGCACGCTGCCAGCGCTGTTCTTGTACTGCTTTCCGGCTGCTTCTTCGACCAGCACAGAGGACCAGTCGGCGCCTTTGTAGGGCAGTGCGCCGAGCACAACGCTGCTGGCGCTGCCCCCAATTCGAGCAAGGATTGGGTTTCGGTATATTGCGGGTGGGCTTCTGGTGGGGAAAAAAGAGAGAGAGAGACAGAGGCATGTACATGGACATGGGTCGGGGGGGGGTGGGTGGAAGTGGAGATGGGGGAGATGGGGAGGGGTGATGGAGTAAAGCTAATCTATATATATACAACGAGTATTTAAAAGGCATGTACACATGTCCCTCTGGGATAAGATTTTTTTCTCTCTTTCTCTCTGTTAGTTTTTTTGATTCTGGATTTCCTGGTAATTGTGGGAAAGAAAAAGAAAAGATTGGGTTTATTGTTATCCTACCCATTTGCCTTTAGCTGTGTTTTGCTCTACTTACTCCCCGTTGTCGCACGCCCCCCCCCCACACGCCCGCCTAGACGATGCGTCTCGCGCACCTCGTTGCCTCGACGCTGCTGAGAAAGGGAAAAAGCACGGGAGAGAAGGGGGGATTGCCCGTTTCTGCCAACTTCCCCCCCCCCTGTCAGTCAAGTCAAGTCAAGTCATCTAGAGTGTCCACGCACGCCCGGCCGCCACCGCAGTCGTCCCAAAGTTTGGGGTTAAGCCGAAACCCTAAAGAGGAAATGCATAAATAGCACTGGTTTTTTTTGTTTGTTTTTCTTCCTCCAATCAGCCAGCCAGCCAGCCAGCAGGGGGTGCCGTGTCCGCGTGCTCCGCTTTTTTTATATACAAGGGCACATGCTTCTTTTTTTGTTTGTTTCAAAACAGATGAAAAGGCGCCAAGCGCATGACCAGAAACATGGGGCCTAGCCGTTGGAAGAGGGGGGAGGGGGGGAGCGGAAATGTGAACAAAAGCCATCTAGCTTCCAGTTCAAACAGGGTGCGGGCTCATGTCCCGATGAGGTAACGTAAGAGGTGCACCGAGTCGATATGCGAAACATGACTAAGACATGAACTTGTGCACAAGGGACATGTCAAAGTCGAGATACATCAAGCAAAAGAAGACAAGACGAGCGAGCTACGATGAAGAACATTTTTCCGGTGGTCAAAGCCATCTTTGATGTTTGGGTGGTTTGATTGAGTACATAGCAGTGAAGCAGTAGAGACTCCGTGTTTCCCCCCCTCTCAAAAGAAGCCCAGTCCGTTTCGAATGTGCAAAGGAAGTTGTGTCAGGGTTCGTAATGGCATCATACCCTTTCGCTAAATGCCTTTTTCGTAACCTCATTGCGCCCGCAACCAATCATCAACCTACTGCTCCCCAGAGTAACCCTCACCAGCTGGCTGAGCCTCGGCCTCGCCTTGCTCCGCCTGCCTGGCCTGCTCTGCAGCCTGCTGGGCGGCAATGGCCTTGGCGCCGTAGTCTTGCGACATGGGCTGGACAACGGGCTGCTCCTCCTTGGGCTCGATGATGGTGACGGAGTCGGGAAGAGACTTGGATGGGCCGGCCTTGCCCTCGGGGTCGGAGCCGCGCATGATCTTGACCTTGATGCCGAGCACACCCTGGCGGAGCAGAACGTGGCGGGTAGCGTGGTCGATGAAGTCCTTAGCGGGCTGACCAGAGTGGATCATGAAACCGTCCTACGCTTGTCAATATGCCAATCTCAAAACGACAAGGGCGGGCATGCATACAGTGAACTTCATGCTCTTGGCACGGGCGGCCCTGAGCTTTCCGGAGACAACGACCTCGCAACCCTTGGCACCAGACTCCATGATGAACCTCAGGACACCGTAGCAAGCCCTTCGGACGGCCAAACCATTGAGAAGCTTGTATCGGAGGGACTCGCACTGGGCGACGGCAGAGAGACCACGGTTCTGGACCTTGGCGGCGTAGAGGGAGACGGAGTTCTCGGGGAACTTGAAGCGCTTCTGGATGAGCGAGGTGAGCTCACGGATGCGGCGACCCTGCTCTCCAAGAACCTCTTGGGTGTGTGTGGCGCGGATGATGATGTCGGTGACGGTGGGAGTGACGCGGACCTCGACGCCGGAGTAGCCCTCCTCAGCCAGCTCGCGCTGGAAGAACTCGTTCAGCTCGGCGTAGAAGACACCGTCTGTGGATGGGTGTGTTAGCGACCATTTTTTTGTGCGCAGTATTCAACCCTCTCGCAGTTTGATATGCCGCCATCATGGCAGCGCCCGTATGAAGCAGCTGCCCCGGGCGCTTGCAGATCCTCGCTCCTCCGTCTTCTACCTCTGGAAAGGGTGTATCGTACCAGCAACGAACTTTCTCCTCTTGGAGCTACCATGTCGTCAGTATTCGTTCGCAATTGCGCGCCTGGCTGCTGCGGTGGCGGGCGGATAGACTCACATTGCGGTTTGAGTGGTGGCCATTTTGTCGAACTGTGGATGGGCGTAACTGAACTCCGGGCGTGGGTGTTCAGAAAAGTCGAGCCGTTGTTATCGAAGTTGTGATGCCTCGTAGGAACCGCAATTCGATGTCGCTTAGCGAGTGCGCGCTAAAGCTCGGACCACCCGCCTCTCATCATCGGCCACTGATAAGATAGCAGCCTGCCACACGAGGAAGAGGAGGTAAATTGGTTGCACCAGTGTGATTGGCTGAATAAGCTATGATTCGAGTTGATATTGAAACCAGATACAGTCTAGATATGCTGAAATGCACCCTAAAACGCCATCCATCCTCCAAGTTGCGTAAATACAAAGTGCCGTTGCCCCTCCGTTTTCCCACGGCTCACCTACATGTGCTCAATCGGCTCCTCAGGCAGCAGCGGCTCGGGCTTGCGCTCGACGCACGCCTTTAGCGGCGGGCGGACCAAGTCGTTAAACAAAAAGGTGCCGTACACGAGCAGAGCGAAACCTGCAACCTGCAGCCACTTGAATGACTCCCAGCCAAGGCCTAGCGACACGATCCAGATGAAGAGCGTGCGGCAGGTGTCAATCGTCGAGCGCGAAGTAGCGGAGACGGTGCGGGTAACAGAGAGACCGAAGAAGTTGAAGCCACTGCACAGCGTTAGTAAATGTGTTACCGGGTCGATCAGAATACATACCCAATGCTGATCATGATCAACAACGAGGAGAAGGCAATGGCACGGTTGTGGAACATCTGGTAGAAACCCTCCCTCGCGTTGAAGTATCCGGTGCCGATGGAAAGGTGCAGGATGACCATGCCAATCATTGTGACGAGGAATCCAAAGGTACCTTCCCAGCCAACAACCTTGATCGGCTCCATGGCGTACTTCTCCATGATCCTCTCCTCAAGCACAAACTGCGTGGCAGTGAAGATCTGCGCGCCAGCAATAAGCAGCACACCAATAACCGTCATGAGAGCTTGCGAAGCAGCGGCTTTGACCTCGTCTGATCCTACGGCAGAACCGTCGTCGGACGGATGACCAGGCTCCTTGGCCAGGGCGCCAGCGAGTCCAACGATTGCGACACCTGTGACCACAACGAAGAGCGAGAACCACTTGTACAGTCCGAGATGACGCTTGAGGAACCACACGCTGAAGAGTCCAACAAAAAGCACAAGCGCGCCTCGAGTCATCTGGTAGATACTGGCTACAACGAACAACAATCCAACATTCATGAGCGTTGTTCCGGCAATGTCGGCGCATGCTGGAAGCGCCAGCAACAGTATACTCCTTCCTTCGAGCGGAATTCTACCCTCGTCGTCTGGGTGCGCGGGCCTCAGCGGGTTCGCAACAGGCGCCGTCTCAGATTCCTCTGAAGCTGGGGTGGCTGCGCCGTCACCGTTGGGGATAGGTTCGTAGCCAGCCTTGGCCGTCGCGTATCGTTGGTAGAGGTTGAACGCGCCGATGACGAGCCAGCAGCCCATTTCTCCAATGAACATCTGTAGTGTCTGGAGGACGGGCTGTTCGAAGCGTTCTTGGTGCTTCGGGGGAGCGTCACAGTTCTTGACGCATTGCATGTCCTGGTGGTAGGCGTCAGCATCCAGCTCATTGACTCACATACGAAGGGATGACTTACTTGATACTTGGTCAACAGCGTGTTGCACACGCCCGTCAACAGCATCATCGCCACCAGAAACGGCACCGTTGCCTTGACCGCCATGATGAAGACGGGGAGAGCTCCTGGAGCTTGTGTACGTGTGCTTGGTGGATGCTTATCCGATGCAACGTACTCGGGCGTTGCTCACAAAGAATGCAGAGCGCTATGCGCAGAAGTGATGGAGATGAATGAGGGAGGAGGAGGTAGAGATGGCCTCGGCGACACCAAGGTGCTAGGCGGCTTTAAGCTCCAAGCTTCGACCCGTGATGGTTTGGATCCGCAAGTGAGGCGCGTGAGGGTGCGCGACGAATGATGTAGGAGCCGCACACGCCTCCGGCGATAAGAGATGGCGCTAGCCCTTCTCCGCCGTCTGGAGTCGGGATCATCCCTAGCACGAGCGCGTCTTGCAGCTGCAGGCTTGCTGTAGTCATATGTGGTTTGCTGTGTTGCTGTGGTTAGCATACATATCACACAGGTCAAGCATGCCGACCGTTCTGCGCTTCTCGCCATGTGCCTGCTGATCCGGGGGGGAGGCAGACGCGGAAATGCGCTAGCCTCCGCACTTGTCTCGTGCTTGTTCGGGGGGATGGGGACGCGTGATCACATCAGGCACGCTACCTTGTTAATAACATTTCCTCTTTTCGGCGCCAGTCCACAAGGCACACATTTCTTTTGAGTATATAATTAAATCGAAGTTGCTTTTGGCGCAAGCAGGTCCATCTCGAATTTCGAGCTGAACCCTTCTGCAATTTTTCATTACAAATCCCCAATACCACGCACATCTTACAAAAACCACCTGAACTCGGGGTTTTTAGGGCCATCTCTCAACTTCTCAGTCGACACGTCTTTCGCCGTCAGGTTCACGCCCTGCTTTGCGTTTCTCCTCTTGTTGTCAATCACCATGTAGCATCCCAGCAGTGCCGCACACAAGGCGCCCGTTGCCCCAAACGCCGCCGTCGTAGCCAGCGCTGGAATGTACCCGGGCGCGTCTTGTGGCCTGAAGATGTTCGAACTAACCACTCCCATCAAGTTTGCCAGCGGTACACCAACAGAGGTGAGCGTCACGCGTCGGTTCTCGTCTGCGACGTTGTTGTTGTACCATGTGGAGAGCAGGACCGAGGGTGCAGATGTTCCCCATGTCATCATGAAGCAGGCAAAGTATGCAACGTGAATGGAGTGCTTCACGTCAATCGTGGCGTAGATGATAAACCCGATGAATGTCAGGAGGAAGCCGAGGGCGATAAATGGGAAACGAAGACGTGTGTGGTCGGAGGCAAAGGCGAGGATGAGGAGAACACATGCGCCCACAATGTTTGGTGCGACAGTGTAAAGGTTCGTCTTGATTTTGTTGTAACCAAGTCTGCCGACAATTTGGGGCAAGAAGAGCGACACCGATTGCAGCGGTACACCGAGGCAAATTTCGATGGCGAGAAACCCATAAGTCGATGGCTCTTTGAAGATGAGAAGCGCGTCTTTCAAGTTGAATTTTTGCCCGACGACGGATGAGGAGTCAATCTGAATACGCGTGTATGCGAGCTCTTTCTCGGCCTCATTGAGAAACGAGGCCTCGTAGGCGTTCTTCGGGAGATACCAGTAGGTGAAGAATGAACAGCAGACGGTGAGTGCTCCCTCGATGATAAAGAGATATCGCCACGAGTCTAGTGTTGACTTGATCTGAAACACACCGAATGCGAGGAGGCCAGAAAAGGCGTTGGCAATGTTGGACGCAGCGTAGAAGATGGCAAGTCGTCGTGCAAGCTCACCGCGGCGGTAAAAGGTAGTGAGATAGTAAATGACGAGGGGGAAGAATGCACTCTCCGACATTCCTGTAGCTAGTTAGTCCTTACTATTCATATACAGAACCAGACCCAGATACCTACCCAAGAACCATCTCAGCGCCATCATTCCACTCCAATTGTGCACGCTAGCAGCAAGTAGCGTCGCACTGCCAAAACAAAACATCATGATCGGCAAGACACGATGCGGTCCGAATTTCTTTCCGAGCATACCAACCGGCGGTGCAAAGAGGACATAAGGCACATAGAAGATACTCAGCATGATGTTGTACTGGTTCCCTTTGAAGTGCAAGTCCTTGTCCATGCCGTCCGTCTTTGCATTACCTAAATGCCAGTAGATTAGTCCACGCCCAATTGCTCAAGGGAGCGTCGCTGTAGCAGATATCCATACCAAGATTCCCCTTATCAAGTGCATTGAAAAGGTACATCAAAGACAAAACGGGTAATATGCGCAAGTCGAATTTCAACGTCAAGGCTCTTTCGTGCTCGTACGTGGGAAGGTGTTGTGTGGTGCCTTGGACCGGAACAGGGGCATTGGCATTTTTGGACGACGACAGCGAAGTCGTGACATGGAGGTCATCTTTGGCGAGCTCGGGGTCCTTGTTACTCGCCATGTTGACGGGTGGACGGGGGCGCAATGCGTTGCAAGAGGCGTGCGGTGCCGATTAAACTTCGAGACTGGGGGGGCGGCAGTAAAGCGCTCCTTCGAAGGAATGGTGGTGAGAGCAGGGAAGGGAGAGGAACGCGACGGCTGCAACCACAAAGCACTGCGACGTGAAAGCTTTTTGTACGGCCAGCCGTTGCTATCAATCGTCAAGGCCGCCGTGGAGTTACATGCTCCCGTAAACACCCTGCCCGGGCTGTGGCGCTAGCCCAATCGTTCCGTGGCGAGTGTGCGCGCGAAGTAACCTTCTCCGCCTCTCTCGCATTGCACAACTTAGTAACTGGCTGCCCTGATAAACTCCCTGCTTTTTTTCGACAGTTTGACCAATACTGCTTATGCGACGTCGCATGGGACCAGTGGCATGGCGTGTGAGTGGTTCGGCTGTGGGACGTGAAGGGTGGGATCGGCGCATCTGGTTGTTGAAGGATTGTCGGGGGCTAGTGCGGAGATAGCTTGATAAGAAACGGCCCGCCCAGTGCGATTTCGGATGACCGCCTTGGGTATGACGGCAGATAGCACCCTTGACTCTGCAAGTTCAAGCGTCGTCGCACACCTAGTTTATTCTGGAAATTTTGCTCTGTGTCGCGAAGGCGAAGTCCAAGGGCGAGGAATCCGCAGTTGTCGCGTGCTTGCGAAAGGTACGGGTGGAGTGTGCTCCACCAATGCCGTTTCTCCGCATCGACTAGTCCAAGCGGGAGAAACCATGCCTCTGTCTTTGGAAGGTACAGCTCAGAAGGGTGGATCTCACGTGTCCAAGATATCCCGGGGTCCTTGACCACGGCATTGCTGTCATCGGCCTTGATGCCCGTGGGATATTCGAGCACTGCTCAGGTGCGTGCTTGAATCATTGCGGAAAGCACTTCATGTATACGGCTGTACACGCGGGAGAGCGTAGACGCGTACGATGCAGATGAGCGTGACACTTACCACATGGCACGCATCTCTTGTCAACACTACCATTTGCTTCATGAGTTTATCAGCGTGGTTATTAGTGCAGGAGTGGCTACAGACCGATGGGGTTGTCGGAGGATGATGTATATTGACTTTGTAAGCCTGTTCTCCACAGTGCACGGCAAACCCTCGCCTATCAGTGCTAAGATGTGTCCAGAGCGAACGTGACCTAGCATCCTTATCAACATGTAAATTGCTGCCATGAGGTGGGCCTTGGCAAGACAAGTGCAGTGTGCAAATGGAGTACGGTTATTCCCGGAACTTGTGTTGCTCGTACATGACATGTCTATGGGCAAGACGGCTGACTAATCGTCTTTGGGACCGTCTATCGCGAGGCAAAGAGAAAAAGGCGAGCCTTGATGACCAAGAAAAATCAAGCGTACATGCTGGCAGTATGTTGAAATATCCGAATATGGAAAAGATGAAATGAAAAAAAAAACTCTGCCAGAGTGTGAAGTGGCGCATCATCTCGTACTATACAACGCCAGTGGGTATCCTTTAAAAGCGAAGCTTTTACTCGTAAACGCCTATACCAATAGTCATAGGAAAAATGGTCAGAATGAAATATGACAAGTACAGTATCGCTGGTCTCATGGGTTATGGGCGACTTCCTTGCCTTTGGAGGAGCGGGGATGCAGGAAGTGCAGACCACCCTTGGCGACGCCGGCGACGTTGAAGTGCAAAGGCTCTTTGGGGCCTTTCTCCCTCACGGGCATCTTTCGCTTGGAGCGGCCCGAAACGTACATGGGCTGCTGGGCATGGCCAACAGCATTGACGTTGGGCATGCTTTGTTTCATTCGCAGCTTTGGCTTCTTGTCACGGTGCTCATCGTCCGTGGTCTCGGTGTCAAAGCTGCGAAGGCTGCTTCGCTCGGATGAGAAACGAGGCGTGCTTGAGTGAGTCGATGATTGTGTTGGAGCACGCTGCATAGGGCTCATGAGACTTGGTCTGGACGAGTGAGCGGACGATGCCGTCATGGTGCGCTCCATGGGACTGAGCATGGCGGCCGAATTAGCAAGGACATCCAGTCCCGAAGGCGTCCTAGTCGCCATGGAGTGAGTTCGAGATGAATAGGTAGGAGGAGGATCCTGGTAATCGTACATGATTTCTGAGTCCAGACTCTTGTACTTGGCGGTGCCGTCCAGCTCCTCGTCGTGCTCCCAGCAAGTCTCGTCGGCACCACTGACAGGGGGTAGAAAGCGTATCTCGTTCCACGTGACGTCCTCGTATTGGAGAGTAATGTAGAGAACGTCACCCTGCATCTTGTCATGGGCGATGCAGTGGTCTTCGAGAAACGGAAAATCCCACACGCCGCGATGCACCAGGTCAGGGGGCAAGAGAGTAAGAGCCATGCGACCAAAAGGCTCATCTGCGGGCCGATGGCCGGTCATGGGCATCCATGGCCGTCCACGGAATACGCCCTTGAAGGCCGTCTCGATGCGGTTCGCGAAACAGGAGCTGTCCTGGCTGGGGAAATCGAGTGTTTGGTGCAGCTTACGCGATGCGCAGCGTCGGTAGGCGGTGCAGTCGGGATCGAAGGCGAACTTTTGCGATTTGCGGGGCACAAAGATGACGCGGACAGTCCAAGACAAGGCATACTTTTTGTCGTTACGGATGGGCAGCTGGCCAAGCGTGTGGCTTGTCTGCATTATGGATGGCAGCTGTGGAAGCGGAAGCGGTGGTGCCTGTGGTGTGGATCGGCGCACCTTTGGCGTTGCTGGAGCAGGTGTGGGGTCCCTTGACACGGCATTCAGCTGCTCGATGCGGTCGACGCGGTTTTCGAGCTCCATGCTGAACTCGTCCACCATGGTCAGACGCTCGCCCTGCAGCTTGATCTGGTCGCTGAGTTCGGTTGTTCGGTCCACAACGGCCTCGACGCGGTCGTCTATGGAAAGCTTCAAGAATTGCATGTTTTGGTACATGCGGGCCTGGACTGCATTGTTCATCCTCAGGATTTCTTCTCGCGCCATTCTCTCGCGGAACAGCTCTTGCTTGAGGTCGTGCTCCAACGTCTCGAAGCGTTTGATTTCGTGCTTTAGGCGCTTCATTTCGTCGACGGCCTGAATGTATGCATCCATTGACACGGTTGCAATGGGCTGTGCCTCATGGTTCCAGGCCTGGTGCCCGCAGCCGCAGCGGGAGGGTATGACGGGATCCGGATAGAAGCTGCGACAGGCGCAGCGCTGGCGGGCGGCATTGTCGGCAGAGGAGGAGAGAATAAAGCTACATTCTCCGCGAGGAAGAGGGTGTGCCTCTTGGCCAGATGCAGGCGTTCCAGGCAGGTGGACTGGAGCCTGGGTGTTATCAAGGAACATCAGGAGTCGACCTGAGCCGGTGATGGTAGGGTGATTGTTGGGCAAGAAATCGACGGCTCATGGAAGGCCGATAAGACGAGTGAGCGAAGGAGCTGAAGCAACGCAGAAGTACTTGGGGCTAGGCAGGGTATCGTGGTTAGCTGCGAGGGGGGCAAGGCTCTAGTAAAGTACAGGCACAGACTGGGCGGTGGCCAACATGGGCGGCGGGCGCACGAGATAAGCAATCATATACTACTTACAATCAGACCCGAGCAGACGGCGCACACGCGAGCATCCGGATGGAGGATGGACAAGACGAGACGAGTGCAGACGCGGATGAGGACGAGGGGGTGGTGGTGGTGGTGGTGCAGGTAGGCAGACACCGGTCGGCAGTGCAGATGGCGAGAGGGTGAGCGGGCGATAAAGAAAGAAAGAGAGAAAGCGAGCGGGCGAGGCTAACAGCAGGAGAGACTTTTTTTCAGCAGCATTTGAACGAGGTCTTTCTTTTTGGGCCAGAACTAGCACCTGCGCCGCCGGGGATGGACAAGCCTGGCATGGTTTGGGGGGGACAGTGCTTGGGGGTGTGGGTGTGGGTGTGTGTGGGCACAGTGGGAGGGAGCGAAAGCTGAGGGGGAGGGGGAGAGGGCACGACGCCAGGAGTAAGAGATAAGAGCAGCCAATGAGCAGCCGCGCGCCCGAGTGCCGACCGCGCCTGGCAGTTGGCCGCAGGCGCCGCAGGGCCATTGATTGCTTTGCTTTGCTTTGCTTTGGACACATTCACACACACACGCACGCTCACTCCATCCATCCATCCATCCATCCATCCATCCTTGTCATCCATATCCATCCATATCCATCAATGCCCACACGCGCGCACGCACGCCCTGCCCGCAGCTTTATCGCGGCATCGAGCAGCCATGTCGGCGCATACATACACATACATACATGCTACTGACTGTCTCCACCACCACCACCACCACCACGCCCACACGAGCCCAGCCTTGGTCCTGCTGCCATTGCCACTGCCACGCACCCACTCCCACCCACTCCCTCTCCCTCTCACGGCCAGCTCCAAGTCACTGGCCCTTGTCACGGCCAGAGCCAAGCCCATACCGCCATGGGCTGCTTATCGCGACGTCTGGATACAGTTACACACGCACCCCCACGCTGCCTGGCCCTGGGCGCCGCCTAATTGGGCCGCCCCATTGCGCCATCAACGCAGAAGATTCGATGCTTCTGCTGCTATACTCAGTACACTGCGCTACTAGGTGTACACACAGGAAATCCCCCGCCGGCCATGGAGCGGTGACGCCCCACCTCGATACATATGCGCTGATACGGGCCCCAAGACCCCAAGACGCCTTTGCTCCATGACCGCAGCCGCTCCCGGCCCAGGCACGGTCCGTGAGATTTCGTGGGTGGCATCTCGCCCCAGCTTTGGGGTCGGCGCTGACGCAAAGACGTGCCACACCACGGCCGCCCCCTAGGTCATATGACACATTTTACTGTACACCTGCATCGGCTGCCCTCGTTACCAAGGCCGCTCCATGGCGATGCTCGCTAAAGCCCAAACATGCAGGTGTCGCGGTCCTGCCGCGGAATCGGCTCGTGTCTACCGCGTCGCTGTGTGACACGCGCCATCACATGAGAGGCCGTCCAGGTCCCACGGTTGTACCAAATCCCACGTCTCGTAAGCATGTTACTCATTCAGCACCGCCATGGTCAACGCCGCCTTCAGCCGACACAATTCGGAAAAACGTGGATAGTGCTGACCCCTTGGATTCGTCGCACCCGCGTCATATTCGTCATATTCGTCAAATTTGTCCTTTTCCTTTCCCATGGTTGTGGAGCCCACGGGCTAATACGCACACGCACCTCCACGCCGTGACTGTACGCATGCTGTTTTGAGCACCACCACACCCTTCTCTATCACTACCACCACGACGAGCGGTGTGCGAAGCATGAAATTTGTGCGCAGTATTTTCACGCTCGCCCATGTCGCTCGCCATGCTCCTGCTTCGCCGCCTGTCGCACACTAACAAGACTCCGTCTTGCGCCCGCTCGCGCACTCAGCCTGGTTTTGGATAACCTCATTGCCAGTCGACAGCAGCAGCATCAGCCAAACACGGCTAGCCTTGCGGGAGCAGCCGCCTACGGGTGGGGAGGAGGCTGTAGTGGTAGTGGTAGAATGTGTATCCATCTCTCCTAGAAACGGACAATGGCTTGAATCCCATTACCAATCTCCCACGCGCAAATTGCTACTTCAGGGTTGCGCACCACTGGCATGCACGGCAAGCTGTCGTCACGTCATGCACGTCATGCACCCGGACAGGCATGCTGCGCCAAGTAGCCTATGTATGCGTCTTGCGACAACGCCATACGAGTGCCTGTAGCAGTACATACCTGCACAACGCACCCAGCGTGAAGCAGCACTTTCTGGCTTGCTTCTGGGCCAGCCACATGTCCACCCGTCGTCTTCGCATGGAATAGGCCCTTTTCTCACCCAAGTCAGCACTACCAATTCCCAGCCACTCTTGCGGGAGAAAAGCGGAGGACTTCCGCCAACGCTGATTTGACAATACCGAGAATAGAGTTTGAGCATGTCAATATGGTCCAACCTCCCCGAGTCGCGACGAGCAACGCATGATGAGACGGCAGGGGTGCTGCCTACTCATTCGGCCCTCGGGAGCCCCTGCGCCGTGCACTCTGCCAAGACCCCCGAGATCAAACACTCCGAGGTCCCCAAGAAGCGAGAGCGCTACATACTCCCCACTGATTACCTCAACGGGCGGACTAAATGCCAGAAGAGAACTGGGCTGCACACGGGGGTGTTCCCGCATGCGACCTATGCCATGCTCGTAAAGTAAGTTCTTGTTGCCCTCACCAGCACACGACTGCCCGCCTGTGCATCCCCCATCTTCTCCCATTAACACAACAAAGGTCAAATGCGACCGCAAGGAACCATGCGCAAACTGCGTAGCGGCCAAGGCCGACTGTTTGCGGAACAGGCACAAGCGCGTGCCCCGACCCAAAGTCCGAACGTAAGCGGCTATTGTCCATGATCATTATTAATGGTCCTTGGTTCACACCTAACCCCAACACAGAGACGAAAAGATACAGGCTCTCTTGCGGAGGCTGTCATCCTTGGAAAATTCGGTTCATGCCGCTCATCGCAGCCCGAGCCAACCCCAGGACCATGAAGCTGTCAATGGCTCCATCAAGCCCAGCCCTGAAGCAATACCAGATCGTCCAGCCAAGAGGAAGCGTACCAGCAGCTCTCACGAGCCGTCAATTCCTCCTACAACCCCAGAACTTGACAGTAGCTCCCAAACGACCAAAGAAGCACGCCTGCACATCAGCAAAGAACTCTCTACCAATGGACTACTGTCTGGCCACCAACGCTCCGTGCTGGAGACGGCCATTTCCTTTGTTGACCAACTGTCGCACGCGCCTGCGCCAAACATGACGGACCGCAGTACTTTTAACAAATCCATGCATAACTCAACAGACATGTCCGAGCGTGAGATCTTCAGTGTCATCATAGGCAGTAAGTTTAGCCGCCACGTTATTGAGTGCTGTCAGGCTGATGCCCGCCTTAGATGAGTTCAAGGCACAAGTGGATACCAAGGTTCGTTATCATACTACCGACCACGTACCAGCCAAAGCCATTGAGAGGATGGCGCTCGCTCTCATGGCTGGAAATTTGGACGAAAGAACTACAAATCTCTACAAGGTCATAATCCACTTCCAAGCGGCTGCCGTCCTGTACACGAGCCTGCTGCTAGGTACCAAAAGCGAAGCAGTAACAAAGCACTATCAGCAAATGCAATACGACCATATCACAGCCGCGCTTACGGCCTTGGACACCATCAGTTTTATGACCGCGCCCTCGCTTCCCTTGGTGCAGGCTCTGGTGACAGGTGTAAGTCGTGCACGACTTTGCAAACATGCCGTTATGGCTAACGAATCGCAGGCCATGATGATGCAAATCATAGGAAATCCAGTACAGTGCTGGGAACTCACAGCTCACGCATCCCAAACAATCATAGCTCTTGGGTACCATCATATCAACAAAATGGCCCCGGAAACGGACGAGGAGCACGAGATCTACTCGATAGTCGCCCATTGTGCCGAGCTCGACAGCGCCATGAGTCTGCTGCTGCTTCGGCCGAGATCGCTTCCCAAATTCCAGGTCAAGATTTACGACATGATGCGAGGCAATCCAGCCAATCCAATGAGTGTTTTGGAGATGCTCTACCTGCAGGACAAGATTCTCGACTTGACCCTGGCTTCAGGTCCCAAACGATCACCGAATGAAATGAAAGAGGAGGTCGCCCAGTTGAGAGCTCAAATGAAAGACATCTATGTCATGATAGAGAAGGTAAATCAACCATTATGTGCACAGGCACGTTGTGCACATGCTAATTCCGGCTTAGGAGCGTCAATTGCATCTCATGGACAGCAGAGCTGACGCGCTTATACACTGTAAAAGTATGGAGTTCAAATACTTCTCGCTCCTAACAGCTGTCCACCGACTCAGCCCTACGGTCACGACAAATTACATTGAGCGCGAAGAATGTCTACAGAGCGCGCGAAATGCACTGGAATGTGTCAAGATGATTGAACGGCTCGCCGAATCCTTGGATCATTTCATTGAAGGCTTTGACCCATACCTCTCATGGTAAGACATGCGATACTCTGCGTTGTGGATGCATCACTGATACCGTCAAGGACCCTGCTCTCACACCCACTCTGTCCGTTCTTCGTTGTCTTCTGTAACGTCGTTGGAACCCATAACGATCGAGATTTCCAGCTTCTCGAAGACGTCATCGATGGCATCTCGTCACTTGTTACCGAGAACAAGTATGTCAACCGTCTGCATCGCCTCTGCGCAACCCTTTTGGGTCTTTGCAAGCCTCTCGTAGAGAGCCCAAGCGCACATCACCATATGCAGCCGCCAGTAACCTCGGATCCGACTGGCCATATGGCAGGATATACTACATCAATGCCTTTCAATCATGGCCCCGATATGTTGACTAACAACGGCGGAGAAACAAACAATGATGCCGTGGTTTCTTCCTGGAATGATGACATGATGTGGCAGTTGTTCCAGTCGCAACCGTCACTGGATTGGTTCAACGCCGACATTCTCGACCCCGCTTGGGACCTTGGTCATGCAACTTGAAAGACGAGGTGAACATATGCAGCCGAATAGCTTTCTTGGTTTCTTGGAATAGACTTTGATGCGGTTTAATTTTTGGCCATGATTACGTGGTGGTGTATATAGAAGTGCTAGGTTTGGATTCTTTGGGTGTTGCTGACGAGGACTACGGACTCATGTATGGTAATCATACAGCATTGAAGTGAAAGGCAATATGGTTTCCTGGAATTGTAGGCAGCGTGTAAATTGATTACAATTTCCAATGTGCTGGTGCAATGTGTGGGTGTGATGAAGCAAGTTGCAACGTGGACAGAGATATGGAGTTGATGGGGCTGGTTGACTGCAAGGCACCGTGTGGAGCATTCCCGTTGTTTATTTCCGATGATACTGACTCTTAAGATGCAATTCTACCATAATAAACAGCCTCCGAGGTCCGAGGATGGTCCAATAAGATGAGCAGGCGAAACCTGTAAGTACCCCGCTCTAGGGCGACGACACGTCTTTGGGCCCTTGACGTTGCGTCTCGATCGCCGCTGCCGGCTTACGCGGAATCATCCCTAGTTCTTATGACCAGAGTCAGCTGAAATCAGCTCCTCAACAAATCGTCCATTGTTTTTAATTGACTGTTACAACGAGCTTTCATTCCCCATACGACGCGACAAAAATTGGATACTGCGCACAAGATGGCGTCTTCTTCTACCACTAACGACATCCTGATACCCCGCGAGCGAACTGAAGACGAAGCTCTCGCACTCTTCAAAGCTGTAGAAGAGAAATTTCCGTCAGAGACATTGGGCAGCGATAAGTGGTATGTGGTGGTTGTAAGTCGCGCCTTTGATTTTCCCTAAAGAAAAAAAAACGTGTAATACAGCTAAAGGAGTTTTGTTTGTAATTAATACATGACAGCTTGCCGCCATGACAGGCGGCGGCCACCCACACTTTGCAGCACAGCTTTACCAGGAACTCATCAAGCGGCCGGAATACCAGACGCCTGCGCAACGCCAAGAACTGATGCGACGGCTGCGTGAGGTTCTTTTCAAGCTGACGATTCTCGTGGGTGTGTGTAAGACGCTCGAGGCGCTTTTTGCGATTACTGCTGTTACGAAGCCCGAGGATGAGGATCACAGTTACTATAGGTGTGTAATGTTTCCATTTCCGGTTGATTTACTGGGTTTGCAGAAAGATAAAGCAAGAAATGAGCGGATTTTGAGTAGCTAATTTCTGATATGTAGGGAAAAAACGCAATGCGATGAAGCGAATCTCGAACGCGGAACCGCATGGCTTCAGCGCCTGTACCAGCGCAATTTGACGGGCGTTATGAATCGCTTTACAGCGCACAAGGATTACGGTATGTCCATATTTTCTCCCCGGAAACAGCTCTCAGATCTCTGCATCAGATTCAATAGGGAAAAAAGGAGGAAAAATGCTAATTCAAACGCTTTTACTTAGAGTGGATGACAAATCACATCACCTATGGCATCTTTCTCTCAGACCAGCGCATCCTCAACGACATTGAAACTGAACTCACCGTCGTCAGCGGCATCATGATCCAGAACCTATCCCGAGAAAGCCTTTGGCACATGCGAGGATTCCGCCGTCTGGGCCCTAGTCAAGAGGATCTGGGCAAAGTGAGGGAATGCGTAAGTAGACACCCTATTTCCAACTTGTACTCGTGACAATAACGACGGAGAAGAAGAAACTGCTGACTCTCGCACTGATAGGTTCAACTCATTGCCAACTTTTGTAGCCTGCCCATGAACAAGGTACCCCAGGCTGCTGATATTGAGCAGGAAGTGTAAGAAAGAGGGAAAAGGCAGTATCGGGTTGGGTATGTGTGTGAGCGGAGCTTCGGTACCATGCAAGACTTGGACGCAGAAAATATAGTGCTTTAGATTAGACACCGCCAATATCACCCTATGCTTCTTGATAAACATGCCGTTTCCTTGCCTATATGGGGACACGGCGACTCAAAAGCTTGTCAGTGCACTGTCTGAAGACGAGACAGTAGACGGCGGAATCCGGCGGGCGGAAGCCAACGGGTGCGAATGCTGGTAAGTACGTAGGTAGTTCGATTCGATGCAACTTGTTAAGTACAACTAAGTACACACGTTCCATCCGAGCATCTCCGCAGCGCACAAGGAACGAGTGAATGAGGCAATGCCTGCTTACCCGTAAACCTGCGCTTCCCTGTCCCTCTATCAGATTGGTCGTCACCGAAAAGGGAGAAAAAATAAAATAGTGTTGGGTGTTTCGGTAAGTTTTTTCTTCCTTTCTTCTTTTTCTTTTTCTTCTTCTTCTTTGGTTCCCAGCGCGTCTGAGCGCACTTGCTCCCTCCCCGTCAGAGTATCTGGTGACACATGGCATGGTCAACGATCGACATGATGATTTTTTTTATCTGACATGGTTAGATGGGGTAAATGTCCAGATGAGGTCAGACCAGTGTGGCGCCTTTCATGCGGCGACGCGGTGGCTACGCGCTTGTCTATTGGATCTCACAACTTACTTGGCATCATTGTCATCATTGGCATTGCCAAAGTTAAAACACACGCAAACTTAATACATGGTCTTCCCTTACTTTGGGGTTTTTTTTCTCTCACCATGTACCCAGCACAGTATCTCGGGACTTGCGGCTGACGGCCTGCTGAGATGCGGTTGTGCTGTATAAACTCTGCAGATGTCCCGGGGGGAGAGAGGGGGGGAATGGCTGGTTGAGTGAGGAGCTGTGAAGATTGGTTTTGGCTTAATTCAGCTTTGGCCTCAACTTGTTGTACTGATCACAAGATAACTTGACGATACACTTGATTACTTACTCGAAACCAAAAACCCAATATAAAAAAAACACCATGGCGACGTCCCCAGCAACATCATCATCACCATCATCATCAGCAACACCAACATTCCACGCCTGGCCTCTACTCCCCACCGAGCTCAAACTCAAAGTCCTCTCACACCTCCTCCACTTTGACGAAACAATCCAGTACAAAAACGACGTAACCTGGGATCTCGGGGGACGGCGAATTGGGTCGCACGCCATGCACCTGCGCACGACTCTACTCCCGCTTCTCGCAACGCGGAACCAGCAACTAGCGAGGCTGGCCCAGGAAACGTATTACCGCTCCAACAGCTTTTGCCTGGTTATCGCGGATGGCTGGTGCACTCCGTTCCGCTCGCCGCGCGAGCCGTGTGCGAGGCAGATACGGCATTTGGTGCTGAAGATGTGTGTGAAGGCCGGGTTTGACAGGCTGGATGGACATGCGGCCGAGTTGCTGAAGCGCTTGGTGCAGCCTGTAACGCCAGGCGTTGACGAGGCACTGGCTACGCATCATCCTCCTGGCTCTGATGCTTCTGCTTCACCCAGCGTAGCGACCCCGCAAAAACAGCATCACCTCTGGCAATCGCACCTGCGCAACCTGCACACGCTCTCGCTGCACATCCAGATCTGGGATCCCAGCGAAGCAGACGACTTGGACAAGCACGGAGCCCCACGACACGACGGGTGCTGTCTGCATCCCGCCAAGCTAGCGGCGTTGAGCGAGTCGCTGCGCGGATTCGAGGTTGCTTTGCTGCGGGCGCGCAGGACAGAGGTGGTGGTTGAGGTGAGGTATGCACGGTCGGCGAAGAGCTGTTATGAGCACAAGGCCATTTTCGAGACGCTTGTGGGGAGGAAGGGTACGGCGGGGGAGGTAGAAGGGCTGAGTTGAGTTGTGGAGAGGAGAGAAAGGGGAAGGGGGGATTGATTTTTGAAGACGGCCATTTTCTCTCTTTTTTTTTCGTGGTATTCGAGTGGGCGGACTGGGCGCTTGGGGGACTCGGGTTTTTGGAAAGGAAAAAAGGGAAATGTCTGGGGGTGTAACGGGTACTACGGCTTTCTTTGCTAATGGCGTGTGAAAGGAGAAGGAGAAGAAGAAGAAGAAGAAGAAGAAGAGAAAAAAAAACGTCTGGATTTACTTACATGGTTTGTTCGACTCTGATATATCCGAGTATTCTGCCGCAGTAGTCTGACTGAGTACTGGTAAATAAGTAAGCAAGCAAGAAACAAACTCAAGGTTTGGACTCCCACACAGAGCAATCATAGATTTAATAGATGAGACCAAAAAAAAGAGAAAGAGATAGTAGATTGACACGCAGTATTGCGAAGATGTGTATGGACTTCCCATCTCCCCCCACATTGAATCCAAACTAGAACCAAAACTCAAACCCAAAACCGTCCGCCAATCCTGACCTGTGTGCCCTAAAAAGAAAGAAGGCAAGATAAAAAAAGAAAACTTGGTTTGAACGCTAGATTTCTAAACTGAGGTCGTGTGATAGAATGGTATAACAAGATGGATATGGAGAGAGAATGAGAAAGGAACAGAGAGAAGGACGTTAAAAAAAAGACGACAGAAAGCACATCAAAAAGAGGCGTCTCATGAGAAAAAAAAAGTAGAGACGACAGAAAACATTATAGTGAAATTTCAAGAGGAGCAAAGGGACAACACTACCATCCCTCATCCTTTTGATTCTTTCCCTTCTCCTTCTTGGCTGCCTCCTTCTCCGCATCGGTCATTTCAATCAAATCGGCGCCCTCGAGTCGGAATCCCTTTGCGTCGACAATGTGCTCGTTTGCCGAGCCCAGGTACGCCTCGTGTAGCCTGGGGAGGAAATACTGCATCACGTTGTCTGCCAGGTTCTTGGCCACCAGGCCCTTGTCTACCCAAAAGTGTCGCACAAAGACGCCCTTGCAACCACCTCGCTTTTCTGCTTCGGGCGCGCCGTTGGCTTCGACGCAAGGCAGGACACGGATATCGTTTGGTCGGTCAAAGTCGTAACGCAGGTAGTTTCCAAAAGCAGCCTGCTCGTGCGCCCAGCCCTTTTTCCACTTTGCGCAGCCCTTGTAGCGCGTCTCCGAGGGGCACTCTGCCCAGGCCTTGTACATTTCCTGTGTTCGCTTGCTCTGGCGCGCAATGACGAACCCAGTGTTGAGATAGCGGTTGCCCTTTTCGTCGTAGTTTTGCGGCTCGTTGGGGTCAATCGACATCATTGCAAGAGTGTCGTCTGTCATGTTCCAGTAGTTCAGGAGCCATTCGAGCGGTAGGTGTGGGTAATGGAACATGACATCCGAGTCCATGAAGACAATGTATTCGTGAGTCTTGAGGGCTTCCTTCATCATGGGCACCTTAACCCAGGTGCCCCAGCGGTCTTCGTAGTCAGGTGCACGGATAAATTTATAGTCGTAACCGTGTATTTGGGCTGTCAAATGTTAGCCAAGCCCCTCAGTGCGCATTGAGAATCCACATGCGCCTCGCCCCTCTTGCAGAATACATACCAAACATGTAGTGGCCCAGCATGCCGGCGGAAAGGGATCGCATGCCCTTCCATTTCAAGTGCTGGTTCATCAGCTGCCCCTCGTCGGTCAAGGGTCTGCTGTCAATATCCAAAATTAGCACCTTTTTTCCTAACGGCGTCTTGAATCTTGGTTCCCCAGCCAGTCTGTAAACATCTCCATCTTCGTCTGTAAAGTTTGCGGCGTCTATTGGGTGTATTATTGGGCCATAGAGGGCTTTTATTATTGTGGCCATGGATAGGTCGTCTTGTGGAAGTGTTATATTTTGAGTGTGCGGATATCTGTCACATGTCAGACGGGGCAGGCCGCGAGGGGGGGGGGTTGCTTACGGGGCTGAAGTCAGACCAGCTGGCATGTATGAAGTGGGAGTGCTATAGTAGATAAATGCCACCACCATGGGCACCAAGGCGATTAGCAGAACGCGACGCCACCGCCCTTGTGGCCCCATGTTGGCCAGCGACTGGTATGAGTATTCACTCATGCCTAGAATTGGGTGCTGCAGTCTCGAGGCAAAGTGAGGGCGTTCAGGGCCCTAGGGAGCGTGCAGGCCCGTTTTCTGGTATCTGTATCGATTCCCACACCGGCAGACTTTGCAATCGTGTGGCGTCTATGTGAAAGGCCGCTCACAGCACATGTACCATGCGTACGCGTCCCAATATGCGCCCAGAGAGGGTCGGAGTGATGTGGTGGCTTGAATCGACAAAGCGTTGCATAAAACAACACAGGGCGGGCGAAGCAACAAGTAACGGAAGAGAGCGGCGGGGCGTAAAGGTATATCCCGAATAGCGACCAAGCGAGGTGGTGATGCGACGAGGAGAAAGGCGGCAAAAGGCGGGGGGGAGGGCAGAAAAGAGACACCAAGGCACGAGTGGGCGGCCAAAAGGAGCGTAAGAAAGATGTCGTGGAGAGTTTCCAAAGGAGAACGGCCGTCAGACCGCAGTTGTGATACCCTTGTCCTTGACCCAGCAGCCACGCGAGCTAGGCCCGGAATAGGCCTAGCGCAGGCAGACTGGGACTAGCTGCCGCCGCGAGAAGGGCTGAAACGCCCTGACGCCTCGCCGCCTCGCCGCCACGGCTGCCAATTGTCGATCACGGTGGAGGAAAGCAGAGGATTATGGCATCTCTCCCGACAAACACGCTCTGCCGCTACAGCCGTTTGACTACTCGATACACCTGTTGCAAGGCCCGCGTCGCGACACGCTCCGCTGCGGGGCCGTCCCCCTTTCTGCATTTCCACTCGAGCAGACTAGCCACAGTACCACAAGCGCATGTAGTACACGCAAGCTCTGCTCGTACTCTGCTCGAAATGGTATGATGGACGCCAGGTCCTCCCTGTCCCTACAACTCCGTGTCCATCCAGGCACCACTCACCAGCCCCAGGCGTATATCGGAGTGCCGCCTCTGCCTGTGCCACCGCGCCACCTATGGTATGGCGCAGCCACGCACCGCCTTTGCTGTGTCATCCATCTTGTTGGGACGCTGTACATCCATCCATACGTCAAGCATGCCCCGCCGAACCGTGAGAACTTCCGCACACACATATATGCCCCTCAGACGTCCAACAACCGCAGCAGTTCGTAGTCCTTGGCAATGCCTGGGCTGCTTCTGGCACAGCTCTTAATCAGCGTCATCATGATGCCCACCCACTCCTGCCACCCCTCGGGTAACGTCTCGCGCAGCTTTGCGTTGCCACAGCGCGCGATGGCGTGGAACAGCAGGACCTGCCCGAAGCACTGACAACACCACCCAAACTTGATGGGCAGAGCTGACAGCATCTGCGTACACAGGCCCATGGTTGTCGGCCAGTACATGCCGCCCCGAAGCCCCGCCCGCACCTCCTCATACTCTGCCTCATTCGTGCATGCCGCTGCATGCAGTGCTTTGTAGAGAAACGGCCGTCCAATGTGAAACTTTGCGACCAGGTAGCGACTGCGTAGCATGGCCTTGGCTATCACATGTGCCGGGCTAGCCGAGTCGCTGCCATCGTCACTGTCGGAGAACTGCAGCGATGGCGGAAGGTTTTCCCGCCACTGCTCCAGCTGATGATGCATCTCTGCTGTTAGGCTGGCACTTGGGTAGCCTTCCTTCTCCGCAAACGTATACACGCTCTGCTTCACCCGCGTGAGAATGATGCGATGCGCGGCTTGTGCGAGAAAGTGGAAGTTGAACAGCGAATCATCCTCGTCAGTAAGTAGCCCTGCTATCGATGTCTTGGGTCGTGGACACTGTGTGAACTTTGGCAGTGGAATGTCTGGCTCGTAGTCCAGCAGCCCGCTGGTAGGAAGCAAATCCAGCTCTTGGATAATCACCGTCTCATACATCAAAGTAGACCAAAAGAGCCTTGAGAGCATGTCACCCTCCCACGTGTCATAGTCGACGGTTGATGTGCGCGTGAGTATGCTTGCACAGCACAAAGCTGCCCTGTTCACTGTGGCCCACGAATCCAGCGGCCGCAAAATCTGAGCATAGTAGAGCGTCGACAGCATGTAGAACTGGCCGGCTTGGATGTCGCTCTGGCACATGAGAAACCCAAAGCGCTTTCGAGCTTCGTTGAAGAACTTGAGCCCCGGAGGCTCGTCAGTGATGAGTTCATACCACTCGGGATGCACGAAGCCGCGTCCAGTCGTCGCGTGACGAGAGGGAAGACTAAAGTCGCCTTCCTCATGCGCCTTAACCGCCAGGCATCCTAGCGCCAGCACGTTGAGTACCAGAGCAGACTCGATATTGTACCCAAATTCGTTCTCCATGGCCATGCCCAAAGTGCTCGAGAAGAAATGATACTTGTCGAGTATGGGCGTACTGCGGTGAAACACGGCAAAATACGCATCTGCTAGACCCTTTACCGCCGACTGCGGGAGATTCATCAGCCAACTGTCGGGACTCGTGCCGTACGGAACATCAATGTGTATTGGCAGCGGTAGTCTCTGGGTTTCAATCTCGACAATATAATCTTCCGGAAGCTCCTTGCGTGCAGAGACGAACGACGCAGGAAGAATATGTTGCACGGCAGACCACAGTGCCACCCGGTGCTGGCTGAAGGAGAGATCCACTGCGCCCTGTACTTCTGGGAGGGGGAAAGGGCTTTTGCCCGGGGTCCCTACGACTTGCGGAGACATTGCAAGCTCGTGTATGCTCATTCTGTTGCCATGGAAACTGTTTGAAGCTGCGCTTGTCATATGCGTCCCCGGGCTTGGCTGAGAGAAAGTCGCCAGAGGCGAGTGATGGTCAAACATGGCTCCTGCTGGGGAGGGCGGCAATGTGGGCGCGGCCTTTGGAGCATTAATGGCCGCCGTGAGATCTTCAATTTTGGACTCGAGCCTCCGAATAGCGTTGATTGCTACTGCCATGGATTGATCTTTCTTGGTTGCTCGTGGTGCTTGATAAGTGCACTCCAAGTTCATGGTTCTGCAGTGGCCGCATTTTGGGCGGTCTTCGTCGCATCTTGTTTTCCTTGATCTACATATATCGCACGCCTGTCCTGTCAGTCGTAATTTGAGTTGAAACGCGAACAGACTTACGAGAGTGGCCATGAAGGAGCGCGCCTTTTTCACCGAGGACCCGTCGTCCTCATGGCTGGCGCTACCTTCGCCATCGTATGATTTTTGTCGCTCCTGGGGCTCTGCGTGTGAAGCGGATACACTGGCATGAGGCCTCTTGGTCATAGCATCACAAGGCAAATGGTTGTTGAGGCAAGGTAAGATGAGTGCGAGCAGTCATGGCCGCAACGGAGACGGCGCCACTGCTTAGCGTGCATGGGCCGCTTGGAAGCCACGCCTCCCATCCGTCTTCTCTACAGCTCCAGGCCCCCAACCTTTGGCCTGCTACTATACACCCCGTGCCTTTTCCATGAACATATACTGCTGATGACTCGGGGAATAACCGCTCTCGCTTCAGCTCCTCGGCTAACAGTATGATCAGCGCGCTACGCTTCTAGCTCGGGACCTTGCCAGTAAAGGTAGCATGCGCTGTTAGCTAATCTTCACTACACTGCATTGGCTCTTTCTATTCCAACCAAGACCATATCTCTTCTGCGACTGTGTTCCCACAGACGGAGCACCGTTCGAAACTTGCCGAGCGAGAAATTCCCACTTTCACTTCCTGTTCATGAATTCACGGCATCTTCCGAATCCCACGTTTTTTATCAGCCTTGGATATCACGGACAAGTGGTGAACTCTCTCTTGGCTGAGCGCCGCCCAAGCCGTTGGTTCTTTCCTTCCAACGCCACCAGCAATTGTTCATTCACTGCTTAGCAAAGAATGACGACTACCGGCATCAGCCCATTTGCTAACAAGGAAGCACCAGAAAACCCTCTATGGGTTCAAAAACCAAGACTGCAAGAAAATCTTCTGGAGGAATGAAACGATGTACCAAGAGTTTCGCTCATCATTAATTCAGGGTCCGGCATGGGTTTGTCCTTGCCTCATAATTCATGACTTGGCATCCTGAAAATGAAAATGGTCATCATTCACCGTCATCAAGATTTCGTTTCTCTGCACCAGGTCAGAGCTCTTCCTTCTTGTCTATATAAGTCCGCATTTCCTTGTCTCCATTCGTTTTCTTCAGCTCCAAGTTTCAATCTCTGACAAATTCAAACAGAACACCCACACTCAAGCTCAAACTTCTCATTTCAATACTTGAAAGCCGCTCCAGTCTACACCAGACGTTCATCTTCGGTAAAATGTCTGCTCCAACAACCATCACCGTGGTGGAGCCCGCTCCCCCCCGCTTCCACATCTTTCCCAACGAAGTGCTGTACAAGATATTCGCGTACGCCCTTCTCGATCCCAAGGGGCCCGTCAATGCCAAATGGTTCTACTTCATGGTCAAGGTCGGCATGTTCTCCAAGCTTCTCCGCGCCTCCCGACAATTTGCCGAGCTTGCAAAGTTGGTCTTCTACGAAGTCAACGAATTCGACTTTTCTTACAAGTTCCCGGATCACTGGACTTGCTACAAGGTTCCTAGAGGCCCACCCTTGCCCCCTAGCTGGACGTTCGGCCTGCTTCGCCGCATCAAGCTCCAGATCCACCTCGCCGATTCATGGCTTCAACCCATTGTCCGCACTCGCGGCATCTGCCACCGTACTCCTCCGCGCACCGTCCACTTCTTCCAATCCGCCATCGAGCTTCTCAACTTCTGCCCCGGTGCACGCATCCTCCAGTTCCTCACTTACGACATGACGGCACTCAAGGTCCTCGATCTCCACATCGTCGAGAACTTTCGCAATGAGGATATCCAGGCGTCGCTGGATGTGTATCGCTCTGCTTGCTTTGCGGTGCGTGTTGCAGAGTTGAAGCTGGTGATTACCAATATCGAACGTCATCCTGATGAGCCGGAGTCGGTTGAGGCCAAGGCGTGGTATCCTGAGCTACGAAGGGCTATCGGCTTGTAGAGGGTCATGAGTGGTTGTGGATGATGTGAACAACATGGAGGATATGGGTGGTATGAATGTTCATGGAGAGTAATGTCTGATGGTAATGGTAATGGTAGCATAGCTAGCTACGCTGAGGTTAACTTTCATCTATGATTGTTCGATGTTGTTGACAGAACACTGAAATGAAATCGACTTCATCAATTGCCTACTATTGTGTGATTCTTCTCACTGCACTCCCATGCATTTCAATTTACTGTGTATAGTACGGTGGCAAGTTTCAGGCGGTTGCAATCTATCAATTCCTAGTAGTGACCAGCATCCGAGTGCCTCATAGGGCAAAGAAGTTGATGTGATATTGCCGATCTTGACGCCCGTATGTAGATGGAAGAGACGGCCAAAGTGGAGGTCTTGTGTTTGATAACCATGTGTACAGGTATCATCTCCTAAACAACGAAGCCACAATCAGAGACAGTGCAGAGCACCTGATGCTGAGAGGTGTCTGAAATCGCGGAGAAGTATCCTCCGCGTCATTAGCCTATGAGCCGCGGCGGCAACTTGACTCACGCCAAACCTCCCCCACTAAGTACGCCATCCCCGCCATCTCCCAACTTGCTGCCTGCTCCGTCCTACAATCCCCCCGAAAATGTCTTTCAACAATTCCTCTCTCCCTTTCCGCTCGCAACAATGGCTTCCGAATCCCTGCATCCCTCCCTAACACGGGCATCTGTCGAGGCAGCCCACGCCTTGATCAAACCTCATATCCATGATACACCCGTGTTAACCAACACCACACTGACTAACCTTGCGTCTACACCGCAGACGGCCGAAGCGCTGCAAGGCACGCAATGGGAGGGCCAAGAGCCCGCAAAGCCCAAAGTCAATCTCTTCTTCAAGTGTGAGAATTTCCAACGCATAGGCGCATTCAAAGTACGCGGCGCATTCCACGCAGTTACACGCTTGATTGAGAAGGACGGCCTGGACGAGGTTAGAAAAAAGGGCGTTGTGACGCATAGCAGTGGTATGTTCTCTGTGGTATACCATTTCCCCAAAGCATCTCCATCCAAGTAAGTAACAAGTTGCCCCCCAGGAAACCACGCGCAGGCGCTCGCCCTCGCCGCCCGCACTTTCGCCATTCCCGCGCACATCGTGATGCCGTCCATCTCGACGCCCTCCAAGATCGCCGGAACCCAGGCGCAAAACGCTACAATCCATTTCTCAGGCTCCACCAGCACAGAGCGCGAAGCCGTCGTCGCAGACGTCATCAAAGACACGGGCGCAACCCTCATCCCGCCATACGACCACCCCAACATCATCCTCGGCCAGGGCACCATAGCCCTTGAAATCCAAGAACAAGTCGCACGGCTCCTCGCGCAAGGCGGGTCCTCTGCATCCGGCAGCCGCAAACTCGATGCCGTGATTGCGCCCTGCGGCGGCGGCGGCATGCTCAGCGGGATAGCAGTTGCGCTGCACGGCACAGGCATCCGCGTATTTGGCGCCGAACCCAGTTTCCAGGGCGCCGACGATGCGCCTCACTTACGTACTTCTACTTGTGTATGCTTAGGTAATGTTGTAATGAAAATAGAAAGAAATAAAAATAAAAATGTGAGAAACAAAGAAGGCTACGCATTTGCTTTTCCCACATATATGAGAGTGGGGGGGGGGTGTTTTTTATATGATCAACGTGAGTTATGTATAACTAGAGTGATGGGTATTATACTTATCATCCCGCAACATTCTCCACTTGGCTACTTGCATCCCTGCCCACCACACCCTCATGTCTCTCAGCCTTTGCCTCGGGGACATGAGCAAATATCTTGGTGATAGCCTCAATCGTCGTGTTACCTCCGCTAAACACAACACCTACGTTCCACCCCTCATCTCCCGCCTCCCGCTGGACCATGGCCCTAAAGTCCTCGTTGTACAGCACGGTGGCCAGACCAACGACGGCCGAGGGCTCGACAAAGCACTTTGTGCGCTCGAGCACGAGTTTCATGGCATCACTGATGTTCTGCTCCGAGACGGCGTACAAGCCGCAGACATAGTCGGGCTGGGAAATGACAGCCCACGTGTAGTCGCCGAGCGGCGTCCGCAGGCCATCGGCTATGGTCAGTGTTTTCACGCTCGCAATGCGCTGGCCGGCTTGCACGCCGCGCCTAAGTACTTAATCGCTTGCTACGTATAATAATTTTTCTAAAACCACTTCTTAAACTCGGACCCCATAACCGCGAGATCCCGCTTCGACTGCCCCACGCTCGCCTGATTACTCTGCGGCACCACCGGCAGCGTGGTAAACGGGACTCTGCTGGTGAGGCTGTCGATTCTGCCGAGCAGGAACTCGAGCTGGCGGTAGGCGCTGCTAGGCTGGTACTGGGGGACCATGTGACCGCTGAGGGCCTGCTGGACGAAGGTGAGTTTGCGCTCTGTAATAGTTTTGCCCATGAGGCCCTTTGCGCTGAGCGAGGTGAGGCTGAGATCGGTGTGGTAGGGGACGTAGAAGTCGTCGGTGGGCGGGTTCTGGAAGCCTTGGAGGCCGCCCCACGTCATGTTCTGGATGGCCATGAGGGTGCCGTTGAAGAGGTAGATGAAGTCGAGTTCGCCGTGGGCAATGATGGTGCGGTCGAGACGGTCGATGATGCGCGGGATCACGTCCCAGGATGACGGGGGCGATGTGTCTGTGTTGAGCACGCCGCTGGCGCACTCGGCCCACGGCTGGATCGGCGCGTTGATGGCTTTTTGCACGTCGCTGCGGTTGAAGTAGATTTCCGTCTTGGGCGGCATGTAGTCGAAGGAGCCGGGGAAACCGAGCGGGTCCCACAGCAACGGACATGTGGTTGCAATTGCGTACACGTCAAAGCAGGGGTTGGTCAGCGTGACGGCGTTGAAGATGTCTGACCAGATCGAGCAGCCGGCGTCGTTGGCGTTCTTGGCTGGTGCAGGCAGCTTGCTGGCCGGAGGGTAAGTAAGGTACTTCTCCATGTAATCGGTGTAGCCACAGGCTTTAGAGCGCTTGTGAATATCGTCCATGAAGGTCTGGTTGAGGTTGAAGAGGCCGGCCCACTTGTCTACATAGGGAACGGCGGGAATCTCTTCGAGAATAACTTCCTCGGCGATAGTGGGGTCGTAGATCATGACGCCCTTGACGTCGTAGTATGTCGAGTCGTTCTTGTTCAACATGGCGTCGGCGATGTGGGGGACATAGCGCCCGGCGTACGACTCGCCGGCAATGTGTACTTTGCGGTTCTGCAGACCGAAAGTGTCGACAAAGTTTTTGAAGAAACCAAGGAACTCGGCGGCTACCTCCTCCTGGTTTGTAGCAGTAGGCTTGCCCTGGCTGAAGCCGGTGCCGACTGGCTGTTCGACCCAGACCATGTTGGTGAGATTTGCCCAGTTCCACGGGTTGTAAACGGGACCGGGACCGGCGCCGTACTGCCAGGAGATGGGTCCGTTTTCCTGGAGGAAACCCTCGAGCGAGGAGCAACCAGGGCCGCATAGAAGAGCTATTAGAAACACCCCAAGATGAAGACGGACATGTGCTCACCGTTCAGCCAGATGGTGATTTCGTCCGTGGCATTCGGGTTGTGCGAGGGAAAGAACCAAAAATAGAGCTTAGAGGTCTCGTTGGAAGCGCTACTGATGGGGAGAAGGCCAGCGTAGGACTCGCCAATGTCAAAGTCGACCTGTGGAATGGCACCTGCAGAGCCATTGACGGTGAATGCTACAAAACGTCAGCCAATTTCCACGCATATTGTCCTCCAAGTACATACCCTTTGAGGCTTCAGTGGTAATGAGGCGAGCAGTATCGCGCTTGTGAGGCTTTAGGTTCTGCACTGGGATCGTAAGGCGAGGACGAGGAATTTCGACCTTCTTGCCGACAGAACGAGCGCTTCGCGCGGAAACACTGGCCGTGAGGCCGCACACAGCAATGATTGAAAGAAGCTGCACGTTGGCTTGCTTCGGTCTGGGAAACTCCGGAATTGACTGCTAGTCAAGCTGGGGCCGTGACTGTCAATGGCCGTAAGAAAGAAAGAAAAAGAGGCAAATAGGTGGGAGCATAGCCTTCTTGAAGTATCCGAAAAGCGTTCCAAGTGACATCACTACAGGGTTTGCTATGCAGACGGTACGGCAGCTATCTCGCCGCACTTGGGTATTGGCGGGCAAAGTTTAACAGAGCACGGCCACCTCTTTACCTTGTTGGGCAGGCAATAGTCCATAGTCGCGTGGTGTGGGTTTACCCGGGCCATAGGTCCAACATGGACGCTCAAGGTTCGCAATCGGACCTACGTACGCGGGGTGGCAGCGTATTTGCCAATGTCCTCTCAGGGCCAATTACTACGACGTATGCGGACGAACTTAATAGACGGTCGGTATAGCTATGGCTCACGCTGACGGACCAGGTACCGGGGTCGAAATAGGAGAGGCGCGTGGGTCGGCCGACTGACATCCAGCCCAGCCCGTACATGGGCCGAAAGCAGCATGGCAAAGCTTTTACAAGCTACGCCGCCACCGCCTTCAAGCAATGCCAGGCCCACTCTGCAATGTCTGTGATAGTGATGGCGATTCCGCGGGCCAGCTTCTTTGGTAATCTTAGGGAATCCACTCTTATCTCTGTTTCTTAAGCGGGGGGGGGGGCGTAAACCCTCTGTGCGCTCAATGCGCCGCATCTCCGTGAGGCGCAGGAAGTAGACGCAGACAGTGATTGGGCGAGCGGTGTAATAGGCCCATCGATTTGGATGTCTTCATCCGCATGGCTGGAAAGAGATCAAGCACCGTGGCGAATGCTTGTCGTGCTTCGGCGGCGACTAGCCTTGGGTGCTTTAACCGGATGGGGCAGCTCGTGAAATCCAACTCGGTAGCGCTGGGTAGCGTGGCGTGAGCTAGTAGAAACAAGAACAGGCCAGTTTCCGTTGTGAGCGATTTCTGGGTTCGTATATGCAATGCAATCAAGCCGGAGGCGGAAGGCCGGCGGCGGCAGGCCGGAGGTTGGAGTGGGTGTCAGGCTTCGGCGTCGGTAACTGCCGTGAGGTGTGGCTTCGGTGTCACATGACACGTGCTGCTTACATCTTGTAGTTGTCGTTGTTGCGGGTATCACACCATCACACCATTACAACCACACAGCAGCCGCATTACCGCTGTCTAAAGGTATTTTTGGCTATAATGTATGCATCCCCCTGAGCACTCGGCACATGTTGAAAATATTTATAGGAATTTCCTAGGTAAAGTGCTTATTCTACAGGCCGCTCGCTCCCTGCGCATCTCATTTCACGACATCTGGGATGTCTCGGCCGGCCGCTGAGCAATCACACTTGCTGCAACACATCATCTAGGCCTGGCCACTGAGACCGCCACGACGAACGCGGCGCTCGACATACTTGGGCATAGCCGTGAGCTTGAGCAGCTTCTCAAAGTCAGGCGTACCATGGCCCGTCACCGGATCCCATCCTTCCGTGGCATTCCAAGAAGCGTTGGGCACAAAACCTGCCTTCAATCCCGTGTAGATGGACCTGCCGGTGCAGCCACGCGAGCCTCCATCAACAATGTCGTTCAAACCCTTGTAGCCCTCCTCGTAGATCCATGGATTCAAAAATCCCAGCGAAGGCATACCGGCCGCCATGCGAGCGTTGTTCAAGAGTGCAATCACAGACGCAAAAACAGGTGCTGAAGCGCTGGTTCCGCCAACCGATACCACCCGACCCTTGTCGTAGACCTGGAAGGCTTTGCCCTGGGCCGCAACATCTGGAAATCCACGTCCTTGAGGATTGTAGAGACCTTCCCAGCGGTTTCCAAGCTTCTCGAGGTATGCAGGAACAGCCTTGTCTTGGTATGCAGGTCGAGGCCAAAGTTCGGAGAAGCCACCAGAAGAGAAGTCAACGGCTGCTTCAGGAGAAACACCAGATGTGCCACCCACTGAGGTGACGTATGGGCAGGAAGCAGGGAAGACGGGCAAGAGACGTGTCGTGTTCTTTCCGTCGTTGGTCTGGCAGGCCGAGCCGGGGCCAGTATCACCACTCGAGAAGATGACCGAAACACCACGGGTACCGAGCTGGCCGATCAAGTCACAGACCTTCTTTGCGTATGCAGGAGGCACACTCTGCTCGTTCTCGCCGTACGACGTTGACAACACCTCTGGGAGCTCGTCATCTTCAAGGCCGACGAGATAGGTGAAGTAATCCAGGTAAGGCTCGTTGTCGCTGTTGTCCGCAACAGGTTGGTCAAGGTCAGGAACCAGTGGTCCGCGGCCAGGAACGGTGTAGAATTGTGTTTTGATCGCGGGCGCAACGAGACCTACAGTGTACTGAATGTCCAGGTTGGCTTCTACACTGTCCGCTGTGGAGTTTTGGTTAAAAGGTCCCTCCTTCACAGATGTAACTCCGAACGTAGTGCCGGCTGCCTTTGGCACAAATCGAGTGAGAAATTGCGACAAATCAGCGAAGCGCGCATATTGCTCCAGGAAACCGCTAACTCCAAAGGTAACGCTGGCATTCTTGGCTTCGTAGTTCTTGAAGTTGTAGAGCTCCGCAAGGCAATCGGGGTTAATCCTGAGGTTGCATGTCGCGTTGACAGCAAGGGCTGAGACAGGGACTGCCTCCTTGCTGTAGACTTGGCTGTGTTCCGGGCGGATCTCGCCGAAGCGAGTCGTGGGTTGGATGATGTCAATGTCATCTCGCACGTGCTTTGGTACCGAGTACCCCAGAGAGCGGATCTTCTTGATGTCGTTCCGGGACTCGCTCTGGTAGGTCTTGAAGGTAGTTTCCATCATCTGCTCCGCGCGCTTGACCGGGACGTAGAAGTTGATCCATTCGCCGTCATTCTGAATGTCCCTCGACTCAATGCCAGACTGCTCGAGCCAACGGAGAACATTCGAAGTCGACTCAGCTCGCGGCTTGACGAGGTCTTTCAGCTCGTGGCGCTTCAAGTGCTGTCCATAGCGAGGATGGCTGGGGGACGAAACTTCCATGAGCGCCCTGTCAAGCAGCTCGCGATCCGCCTACAGTAGTCAGTAAAAGCTACCGTAAGATATACATAGCGGGGACCCAAGAAATTACTCACCGAACGCACTGCAATGCGGAAGCGCAGCTTCTGGTCTGGATGCGGGGCACCAACTTCAGTCCAGCCCTCTGGGACGCTGCGAAGGCGCTCAACAACCTCGCCCTCAATGTGAGAAGTGCGTGCGGCGCTGCCACTGCCAACGGCCAGCAGGCCTGCGAGGAGTAGGTTGTACTTCATGCTTGTCGGCTCGCGATGCTAATGATGCCGTGTAAGGAAGAGGTGGGGAGCAAGAATTGAAACGACGGAGCAAAAGACGCAATGACGCGCAACAGCCCTCTCACTCTCCCTTGTCCTTGGGTAGCAGGAGTGAGTGGTGAGGTGAAGGAAGCGTCTCTGCAGCGCCTCTTGCCACAGTTATAGTCGCCATTGCCAAGAGGCCCGACACGTAGGTAAACAGGCGATCTTAACAAGCCGCCCCCATCCTCATAATACCCTCCTGCAGCTAGGCGTCCTGATCAACAGCACCGGTCCTTGGCCTGTAAGTGGCAGTGTTTATCGCCCCAGGCACGGCCGATTTTGGCGGTTTGGCCGCCCGGATTGGTGGGACTTGAAACAAACGCGACTACGTAGACAGCTTCCTGAACGGTTTCAGCTCGACGTTAGCGATGGATGGGCGACCCATAATATCGCCATTCTGCAAGGGTTGCAGTATGCTCTGGTCGACAGCGAGTGGGTTGGCCTAATATCCGTCAGGCATAAGCAAGCCGGTTATTTGGACTGTATGCAATATGCTAGGCCCTCCAAGTTGCGTGCCTTGGTTGGCCAGTGAGGCGCAGGGCCCTGGACAGACTCCAAACGCCCATGGCTATGCCCAGGGCCTGTCGCAAACCTTGATGTGATGAAGCAGGATTGGATGAAGCTTGTCGAGAGCTCGGTGAGCTTGGTCGTGTCTGCTAAGTAAAGCTTGAGGCCAAAGATTAGCCGGGGGTGCTTGGCGTGGCGGGTCTGCTCCTCTCGCCATTCGCGCTACAGGCGGCGCCACATACCGATGCGGGCGTAGATAATTACAAGCAAGGAGCTCTTGGTTGCTTGAAGGACAGGGTGCTTGATATGCCGCTGCACACGGTCCGAGTCACGCATGTCGTGTAACTGCATCCCCAAAGCAGGTACTGTACAGCTTGCTTGGCGAAAATACGACATTGCACAGGATTTTGTTCGTCGAAGTTACATGCGCGAATATTGTATTCTTGGGTGGATAGTCTTGGATACGTGTACATAGCTTCCGATAGAGACCCTCTATGTCTATGCAGCCCTTATTGTCGTCCTTCGAATCCGTTTTCCAGCACATCAATCAGCTCATCGAGTTGCGTCACAACGAAATCCGTATGCTCGTGCTCCGCGAGATGGCTGTTTACATCGTTGAGCAGGAGAACCGTTGCAGCCCCCGCGCGATGTCCCGCCGTCATGTCGTCGATGGAATCGCCCACCATGATGAGGCTTTCCCCACCATTTTGCAGTCCCCAGTCTTTGGCAATATGCAGGATGCCGGCCGGGTCAGGCTTGGGCGGCCTAAACTCGCGCGTCACAATGGGGCTGAAGACCGACTTTGGCAGGAAAGTAGTAAGCAGATGGGTGACGGGGGCGTCGAAGTTGCGCGTGCAGATGCCCTTTTTCACCCCGCGCGAGTCGACATAGTCCATGAGCTCGACGAGCCCTGCCTGCGGCTGCTGCGACTTCATGGCAGTGCGTTCGATGTTGCGGATCTTTTCCTGCGCCTCTTCCTGCTCGGCCTCGGGCAGCGAGTACACGTGGTCGAGAATGTCTGTTGGCTTCTCAATGCCAAGAGCTACCCGCATTTCTGCAAACATGTAATTCTGTGGCAAGCCTGCTGCGCGTTAGTTAGGCGTCCTTTGGGGTCGTAAAAGTCAGGCGTCTCATTACATAATGTCCCGTCCACGTCGAAGACGATGCCCCTCAGTGGCGGCCTGTCCTCTACAGCCTTCCTCTTTGCCGGATCCAGTGGGGCGAATCGCCGGGGCCGCACAGGCTGCGCCATTGTATTGGCGGATCGCGTTATACGTAAAGAGAGGCGGGCGGATAGGCTGTTGGCGGAAGCCTTGGATGCGAAACTGAAATGACTGGCGTGTCGAGCAACGAGGCCGTTCATGGTGTTGATGCTGATGCACAGGTTGGTGTTGAGCCTAGCTGGTGGGTCCGGGATCAGCCGCGTCTACCCTGCGGCTCTCCTCATGGCTGCGATCACGTAATCCACACGGGGCTTTCACTGACCAAACTATAGTTTTTTTCAGGAGGTCTTAATTAAATTCTGCGCGGAAATAACTCAAGTGCGTCTAGTGTTTGCGCTCCCAGTGCGTCCACCACACACTACTTCATCCATCCTCTACATCTGGCCTGATCCGATTCACACTGACGTATATGCTAAACGTCAAGCTGAACTATCAGTCGTGTCTTGGAGACAACCCTCTAATTCAGACCCCTTGAGAACCGGAATGAATCGCCAACATTCTCGGTTAATGCATCTCCCTCAAGTTTTGATAGACACCTCGCAAGTCAAAAGAACCAAAGATACATGTCGAATAGCTATATTCAGCCTCAAACTTGCCCCATTTCATCCCCATCCTCTAGTATCCATATCTCAGCAAGATTTGGTGTACCACATATATGAGCCTTCACCCACCATGGGACACAAGAAAACTAGATGCAACCCAAAGAGCGCATGTGGTCTCACAACTCGTACTCCTAGTCCAACTCCAAATGCCCCAGCAGAGCCATGGGGGAGTGAGAACTTGCATTTGCAATGCTTAGGAGGTAACAAAATCTATTCTTTTTTTCACTGAGTGTTGGTCGTATTGGTAGTGTAGCACAGCCCCGCATGGCTGTACAAGTCCAGCTCACATTGAATGCTGTCGATTTCCATACCAAAGCACCATCGCCCTTCTTCTTATTAACCCCATCAACAACCTGTTTCGCTAGTCACCTCACCTTGTTTCGACGCCACATCTTCCCTATTTCGTTGCTGTCTACGCCCGCCTTCGCCTCTTTCAACATGATCCACCACCTGCTAATCCCACCCAGTAAAAACAATCTTATCCGCACACCCCGCGTCGGAGAACCCCCATACCCCTTCACCCAACGCTCTCACATACAACGATCGGATCCGCTTCCCTACGCAGAGCGGCAGCGACCTGGGCACCCAGCTCCAACGGCGTGCAAGCCCAATCCAGCCAAAAAAAATATTGACATCATCCATTTTCCGCACCCCGGCCCTCGCAGCCCTGCGCCCTTGCCCGGAGACAGCGACTGCGTCAAGTTAAAGCAGCCCGTACTATGGACGTAACTATTCCATACGACGAACCATGCCCGTCTTAGCAGGTCCCCTCCCCGGCAGTTGTTTGTAACGTGACTGTTGAGGCTGACCAGGGGCCGGTGCTTATAATAGCGGGGGGCACCCTTGTCCGATGATATGTATGCAATCTGAGGCTCCGCTTGGCGCCACAGGCACGTGCAGATCAGTACTTACAGGAACGGGGAGACGATGAGATGAGATGAGATGAAATGAGGCGAGATAAGCCGCGCTACCAATCATTCCTTGCGAACGGCCGTGTTTACGTGAGACTCGCCGAATCACGACTTGACTAACCCAGACTTTTTTTTTTTTTTTTTGCTGTGCTACTTGCGTACTTGGGACGAGAGTACGAAGAAAAACAACGTTTAAATGCCGTTGGCATTTCTTGGCGTGTATCGCACAACTGACATCGCCTGGCTCACAGGGTTTATCCCAAACGCTGTCGGAAATTGGTGTCTCGTCCTGGATTGGTGCCGAGTTGAGGGGGGGGGGAATTGTTTGGTGCGGATGCGTGCGGAACAAACAGAAAAAAAACGAGGGCATGTCAAGAAAACACAAGCACAAACGAGCGGTCGCGGCAGATTTGTTTTAGGAAACCAAAGTTAGAGTTTGTTAAGTGCATACTTCTATATTGGGTATAAATGCTCGTTTTTCTTTTTTTTGGCTAAGCTACAACCGCGCCACCCGCTGTGACACTTGGACATCCCTTGCATCGGTGCGAGCGTATACGTGTGTACCGCGATGATAAAATTGCAATCATGAAGCTACCGAGGCCAAAGTCTAAACTAAGAAAGAAACCCTACAGACTATCCCGCTTAATAGGAGGTGGTAGTGTTGTGGACAGCGCTGCGAATGTTGTAGTACTTGGAGTTGGGGTAGTAAAGGTTGTTCTGGTTCTGGCGGAAGCTAGCCACACCACCAAGGGCGTTAACAACCTGGGATTGGTTAGTACCAAATACAAGTTTCAAACGGGGGAACATGTGGGCGTAAAAGACTTACAGTGCGGGTAAGGGACTTGGGGTCAGTGATTGGCCGGTCGCCAGACGACTCCCAGAACCAGGCTCCACCGAGACCCTGCTCCTTGAGGTACTGTGTCTTCCATAGGGCAACCTGAGGAGTGTCAAAGGTGATGACCTCCTTGGCGACACGATCGTAAGTCCAGGCAGCGCGGACATTCCAGTCGGTGTAGAGCGAAGCGTTGGAGCGGGGGAGTTGCTTGTAGTCAATGACACCTGCCTCGAAGCTTCCGGCAGTCGAGCCGTTGAAGACCATACCCATACCGTTGCCGGCGGGTTTGGGGTCAATAACGTTGGCAAATCCGCGACCGTACAGGGGCATTCCGAGCTGGATCTTGCTGGGGTCGGCGATCTGCGTCTTGTAGTACTCAATGGCGCGCTCCGTGTTGAAAGGCGTGAAGGAGTTGGTCTTGACAACCCAGCCGTTGGTAGATCTGGGGTTCTTCTTGCTTGGGTACACGTTGCTGAGGTGACCAGTGAAGTTGGAGAATCCGGGGCCCTGGTAGTCAAAGGCCATGAGGTTGTAGTTGTCGACGTATTGGTCAATCTCAGCAAGAGGGAAGATTTCGTAGTTCTGGGGTCCGGCAGGGGAGGAGATGCCAATGACGAAGCGGTAGCCGTTGTAGTACTTGGCCGAGTACTGGTCAAAGATCTGGCGGCAGTACTTGACCGTCTTAGCAAAGTTGTGGGCGGCCGTCGTGTCTTCGGGGTACTCGTAGTCGAAGTCGATACCGTCGATACCAAGGTCACCAATCAGCTGGATAGTGCTGTCGCAGAACTTCGTCCTGCCTGCCTCGGTGGAAAAGGCGGGCTTGAAGTTGTTCCTGTAACTCCAGCCACCGACGGAGAGGACGACCTTGAGGTTGCGGTTCTTCTGCTTCAGCTTGTACAGCTGGTTGAAGTTACCCAGCAGTTGGCTGCCGTTGGTACCAACATCGCCGGGGTAGGGGAACTGCAGATCAGCCCACTCATCGGAGAGTATAATCTCGCCAGTCTGGTTGTTGAGGTTGGCGAAAGCATAGTTGATCTTGGTGAGCTGCTCGGCAGGAAGGTCGGTGACCATGAACTTGCGAGCGTAGATGGCCCAGTTCACGAAAAAGGTACCGGCCTGGAAACCCTGCTTGGAACCGCTTGGTTGGGATTCGGTAGGGTAGCCACCAGAAGGCCAGCCGTACATTTGGCGAGCAGCATGCTTGTGCTGGTGGCCATGCAGAGAAGGCGCAGCATGAACCAGCGAAGTCAAGGATAAAAGAGTGGCGGCGTCAGTGAAACGCATTTTAATGATAGGACGGCTGGTGGCCAAAAAAAAAATAGAGAGGCAATTAAGGAGTGGTCGCTACGAGAAGGCGTGCGGTGAAAAAAAATGTGCAGTCGAGATGTCCCCTCTCTTTAAGACACTTCCATCTGGCTTGAACCCGTCTAGTTCCATGGCACTTCGCCGGGACCATGTCACGGAGCTAATATTTGGCCGTTGGGTCCGTACCTGGGCATTACGAATGCCTTCTTTTCTTGCCTACATACGTTCGTCCCAGCTGATGGTACTGGGTCGCCCCTTGGAAGGCATACGGACCGAAACTTGGGGATTCCTGATCTCCAATGGTGGCGGAGCGCAGACTCTAATGGCTAGTGTGTGGATCTTCGGCGCTTTTTAGCCCGTTGTTTCAAAAGAAACGATGCCTTGCTTCCACGATCATGCCCCCCCGGCATTTCTGATTGGAGCGCCTCTTGCGAGCATGCCTTTGGTGCACGGCTTTAATCGGACCTACCTGCCATGCAACATGAGCATGCCTGAGGCCAAGATCCCTAATCGACTTAAAATATCTTGTGAACCCCAACGCTTTACTGAACGAGCTGGCCATCTGGTTTGACACGATTGTTAACGATCCTTGTTGAGAACATTTTCTTAAGACAGAGCTGCCTCGTCATCTCTTTTTTCTTGCGCCTGGGCGATACACTGTACGTTGCTCTGTTGTCGTCATGCTGCTGACAAAAGGGTCTCGAACCACGTGAAACCTAAAACAGACTAGTCAGACAGCTTCTTAGGTAGTGTACCTGCATGGAAGAATATTGCCACGCGTGCGCGAACCGCTGCATCTGCCGTTGCTGGTTTAGGAGTCCTTCTCTTCCAGACCTCTCCATGGGCTCAGAAACAACTAAGGGGTACCATTACGTGGAAGTTATTTCCTCTACATGCTCAACCCTGTTGCATTTGAGGCTTTTAGCTGCCGAACATGTTCGCCATTCTTACATAATATCGCAATTAGGCTCGCTCATTCACTGCCATACTTGTACATGTAAGCAGTCTCGTGTCATCAGCTGGTGGCCTTGCAAGTATCTTTGCTCTTGAGAACGGCGCACATGCCCTAAGGCTGGTCATTCGGCCCGTTCTAGATCTACTTACCGGTGATTTCCCGACAACTGAGAGCGATGAACGGTCTTCTTCCCAGTTGGCAGTTTTTCAGTGTCATTCTGCCTAGAAAACGAAATCAAGGGCCGGACATTGCCACCTACTTGGAGCATGTAGACTTCCTGTTTTCTGGGTAGTAAGACGGCCATTGTATCAATTCATGCCGATGCTGACAGGAGGCAAGGGCTTGGGCGGTTATCGGTCTTGGAAGCTAAGTGTGGGTGTGGCGCATATTAACGCTAGGTTTGTGGTTAACCGGAAGAGGAAATACGGTTTATCTGGACAGCAGTCAAGCGGCCGCTAGCCTGCTTCATGTGTCAGCCCCTTTATGTACCCCTCGAGCAACACGACGCAAATGCAAGCTTTGAACAAGTCGCCCAGACGAGGTTTCAAGAAACTCACGCTACAACTGGTGCACTCAGTCTCGTGAGCAAGCCCAGGGTACGCTCATGGTATGGGGACCATCCACAGGCTTCCCGCGAATCATTCCATGCACAAGGCTAGCTTCTTGCAGGGAGCACCATCTTGCTAATAAACAAAGTTTTGATCCTGTCAGTACGGATCGCGCCGCGCGGCCACGCCATATGAAATATCCAGAAATGACATCTTTTGCACTCAAAGTTCCGGTCAATAAAGTTGATCACATGGCGCAGTCAGAACTCTACTCAAACGTCACGCAACAGGCACGCCATGATCCTGACTGCGAGAGTTTGTTCGCTATCTGGTCCTTTTCATCATGCGACAAGCTCTGTGTTCACCTGCACAGCTATTAGTATTGCCGTGAATACCAACAGGGATGAACACTTGATCCAGTGTATGCGTTGATCTGCAATACACTACTGCAGTGGCCACTTTGACAATAATTAAAGACACGAGAAGAATATTGCGGGATTGTACTCGTGTTCAGCTTGACGAAAGCGTTATGCGTTGATAGCGCACAATGCGCGCGTGAGCGGGGACCAAGGATGTGATAAAGACATACAACTACGTACTTTATTTGACTCCGTCAAAAGCCATCATGACTCCAATACCCTGAAGTCAAACCGACTTATTCTCTACGCGCTCGGATCTCTAAATTTGCATTCACAAAACCGCAAGGACCCGGCCGATGGATTCAATGTAGCCAGCCCGGCTGAATAGCAATCTAAGATACTAATAAACTGCTTGGCGACTTGCAGAGGAGACACTTGGCAGGGAGCTCGACAAGCAGACAAAAACGACCTTGCATAAATGCCATACTCGCCTTCGCCGTGTCTACCGGTCCCCCAGTCTGACTTTGGGTCAATGTTGGGGTAGCTTCCCAATTTTCCTAGACAAAGCTAGAGTCACCAGCCAGCGCAACGATGCTTTCGAATGTAATTCTCATGCCATCTCTTGGCGCCACCAGGATCCCCAAGGCCAAGTAAGGCTCGCCTGGGTCTTTTTGCGCATGATTCAGACACGGCTGACTTCTGCGATCGAACCATTACAGGCCGACTCGTATGCCTGCACCACTTTTCGTATATTAGAAAAAAGGCCAAAGGATCGTCGGGCCGAGACCAGCGACTGCAATACCAACGGAATAGCGCCAATGTATTCTTGAAAGCATTTCATAAAATGACAGTGTTGTTAATAAGACGTTTACAACACGGGATGTGCACAACTCTATGATTATGTCTCGTATGCTTTAGAGTGCCAAAGCCTTGATCTTCTCATTGGATACAGCAGTTGTCAGAAGCGCGTCAGGAGTGACGGAGCCCCAAGGTATCCAAAGCGCATACCCTTTCTTGGTGATGAGGCCAGACAACCAGCGCTTCCTATTCAGAAGGCGCGGACGTGATAATACGCTACATCCACTGTTCGCAATTCTCAGTTTTCAACCCGATAGACCTATGGAAGCAGCTTTTATCGTGACACATATGCAACATATGAAGTTTGAAGAGGCGAGCAATTCTTTCCTCCAAGGAAAACTCCCAGTCACCTACATACTCACATAACGATAGTGGTATGACGTTTACCATTCCACCGGCGTGACTGAGATCCTCTGGCGAGACTTGAAGGGCTTGAACCAGCCCCCACAGCAAGGGAGATACTTGCAGCATTTCTAGTGATCTACGAGCGGAACGGCTATGGGAAAGGCATAGCCGCAAACGACGGGACGCTCCGAGATCCGTAGTGTGTTCTTCGTTAGTGAGAACGCACCCCCAAACACATTTTACCTTCCATTCACGGGACCAGGATCATGCTGACTTATCTGGCTCTGACTGTTCTCATATTGGTAGATATGATGTTGGTTTACACATGGATATCCTGCATGACTCGACCGTGTACCACTGTATGTACTACGATAGTGAGGTTTCAGATGAAGTACATGAAGCATCCGCTTGGATTGTCCACCTCCACATTATTGTAGCTAGTGGATTTCATCACATAAGTGTGTTATCCGAGTCCTTGTAAACACGTGCTATTGGCTAATCGTAAACCTTACTTTGTCTACGTGCAGTCAGCCTCCAGGTCTGTGATTCAGGGTAACTGGAGCAAGTTCAGCAGCAGCTATGACAAGTAGGAACACCATTATGCTGGTGATATATGAGTCTGGTCTGCATTAGCTGAGAGGCTGTGATAGAATAGAAATAGGAAATGCAGACACAATCTGCACCCTTGTTCAGCTCCGTTCTGGGTTGTAGGAACGTTGATGTTCGGATATATACCGCCTGAGCAGCTAGCGCAACACCCAAGGAGGAAAGCAGTGAAAGCTTATTACAATTGCAGAACCAAGAATGCATACGAAGAAACATATATCATTGCCATGGGACTATAAGCGTCACCCCACTCTTACTTGGCGACTGTTTAAACTTTGAAAGTGTATTCGATACTAGAATAGCAGACGACAAAATACGGCAAGGTATACTTTGCAAGAAAGTAATTGGATACTATCGTTTCTGGATTAGATAGGTTTTCGAAGCTTGCTCAGTCTTTTACAATAATTTGTTCTTGTAGCGTCTAGAAACATATATGTAGTATAGAGAAACAGCCAAGTATTGTACAGACCACGTCACAATCGATGGGTATCACATGGGGCGAGGGTGTCGAATCTAGAGTCTAGTTCAACTGAAATTATGTCGCTGTTGCGAGTAAATGAGGGTTTATACTGTCATGCAAGTGCTTGCGTGGATACGACAGGGACAAGGTTGGGGAAGAAAGGAAGAAAATTGCGAGAAAAAACTGCTCGAATTTTACGGTGATGATGGCTTCTGATGATATTGGTGTTTTTGGTATTGTTCTGGTTAGTGCGCGACCAGGTTGAGTGAGTTGCGGCGATGCTGCCGGCTCTATCTGGGGGTATTTCGGGGACTATAATGAGTTCCGTGCATGATATTACGCTATACTTAGTACTATCCATTCGTCTTAAGGGTATCGTTTTAAATAAAATCAGTGGTTCTCTATGAATATGTAAAATGTGGATTACTACTTGCTTATTGTATACAACGAATAGGGTACCGTACCTACTTTTATGACGTATTACATGTCATGCTATATTGTGAAATCTACTACATTAGTTTAGTAGAATGACTTGTAGAACAACAGCTTGCAGAATGTAAAACGTTGGGCAACTAAACAGATAATTGGCGGGTAAAATGCAGGAGCTAATTTAGCGCTCAATGTTGGCACCTCGTACGACGAAGGCGGGGAGCAAAAACCGTCTTCTCTCTATCAAGTCTTTTGCACCATTGCTGGAATTCGCAATCAATACTATACACGTGACGGTATTCTCTAAATTCATTATATCTAATGATATCGCTACGACCCCTTTCTCGCCTGACTGTTTGCTCTCGCGCAAGTTGGACATGTTTAAATGTCGTCGCACCACGACTCACAAACTGTACATTAGCTTTACCCAGAACCCCAGCCATTGTTCGGACCACGCTTCATCGTAATGCCAGCACGAATTCATCTGCGCGGGTGGACTGCAAGAGGTACATTGGCCAGTCTGGTCGCCATTACAGCGTCGAAAAGGTGCTTCAGGAAGAAACATCTCCAGTACGCCGAGTCTACTTAGCTACGCAAGTGAACCTAGTCGCACCTCGCTTCTATTGACCTGCTTACAGTTCCCTCAGTGCCAGCAACCAAAAGTTCATACTCAAGTATGTTCACGAAGTCAATTTCGAGGACCTTCAAGACATAAACAATAGGTTACGCGGTAGCGCTAAACATGTCCGCCTCGTCAATGATACTATCTCTGAGAACTCCATGTTCGTTTTCCAGTACTTTGCCGATCATCTCCTCAGCCTCGCTCAGAAGGACTTGCCCCTCGCAGTGACAAAGCAGATCCTGAAAGATGCACTTCGTGGAATCGCTGAACTCCATGACCAGGATATTGTCCACACGGGTAACTGGCATTCTTTAGTGAAACAATGATTAGTGACTTATTTGAGACAGATATCAAACCGGACAATGTTTTGATCGACTGGAAAGAGCATCAAGATGGGATATTTATCGAGCGAGTTCAGCTTGGGGATCTTGAAGATGCGGCACATATCCCTCCTGGATCAGATATGATCGGAAAACAGGCCGGTAACTGGATGTGGAGGAGCCCTGAAGCACACGCCAGAGGACCGGTGAATAAGCCGTCTGATATCTTCTCTTTCGCCCTTGTGGTAAGTTCTGCGCATAAACATCATGGATTTTGAGATTGTTGCTCACTATTATTTATCATGCAGTGCATTTATGCGGTGCATAAACGCGTCATCTTTGCTGTTGGGGAAGAGGAGCTGGACGAGGGTGTGGAGCCCTTGGCTGTAGTAATCGAACGCCAAATCTCGTATTTTGCAGATGAGGACGGACTAAGTGGATTCCTGAGAAACCTCGGCGACAATCCTTGGGTTCCCATTTTTGAAGTAACTCGGAATGGTTTCAATAAAGACAAACCGCGTAGGCCATTCTCTCTATGGGACGGCGTCGACGAAGATTTTAAAAGTCTTATTTGTGCCATGACGAATTTCGATCCGGAGAAGAGAATTACGGCGCGCGAGGCATTGGCACATAAGTGGTTTGAGGGTGTGTAAGGTAGCTAGAGTGTCATGGTTCACGTGCGAAATCAATTCAGCAGTGATGCTCAATGAACAGCAACAGCAGCACTGGCCCGTCCGATGTGAAGACGTAGTATAAGGAGCGAAAGTGGGCTTCACGTCTGCAATCTTCTTGTCTCACGATCGTGGACCAGGTAAATCTATCCGAACCAAGATGGCAGGCCTTATATCGCGTGGCCCCGTGACGCAGAAGCAAGAGCCCGTATAAGACACCATCCCCCGCGATGGTTCACGTGGCCAGCCGGAATCTTGACCGGGGGGAGCGTGGCAGCCAGCCTGTCATTGTTAATGGAGGAAATATCATCCCAGAGAGACCGTTTATTGGACGAGGTGCATAAGAAAGCCGAGAAGAACTGCTGTGAATGGCTCTCAATCTGCTCGCCGTGCAACCTGGCGCCCTGCTGCTGGCGTTGACAACAGCAGCTCGGCTATGTACTTTCACCCAGAAGGGTTAGCGCGTACTTAGTAACCGAATCAGGTTGAGCTGTTGAGTCGTGAACCATCACCCACTTTCTAGAACCCCATCTTGATAATTTCTGGATACTCCACCTACGACGCTAGCATAGCACAAATACCCGGTATGTTCATCTGTCTTATGTACAAGTGATTGCAAGATGCTAACGCGGTAGATTTCACATTTCCATCGTCGTATACGTGACGAAGATGGTAGCCAGGCTCCATACTGTACCCACGACGACCATGACTTGCATACCTCGGGAATATTGTAGTTGCACATGGCACTGGCTGCAGCATGCAGACTGAGACTCGTATTCGACGTGTCCAGATTCATGGCGCCGTCCACCGCTACACTGGATGCTATTCCAGATACGTGGTGGCTGTCGGACTAGGCGAGCCTGCGAAGCTTGTGGGGATAGTCAGATGGCATCTGTAGTTGCAGCGCCGACTGGATGAATTCATTGACGGATTATCTTTGCACGGCGCAGATGCAGACTACCGTAGCGTCTTTCGGCTTAAACATGCCCCAATTAGCCACGACCCCTGCATCTAAGGTTTCCCGACCATCTTCTCCTCGCACACTGGACGCGCATGTGTACTGACGTGGACCGCGACACCTCGTGGGGCCAGGCTCAGCAACGCCTCATTTCCTGCCGTCACAGCATTGGGAAGAAAGAGACGGGGGGCTCAGGGAACTGCAAATGAATGGGCATGGAGCGGCATCGGGTCGGCAACGGCATTGGCACTAGGGCATGGTGAGATTGGGTTGTTTGACGGCAATGCATGCATGGCCTGACGCAGGGGCGCATATCCTCCCTCCGATCGGCGGCACAAGGCCCCCCAGGATTTCGTGAAGGCCGTGATGCTTCCATCCGGAGTACCGCGCTGACTTGCAGATCGTATGGGGTAGACGTGAACGTCTGCAGTGGCTAGGTGTAGTAGCACCAGTAGCAGCGCAGTTGGCCGTCGCTATCGTTCTTGTAATCCTCCAAATATTGCACCAATCGCTGGCCGCCACCCTGGGCACATGAGGACCACCCGTTTCAGGCGCCTCCTCGCCTTGTTTCGCCATGGACATGCCAGCCCTTGCAGGACGGGACAAACTGAAATTTGAATGCTTATTATTACGGGAAGGCCGTTCCGTTTTGCGTCATTATGTAAGACGGGTTTGGTTTTCCACGCCCGCTTCCAGCGTCCTCGGTGTTGGCTGCGACTTGGGCTTCTGCAACACCGCAAAATACCAGTCCTTCCTCGTCTTCCACGACACATGTTTCTCAGTCACGCGTTCGTTTCGCTCAGAATAACCTTTGTGTATAAGATGTTCCGTCAATCGGCTGCATCGGCACTACTGTCCCGCTTCGGCTTCGTGTTGGCGTATGTCTACTACGCCACGGCAGTGTAGCGCCACGCATCTAGCCCCAGTGGCTCGGCTCGTTTCACCATTCCATTCCGCAAATTGGTTTCGACATGGGCGGCCAGCCAAACTCGGTAACAGCCCTCGCCCATCTAGACAAAGTGGGCCTGTCACTCCCAGCAGGGACCTGGATTGTCGGTCGCAAGCAGTCTGGTTTTTTGACATGCTCGCCATGATCAACGCACGTAGCATGGGCAAGCCGGCGATGCTTGAAGACCGTCTTGCAATATCAACACAATAGACAGTGTAATATGTCTTGCCTCTCCCAATTTACTTGTACGAGGGGGCCTCGAGACGGCAGAATACGATGGCCGTAGATGGAATTAGTTGTTTATTGTCCGAAAGCACTGTTCCAGAAAGATCCCTGGGGTCGGGCTACTCATGTCACGTTGGCTAAAAACACTGGGGGGTTTGCAGATTTCCGACAAGCCTTGCCCAGAGCGACAAGCTTCGGAAAAATTAATCTTCAGGGAGCTTGATGGAGAGTGTGGGGGGGGTGTTCCGCTCCAGGGCGGCTTTGCTTCCACACTTTCGCTGAGGCATGGAGCGCCTTGTATAAGTATCTCGAGGTGGAATCTCCATATGGGAACCACACTACATCCATCCTCTTCCTTCGCCCTCTTCTCCTCTACATAATTTTTTATTTCATTCGAAGTATTACAACTCGGACATCATGGTTGCCGCAAAACTCACTTCGATGCTCCTCAGCGCTGGCGCGCTCGTCTCTGCTGCCCCGGCTGGCCTTGAAACTCGCGCTGGTTGCACCTTCACTGACGCTGCGTCTGCCATCAAGGGCAAGACTTCGTGCTCCACCATTATCCTCAACAACATTGCCGTCCCTGCAGGCACCACCCTGGATCTGACGGGACTCAAGTCTGGCACTACCGTCACCTTCCAAGGCACCACCACATTTGGCTACACGCCATGGGCGGGCCCTCTCATCTCCATCTCTGGCAGCAGCATCACGGTCAACGGTGCTTCAGGCCATGTCATTGACGGCAACGGCGCTGCGTGGTGGGACGGAAAGGGCAGCAACGGCGGCAAGACCAAGCCCAAGGTAAGCCGTTTTCCAAGCACAAGACCAACTTCTGAAAGCCCAGAGTAACTGACTCGTTTGAATAGTTCTTCGCAGCCCACTCTCTGACAGGATCCTCCATCACGGGCCTCAACATCAAGAACACACCGGTCCAGGCCTTCTCCATCAACAACGCCAACAACCTCACACTGGACAAGATCACGATTGACAACAGCGCGGGCGACACGCAGGGCGGACACAACACCGACACCTTTGACGTGGGCTCCTCAACAGGCGTCTTCATCACCAACGCCAACGTCAAGAACCAAGACGACTGTCTTGCCGTAAACTCGGGCACCGACATCCACTTCACGGGCGGCACGTGCTCAGGCGGCCACGGCATCTCGATTGGCTCTGTAGGCGGGCGGTCCGACAACACGGTCAAGAACGTGATTGTATCGGGCTCTACGATCGTCAATTCGGACAACGGCGTGCGCATCAAGACGGTCTCGGGCGCGACGGGCTCCGTCTCGGGCGTGACGTACAAGGACATTACGCTGCAGAACATTGCCAAGTACGGCATTGTCATTGAGCAGGACTGCGAGAACGGCAAGCCCACGGGCACCCCGACTACCGGCGTCCCCATCACCGGTCTCACCATCCAGGGCGTCACGGGCACCGTCGCCTCGTCCGGCACTGACGTCTACATTCTCTGTGGCGCAGGCAGCTGCTCCGGCTGGACCTGGTCCGGCGTCAGCATCACCGGTGGAAAGAAAGACCCCAATGCCTGCCGGAACGTGCCTACAGGTGCTTCTTGCTAAGCATAACACCCATTCCACCTTTCTCCCATTGCGGTTGAAAGAAGAAGAAGAAAAAAAATAGGTTATTCTCACTCTTCCTGGACACAAGAGGAGAGCATGAGCAAGACGGGGCTGGACAGATTATCAAGTTACGTACCCCGTTCTTTCTTTTCCATTCTTTGTATATAATATCTTACATACCTGCTGTATATAGTTCGGGGGAGTGTTGGAAAGTTGCGTACTGGTGTAGCTTTTCAAGCAAGCAAGCAAGCAATTTGCATCTCAGTGTTGTGAAGAATTCTTCTGTTGTGCCTTTTTACTTGCATTTCCTTCTCCTCGTGTGAAGACAGTATATAAATATGTGTGTGTGTGTGTGAATATGCAGTAAATATTGCTGCTTTGTGCCTCAGCAATTTTGATGTTGAGCCAACAACCCCCAAACGCCGACGTAGTCAGGTCAGACATCAAAGGGCATACTATACAAAACGACCATCTAAGATGCTTACTATTGTATGTCAGAACGGCTACTTACTTACGCGTAAGCAGATATAACGGGTCCCCCACCCCCCCACGCTAAGTCCACATGTCAGCCCAGTTTGGCACGCGAACGCGACGTGAGCATGACAAGTACGTACAGTACAGTATGAAACTAAGTAAGCAGCCGCTCCAACCATACATTTCATATACTGCATCAACACCTTGGATAAATAATGCATACACAGTGATCCAGGTAAATATAATCCAAGTCCACACATTATCATCATCATCATCATCATCATATAAATACATTTCTTTGATCAGCTACACAAAAACTCACATGTCGGGCCTATTCGACTTCGCATTCGGCACACGTTAGACCTTGTCGAGCCAAACGAGCTTACTCTGGTAATCACCCGACTTCCACGCGACATTGAGACCGTGGTTCATGTACGTGGCGCCGCTGTACGTGGCATTGTCCCAATTATTGGTGTAGCGTGCTTTGGGGTCGAGGCCCTGCAGGCGGAGCGGCGGGGCCGCAGGCTTGACTCTGTAGGATTGCTGGAAGGCGAAGACGGCGCTTTGCGTCAGGTCGCGACTCACGAATTGCACGGCGGGCCAGTTGGAGTGCGCGGGGTGCGCGAGCCGGTAAAAGGCGCCCGAGATGACAATGGGGTTGACGGCTTTGGCGGCGGCCATGATGGAGGGAAGCGCTGCCGATTCCTCGGGTGAGAGCTCCTCTGGGTTGAGTTCTAGGCCAAAGGAGCCGCACATCATGGCCACGTGCCCGCGGTACACGATGCTGATGTTGCGGCCAGTCAGTTGGTTGGGCACGGCTGAGATGTGGCAGCCCATTGCTGAAGGGGGGTAGACGAGCGATGTCCCCATCTGGATGGTCAGCCGGTCCGAAGCGTCCGTGTTGTCCGAGGTCCAAGACTGAGACCAGTAGTGGAGAAGGCCCGGGTCGAAGCGTCCGCCGCCTGATGCGCAGCCCTCAAAAAGAACGTCCGGGTAGCTCGTTGTCAGGTTGTCAATGACGCGGTAGAGTCCAAGCATGTACTTGTAGTCGTCTGATGGGTGGGAGAGCTCGTGCATGCCACGGTTGTTGTCCCACTTGACGTAGGAAATGTTGCCCGAGTCAAGGATACCAGAGACGGTGCTAATCATGAAATCTTGCACCTCTGGCAACCCCACATTCAAAACGAGTTGGTTGCGTGTTAGCGTGCGTTGGTGCTTCCCCGCATGCAGAACCCAGTCAGGATGCTTGTGGTACAGCGTCGAATTAGGATTGATCATTTCTGGCTCAACCCAGATGCCGAACTTCATGGCCTTTGGCTCGTTCAACACCTTCATGCTAGTCACTTTGTCGATGAATGGCCTGAGACCCTGGGGGAACTTTGCTGGGTTGGGCGTCCAGTCACCAAGACCAAGAGTGTCGTTGTTACGCGGGTATTCGACGCCAAACCAACCGTCATCCATGACAAAAAGCTCAATACCAAGCTCTTCGGCTTCACCAGCGAGTTTGACCAACGAAGTGTCGTTAAACTTGAACCCCAGACCCTCCCACGAATTAAGCAGGACTGGGCGTGTTTGATCCGTGAACTTGGCGCGGGAGAGATGGTTACGGTAGAGGTCATGGAAAGATCGCGACATGCCCCCGAGACCTTCTGACGAGTAGACACCAACGGCCTCGGGGGATTGGAAAGTCTCACCCGGCGCTACAGGAATACTGGCGTGTAGCGGATTGAGGCCCATGAGCATGCGCACATAGCCGTTGGAGAAGCGTTGAGCTGTCGCGGCAAAGCTTCCCGTCCAAATCAAGCTGAATCCCCATGCTTCTCCCGTCGACTCGGTAGTAGTTGGCGACACAAGCGAGAAGAAAGGGTTGTGGATATGCGACGAGTAGCCCGTGGTACTCCGGAATCTACAATCGGTCAGTCACCGCCTTAATTGCTTCAAGAAAGAAGAAAAAAAACATACGTAGTCTCGCCATAATCTACCGTCCTCCTCACCGTCTGGAACTCATGCGACCAATCGCCATGCGGCTCGATCATTTCCAGCTCCACATTCGGGAAGTCGGTGCTGAAACTCGCCGCTCGCTCAATCGAAATGGTCGAGTTTCCCTTGTTTGTGATGCTAAAGCTGCGAGCAATAGCATTGTATTTTGGGAAAACAGAGTACAGCAGCGCAGCCGAGACATCCGAGACATTGTCGTAGAGGTGGACCGTCACGGTAGTAACATTGCCCGCACTTCCATAAGTGGCTGGCAGACCCGGCAACGTAGGCTTACCCTGGGAAATCTCGTGCGACTGGTAGCGCAGGGCCGTTACCGTGTCGCCGTCTGCATGCTCAATGTGGATCGCAGGCAAGCGGAAGTCACCGCGGCCAACGTCAGGAAATTCGCGGCGATAGGCGCCGAGTGTGGTAACCCATCCTCGCTGATCGACAAAAGCGGGCGGCGTGAAGTCGGTGGTTGGTCCTCCAAAATGGTCCGAGATCAGATCTCCAGTCGCCGTATCCACGTGGAAGAGGTATGACATGCCATCGGCAGTCAAGGTGAAGTTTGTCCCGCTCGCTGTGATTGCTGCGTGTTTGTCGTTAGCCGGCTGTGTGTGTAATGCAGGTATACATCACCCCGAGTGCCTGACTTACCATCTTGTCCAGCCACAGCAGTGGCCAGCAGGCTCAAGGCAGAAACACGCTTGATAGCCAGCATAGCGAAGGCGCGTGGTAAAGGAATGCACCGTGAAAAGCCATCGAGGTACCGTGTTCCTTATATGCACCGCCGACTCCCGGGCTTGTGCGCATCCCGAGCTAAGGCCCACGATGTGTAAAAATGCAACCGTTGTGAGGGGAAGTGGGGATATCCTGGGGTCAAGGAACAGATTCGTCTACGATGTGCTTTTGCGGAGAAGGCGGTGATTGGCGAGAGGTGGGCTGCGGCGGGTGGGCTGCCAGATGAGGCTAGCCAAGACACGGTATGCAAGAGTAATGCGAGCTTTAGCCGGTCGGTGCCGTCATATTATGTCGTGTGCCTCGAAAAGTAGACACTTGTGGTTGGGTCCTTTGAACCTGGTGCAAGCTGCATGCAAGCAATAGCGCAGCACTCCGCCGACGCAATGCTTGCTGCGGCTCTGATGTCGGATTGAAACTCGGGAGGAATCTGCTTCCCGCCTGCCGTCGATCGATATGTCGATTGCAGCCCTGCTAATCGGAAGAGGTGGCTCCGCTATTCAAGTACCGAAACCCGCGACCAAGCCATGTAATACGCAAGGGACGGAGCAGAGCCTTTTAGTCATCGAGTCTCGAGGGCTCAACGAATATGAGAAATGCAAGGGCTGACGAATGTGGTGGTGGTACATGTTATTAAACAATACTAACGCTTGCTATGCTTTTACTCCATTCGCTCAACTCAACTCATCATGCAAGCAATGCCATTCCCAGATGAGAACCCGACTACACAAACACCAAGCAGCTGATACATGTTCCGTGATCCTCCCATGGCTCACACGCCAGGCATGCCCAACCACGCCCTGACCTGCGGCACGCCTCTAGGAAGGAAATAGACGGTCCATAGCCCCGCAAATGCCACAAGAAGCCCGGTGAACTTCTCAAACCATGTGTGAAAGTAAGCCGCAGTCATAAGCAACATCCACCACATCAAGGCCGCAACACCAAGCGCGAACTTGACGCCTCGAGCCGTGGCCTCGCCCTCTGCCTTGGCGAGATCCTTCTCCACCGCCACGCTCGCGACCTTGCCATCAGGAAGCGTAATCAATCTGCCGTCCCTTAGCCCCTCTACGCGCGTCAACGCCGGCAAAAACTCGAGCCACAGCAGCGAAGACCCCAGAATGAGCAAAAACACATGACCCGAGATGTCGTGGCCGCCCTTCCACGTGCCTCCCACCGCCTTGCACGTTGCCGCCGTGATGTATTCCCGCGGGCTACTCATGTCGTCCCGCGCGTCCGCATCCCGGAGAAGCTCGCACTGACCGCCCGTGAACCTGAAGCCGCGATCGATCAGCGGCGGGCCAAAACACCACTGCGTCAGGAAGCACCACCACGTCGTCACCACGCCGTATCGCAGCAGCGCCCTCAATCTGCGCGCGCTGGCACCCTGCCCGAAACTCGGGTGGAAACCCACAAACACGCCGAACGCGAGCGTCGTCCAGAACCACCCGACCTTGACAAAGTACACATTGAAGACGTTTTTCTTTTGCGCAAAGTACGACGGCGCAAACTCGACTGGGTGCGACTGCAGGTTCGCCGAGTAGGGTGCATTGCGCGTCGACGGCGAGAGCGTGCTGAATACACTGCCGAGCAGGAGCGTGAGCGGGTAGATGGCGATGAGTTGGGCCTCGAGGCGCGTGGGGAAGAAAGGCGACTGCCGGGCCGACGACGTCGGCATACGCATACTGGTGGTAGGCTTTTCGTCCGCGGGAGAGACACCGTTGCTCTCGCTCGATGGTGATTTACGTTGTGTTGCCATGTTCGTGTAATGGGTAGGTAGCCAGGTAGGTGGGTGATGCTCGGCGTGAGCTGCCTGGCTCTGTAGACAAAGGCTTGCCGCCGACTTTTGGGCTGCTTATGACAGAAAACAAGGGGTCAATCGTCAAGGTACTTCCATATGCGACTGAAGCGTCTAATGTACAAGATGTTTTTAGGAGGTTAACGAGGAAAGAAAGCGTCCAAGGAGTGGGCAAGCTTGCGGCCAGCAGGCCAAGCCCAGCAACAATGACGTTACGTCTATTTTCACGACTGAGCCACGCATGGGCGTGGCGCAGCGCGCTAGTCTGTTTTCGGCTGACCATGTTCCTGGACCACTTCCTTTGGCTGCCTCTTTTCGAATGGTTCAGCCACATCAGATAGCTCATGGAGCAAAGATACATCAGGTATCTTCTGTAAAGTAATACTGCAACGTATATTTTCACAAACAAACCACCGCCTTAGCTTTGACGTAGTTACTCGTAGCAGCACACATACAAGAAAACACTAACAAAGCATTTGAAGACTGTAGCACATGCATTCATTCATCTTTTTATCTATTTAATATAACTCGCCATTGGCAACAGAAGCACCATGCCAACACTCGCCATGATTTCTTCTACTTCTTCTTTCCCCCCAAAACTCGGCACGGCTAGAACCTCGGCGGCAACACGGTAGGCACCGGCGGGCGAGTCGTCGTCCGCGGCAGGTCCGGCACGGGCAGCGTAGGCAGACAAGCACACGCACTGCTAACTCTGGCCACGGTATCCTTTTGCTCGGCGGCACACGCGGAGCGCGCGAAATCCGGCACAGCAGCCACGTCGTCGACGAGTCTCTGCGTGAAGTTGCCGCAGAAGTGCTGGCTCGCCTCGAGCCTGCCCTCGACGTTGGCCGTGCGCATGCTAGATAGACATCCGTCTACCTCGCAGACCTTGGGCTTCTCGCATTCTTTGCTCGTCATCTTGACGACAAATGAGCCGCGCTCAATCGTGTGCACGAAGATGAAGCCCGACTTGAAGTTTGCGTACGAAGACCATGATCCCAGGAATGCGACTGTGCCGCCGCCCTCGTTCTCGTCGTCTTCGGGGTAAATGTCGAAAAAGCCGGCTTCGCAGATGCCCGCGCCGCTGGGGTCCGAGGTGATGGAGTGGATGTCCAGGACGTTGAGGCCATTGCCGTAGTTGGACTGGTACAGGTAGTTGTCGACAACGTACTGGTTGTGGTCGATACTGCGTCGTTTGCCCTCGTAGTGTCCAGAGTAAAATGGGTTCTCCAGGTCACGGATGTCGAAGATGTGCGTGGTAGGGAGACCTTGGGTCATGGGGCCTACTTTGGCGTCACGCTCGTCGAATTCGTCGTCGATGAAAATGTACTCTTGCCACGATGCGTTGTTGACGACTCCTTGGTGGACATACTCGGCGCCTGGGTACGTGGTGCGCGAGATGATGTTGGTCGTGTTTCCCACCTTGTCAGTAACATCGTAAATTGTAAGCGTGTCTTCGTTGTAGCCGTAGCAAATGTCGCGGCCGTAGTATTTCTTGTGTGGACCACGGTACACGATGCATTCCGCGTCGTGGACGTAGCCGTCTGCGGCGGCACAACCAGGGCTAGTGGGGTTAGATGGATCGGTCATGTCGATGTAGATGAGACCTCCACGGCAGGGGAGATTGCCACGTACACGAATGGTCTCGTTGCCACCGACCGAGCCAACAGCAACAGCGTAGTTGAGTTCCGGGTTGACGACAATGTTGTGCGTTCTTCCCACAGGCAGATCATTCCATTTGTCGCCCAATCCCCAGTGGCCAGTCAGATCCTCCTGGGTGAAGTTCTTGGGCGTCTTGCCGTCCAAATCGAGCAGCTTCTTCATATCAAAGATCTGCACACCGTGTTTGATAGCCTCACTACCAATCACTGCGTAGTCGTTCATGACACGGATCTCGCGCCATCGAGATCCAATCTTGTCATATTGTGGCAATCGCCCGAGGTAAATAAGCTTACCCTCGCTGCTGATTTCCGCAAATGCGGTGCCATCAAACTGACCGATAGCGACAAACTCGTGTCCGTCTTTTGATGTCCACCCCCAGGAGGAGGAACCCTGACCCTGGCTACTTCCAAGAAGCGAGTGTGGGAGGAAATGGTAGAGGTCAATCTGCCGTGTATTAGTCACACTGCCCGCTCATCCAGATGTACAGGACTAACGTTATGGCACTTGAATGTGTTGTTAAAGTCGCCCGGTATCGCTTCCGCGAAGCCGTTCACACACGGCGTGTAGCTCAATTCAGGGTACCTGGAGCTATCCATTGCGCCCGAGGCGAGCTCGGCATCCCACTGAGCCTACGAGTTCGTGTTAGCCCCGGAAACCAGAACAAAGTTAAATTCCACAAGAAATACCAACATACCATCTTCATGGCCATGATCTTCGCATGTACGGTACCATCCGCATACTCCTGCGCGGTACCCAGGGCTGCCGCATTGCTTAGCCCCACCAGCGCAGAGCCAAGCACAGACAACGAGGACAGGAAAACCATGATGAACGACAGGCCCGGCAAACCTTGGTTGAAACAAGTAGACGATTCGCAGGGCGATCACTTGCTGCTCTTTCACAGACCAACCCAGCAGCAGCAGCATCCGCGATATATATACATCCCGAGAAAATCCCACCGTATCCTTCAAGCCGAAGACACACGTCTTGGTCCTCGATGCATTGCGCCACGCTCAGTGTCTCCTCTGTCGAGCCTATCGGCACAGCGTCGACTAACCCAACCGCCTGCACCCGTCATCCAGGTTAAGAAGGTGTTTAGATACGCAGTCTTGGGTTCCAAGAAGCCCAGTCACCAGGGTCGCTGAGCCGCGCTCCTTAGCGGCGAGGGTGCGTAGTGCCAGCCATGGCCGGAAGCAATGTCCATGGGAAACCGGTCTTCACTCTTGGCACGGCCGCTTTCCCCACAAGACGTTTTGTTCCCAATGGCGGCAGTGCTGCTTGGCGGATGACGACCCAGAAGAGTAGTTGGACTTGGCGGCCGCCGGCGCCCATGGCGAAAGGCTAGGCATTGTGCTTGGAAGTATCGGAAAGGCATTTACCCCGCTCCGTCGTTGCATCTTCTTGTCAGCCAGCATGCATTGACCTGTGGTCATTTGCTCTTCAGACACTCGAGTTGCAGTCAAAGGGCGGCCTCGGTATTCCTCTTCGCCCATTTGCGTGACTAAGTCGAAGCAGATGCGGCTAGCGTCGCGGTCCTGATATCTTGGGACATGTTGGGCTCGCACGTTGATCTCGTCTGACCCCAAAACAACCGTACACCCAGTGCCATGCTGATTTGTGTGCGTCAATTTGCTGCTCCAACACAGTCGTCCGTCATTTCACGAAACAAAACAAGTGCAATCTTCATCTGCTTCTATTCCTACCTTCTTCAAGAGCGCCCATGCAACAATATAGCTCTTAACACCCAAAGAAAATAGTAATCGCAAAGCCCATACATTCTCCTCTCTAGACTGCTTAGTCGAACGCCGCCCTAGATTGCAATGACAAGAGTATGAAATCAGTAATCGAAAATCAACGCTAAAAATGCATTGGACAGGTCGCGTTCGAAGTCAACATTTCAGTTAAAGCTTCGAGCAGTGAGGCTCTGTCCTCACCCTACGCAAACCGTTGGAAAAACGCTTAACTCGTCGGTGCCAGCCGGTTGACCTTGGGGGTATAATGCTTTTGGTACTCGAAAACGCCAATGGAAATCAGTTGTACTCGGAAAAAAAAAAGAAGGCACGGCCGTTGCTCGTGACGTACCAAGCCTAGCGGCTGGAAGAAGTAGGAGTTGTAGTGACGACTTGGATTCGCACGAAGAGCCCGAGCTCCAACCTGTCGTCAAATTTGGAATCATGGGTCACATTGAAGAATTGAACAGTGTCGGGGACGCTGTCTTAGCGCCATCCATGCTGAGTGAACTGGGTCTGTGCTACCCGTCCATTGCCCATGCTCAGCGCGGGGTCCATAAAAGACTGTGACCAGTCCTCCTGGTTGAGTAGCTCATCAAACTGCACACTGTTCGGTCCCGGCATCTGCATTCCTGGCTGCGGTTGGTAGCCTCGGTATTGCTGCGCGCCTTGCATCATGTACATGGGCATAGGGCCAAATAATTGAGCTTCCGTGTCAGTCTGGTGCCGGCCTTGGCCGTTTGGCATACTGGTCGGTGCAAACATTGCGGCATGTCCTTTCGGGTCCATACTGGTCGACATTTGAGGCACCAGGCCGCTGCTTACCGGCGGGCCGCTGGTGCGATCAAATGCGTGTGGGTGCTTGTTCTCAAAGGCAGTCATTGGCTGGTTTGGATAGGCGAGGGGGTCGGCCGAAGGAAACATCATGGTCGATATATCCGCAATCGGAACATTCATGCCCGACGCATCTGCAAATGCAATACTCAGAATTGGGGGATTGTAGGCCGTGCTCTGTTGCGGATCGTGAATAGAGGCAATACCGAAGCTCGGTAAGCTGTCGTTGGAGGATGTAGGCGTAAGATCAGGCACACCGTCGAAAATGTTAGGGTTCGACATGGCGTGTGAAGGGTATGTGGAGTTCAAAGTCATCCCATTAAACTGGTGATGGGCAGATGGACATGCTTGCCCGGAACCGGCTGTCTTGATGTGTGGAATTGAGTCGGGATAAGTGCTCGCACGCCGCGGGCCTGCAGCATCGTTTTGACCGAGAAAAGTCGGTCGCATCCCTGTGGACTGTGGTGAGCTCCCTTGTCGGCGCTTTTTCGAGGCGATGATTTCCCCGCCATGTCTTATCGATTCTGGTAGTCGTTCAAACATGCCCTACAAGGATTGGTCAGCGCCATGATTTCAATCGCTTCCCAAAACGTGCATACCTTCAGCGCAATACTGCACCTGTCCGCTGCCAGGCTTCTCTTGGCAAAATAGGCCAGAACCTCCTTGCCTTCGACAGCATCTCGCAATAATTCAAAGCTGGTTGGACTGGTCGGATTTTCCAATACAAAGTACAGAATCGACACAATAGCGAAGAATGTCGTGTACATGGAGAACCAATATGCTCCAGCTAACAGACCGCGTTTGCGCATCTCTGTAGAGATGTGAATGACGTTGCGTGAGACGTTGACACAGGCCGAGGCGCAAGCAAAGGCCCTTTGGTCGACCATGTTGACATTGCAGGATTGCGAAACATAGTGGAGAAATGGTCGGTAGAGCAGTAATTGGGCATGTCCAAAAGCCATGCGAAGAAGCTGTTGAACCCTGCTAGTCCCGTGAGCTAGTGCGACATGCAGGGGCTTAAATCAACATACCTCTTGATGATTGGGGGAGCGTCACCGCCAGGCTTCAGTGCAACCGGCAGTTCGTTGAGCCAGCGTGCCAAATCCTGCTCGATTTCGCGAATCTTGGAGTAGCCTACGGTGTAAGTCACCGAGTTCTTGCCGCCTGACTGTGTTCCCTTGATGGGGTATACGTATTTACAGATCTTGTTCAGCACTTGTACAAGACGAGTGTGGGCATTGAAGGCAGCCATGAAGGAGATGCTTCCCTCTGGCATGGGCAGGATTTCAGTCTCTGTAATGTACTCGTCATCCACTTCGACGGGCCACTCCTGATCAATGTCTTCGTCTTCCAAGAATCGCGGCAATCCGAGCATGGCGCCAACATACGTGTCCATTCGCCTAATGACCCAGAATATGCGTTTGCGCGTCTCGGCCTCGATAGGGGAGAACTTGACGTTGAAGGAGCGATGCAGACCTATACGCAATGCCGAGCGCAGTGCAACGCCAATGTAGGCATAGCATGTGCTGAGTTTGGCGGATGATTGCAGGAATTGAATCATAAAAATGATGGCTTGGAGCGAAGTCAGATCCCTACAGTCAGTAATATCAAGAAGCTGGCGCGAGGCTTTGAAATACTTGAGTCTAGGGCCGTATTAGCTGCAGCAAGACGGCGTCTGTTGATGGGCATGGCTTACCCTTCGTCGGTCAGGGTGTCGTAGCCGGCCGTGTCAAGGCCGTCGTCGTTTTCCGAGTATAGCTTGCCGAGGGCCAGGACAGCGTAGAACAGAGGCAAGAAGCTAGTTTCGGCGGACCCGTACTGGTCAGACGGGACTTCGTAGACGCGGTCCATCTGCTTGTGAAAGGTAGGGAGATGGACGACTCGGAGCATGGCACTGTACTGTATGATGGCGTTGTCACACAGGGCGCGTGCCTCGTCCCGGTTGGGCAGAGGCACGTTGACCGGTGAGGACATGGGTCCGGTTAGGGAAAGAACACTGGGCGAGGGGGCATCATAGAGCATGGTGCGTTGCTTAAAGGATGAGGATTCATCTGCAGGAATTTGGAACATATCATCAAACTGTCGTAGTCCCCTCATGAAGCTCAGTCCCGAGGAGTGGCCTTGGTAGTCCCAGTTCCCTTCCTCGTCGAGATCGAGCTGGCCCGTTGCCTTTACCATTGCCTCGAGATGAGAGTCAGACACGTCGTCGGCGTGGGGGGGCGGTGCGTGGTGCTGGGGCACGCGTGGTTCCATGGACACGATTGGCGGGCGGGCCGTTACCTGGGGCAGCTGGGGGAGCATGCCGTTTTGCAGATGGGCGTCGATGGCGGGGTCGTTGAGGTCGACCGTGGGCAGGACGACGTGCAGCAGGGCTTTGGCGCGCTTGAGCTGGCTCTCCAGGGCCTCGATGTACTGGGGGGTGGCATTGCGCCGGCGGTTCGAGGGCTGGTCGTAGGTGCTGGCAAAAATAAAAAGTCAATTTCTGGAGGGGCGAGGCGGGCGAGGCGTAGATGCCACCAGGGGGCCGTTACCATTCTGCGCAGGGTTAGCACGCGGGCGAAGGCGACAGAGGCACATGCGGGCGGAGGCCATGCACATGGGGGCTGCAGACGTACCATAGCTGTAGACGGTGCAATGGGTGCAGGGCTGCTTGCCGTCGCACTTGATCTTCTTGCGCCGGCACTCGTCGCAGGCACGCGTTACTCGGCGTCGTTTCTGGGGCTGGGGCTTTGGTGCCTGATCGTCGCCGACGTCATTGGTCTCTGAGTTTTCTTCGCCAAACTCAGACGTGTCTTCGGGCGGGTGCATGTCAAAGGGGCCCGGGCGACGGCCGTCTGGTGGCAGGCTGTCGGTAGCTGCGAGGGCCGGAGAGGAAGTCGTCATGGGTGGCAGTTGGGGAGCATCGAGCATCGCGGGCCTGTGGCTGGGGAGGGGGGGGGGGAGTGCTGCGCCTAAGAGTAAACCGGTGGATGCTCAGGACAGGGTTGTGCTGCGGCGGAGAAGCTGGTGGGTCCCGGATTAGCTCTAGGGCTAGCGCCGTCGCATGTCGCATGGGGTGGCCATGGGCACCGTCCCGCCGGGGCTTGAGCAGCCAGGCGGCGAGTCGAATGGCTGGCCTCCGCCGACCTGTCCGCTGTCCACTGTCCACTGTCCACTGTCCACTGTCCACTGTCCACTCGTGCCTGTAGGCCAAGCGCACTCGCATCTCGGCGAGTAGCGTGCCTGCGAGTAATAGCGTAGCTGTCCACCTGGTTGCACGAGTAGGGCAGCCTTTGCAATCCTGCCAGCGACACGGCGCTTGCGAGAGACATGCCCACGGCGGCGGCGGCGACGACGACGACAACAAGAACAACAACAACAACAACAACAACAACAACAAGAACAACAAGAGCAGCAGCAGCAGCACCGCCTGACCGATGGCTTTGGCGGCCCTCTGACCGTCCGAGACGCACAGTGGGTGCTTGCTGCAACCTGCACCTGCACCTGCACCTGCACCTGCAAGACCACCACCAAGAAGACGGCCACCACCACCACCACCACCACCACCGCCGCCATCATCGTCGCCAAGTAGCCAGCACTGCCATGTGCTCCCTTGCGCCCTGTGGCGTCGACGGCAGCTCCTGGCGCGCTGGGTGCCCATGCCACGGGGAACACCAGGTGAGGGGTTCTGCTGAGCCGCCACCCACGCCACCCCAGCCCAAGCACAGCGGCAACACCAATACCAATACTGACTGCTACATGTACGCCTACCAGTCCTGATAATACCGCCCTGCGCCATTGCAAAGGGGGCCCTGCCTGCATGCAGGCCAAGGCAAAAGCCAGACACTCGTGCTCTGCCACCGCTAGAGGCCCGGGCTAGTGGCCTGATCCGCTGTGCCGTTGCAGCTTGCCCTTCTTCTGTCGCTCCTCGTGCGCTCTAAAGCCTCCTGCTTGGAGCAACGATCATCCAGCAACCACCTTCGCTTACCGCCGCCGTGTCCCACACTTTGTATACGGCTATTGTCCTCTCCCCCAACCCCCCCGACTCTACACCTACTGTAGTGTAGTCTGATCACAATTCTTTTTTAATCGCCCCCCCAAGACATGCCGCCCGTCGGCGCGTCAACCAGAGCGAACGCCCGAAGCCCGTCCCCCACTGCCACACACACACACCTTGGCCAGCCTTGTCTTCTTAGCGTCGGATAAAGTCGCCAGAAACATGACAGCGTGGCTTGACTGCGGCTGGTGACCCTAGTCTTCACCTCATCTCACTCCCCCCCCCAGCACTCATCGTGCCACAACGCTCCGGTCCATGCCCTGACCGTTTACCACACGGGTCGTGACGTATAGATGCCGTACTCGGCACTATATTGATTGCAAGCCTGTCATGCCAGCTGCAAGTAGTGAAAACGGGTCACTGACAAGCGCCCATGCTTCGCCCCCCCCCTCCCCCATGTGCTATATCTCGGTCGTCGGTCACTACCGACTGACACGCTCTGGGAACAGCCGGTGGGTCGGCTTTTCCGCTTTAGTTTCCCCATCCATTCCTTCCATCGATGGGGTGTATTGGATGGGCCAAGCGAGAGTGCCCTCCTTCGCAACACCGTCTCGCAAGCCGAAGTCTGCTTAACGTCAGCCCCTGCATCTTACTCGCCCTGCTCGTATATAACGTGTTTTATCAGTAAGCGGCCCACATCAGTAAGTGGCCCACCCCACCAAACCTGACGCGACGCTCTACTCAATTGCTCTACAGCAACTTAATAAAATTAAATTAAATTAAAAGATATTATTCTTT